ATGTGTGTGTGAACTTAAAAAAAAGGAAACGCGCATTATGTTCCGCGTTGAGGAATCATACTTTTTTTTTTTTTTTTTTTTTTTTTTTTTTTTTTTTTTTTTTCGGCTTTTTTTTTTTTTTTTTTTTTTTTTTTTTTTTTTTTTTTTCATGTGTGAGTTTACGAGATTGTGTGCATATGTTACGTGTGTACATTCTGATGTATGTACGTATGATGTGTCTTCATTCTAATGTGTGTACTTCTAACGTGCGTACAGACACATGTACATGAACATGCAAATGCAACAGCTTTTAGAATTGCACTAGGATCCACGCCCTGTGTCCCGTCCGCAGCAGGGCATGCTGGGCACGGCTAAGCTACTGCAAAAAAGACAAGAAGTGAAAGGAAAAACAAAATTTGACAAAAAAAGGAATGAGCTCCATATGACTCTTTTTTTTCATACTTTTCATGAATCGTGGTGACAGTTGCGTTTGAATTAAACTTGCTGTGCTGAACTCTGTCATTGTTTTGTTCCAATCGTTCATTTGGTGACTTGACAAATTTATCATAATTTTCATTCATATAAACATTCATCATTAGCGTATCTGATCCATCATTCGCCTGACATGTGCAGGTAAATGCAACTTCTTCATTTGTCACAGGTATTTTTGTAAATCTGGTATTTTCATCCCCAGAAGTAACTAATTTTTGATTAAAAATAGTTTCTACATTTACAACTTTATATTTGTCTTCTTCCCATTTACGATTAATATTAAATCTCTCTTCAAGGTTATTTTTTTCATTTGCAAAATCTTCTTTCTTAACATAAACTTGAGAAAAACATCCATTTGGTTTTACAGTATAATTCATTGGGCATAAGAGAACAATGGTATCACCACCCTTTGGATAGCTATCACACACTTTAACAAATTTTCGATTCATATTATTAAATGTTGTAATTGCAGTAGATTCTCTATATTCATCATTGAAATCACATCCAGGAATTTTACGTACAATTCCTTTTGATATATGTACTTTCAACGTTTTTTTTACAACATGCTCTCCTTGATCCATGTAACAGTAACATTCAAAATGACGATTTGTCAATACAACAGGAGGAACAGTAAATTCAGCTGTGTATATATTGTTTACATATTTACTAACCAAATTATGTGCCCCTCTGATATAATCTCTTAAAAGATAAACATTTTTATTAATTATTACATGTTCGAAACAAAATAATTTTCTTTCAAAATACTCTCTTTCTCTTGCACATGTAATTTTCATTTCTCCATTGAGACTGTATGGACATGTATACACCACTGTATCTCCTGGTTCTACATTCAGAAGAAATAAATTCTTTTGTGAACTAGATAAATCTACGTGTTTTTTGCACATACATATTTCTCGACATATCACAAGTAAGGCGAGTAGAACAACGCCCATGTATAAACTTTTCACTTCTGACATCATTTTAATGTGTAAAGGAAATGTACAAAATGGAAGAGGACAGGAAAAAATAAAATGAAACTTCTCTAAACGTCGGCAAATATGTCTCTTTTCTGTTATTCTTGAACTTGGTAAGGAACCAATTTTCTAATTCCACTTGATGTAATCGTAACCTGCAAAAGTGGGCATTCGTGATATAAATATATTGTGCATGTAGAGAGGCAGTAGTATGTACTTCAATACTTATGCTTTGTGTATATACATATGTGTTCAAATGTGCTAAATGGCTAGCAAGCATGGTCCCCTCTCTCTCTATCACTCTCTTTGTATTGTTCAGTGTTTTTTTTTTTTTTTTTCTTTTGAGTAAACTTACACTCAGGCTCGAATGACTGGAGTACGTGTTAAGACAAAGTTAGAACAAAGTCAAGCAGGTTGATAATGACGATAAGGTAAAACCAATTGAATGCGTCAGAGATGTTAAAAAAAAAAAAAAAACTACACAAATCAAACTATTTCCATACGAATGATCAATGATCCCTCAAAACGAGAGCGATTTTGTATACATTCCTATAGGCACAAAAATTCGTCTTGCAGTTTTTCCCCCTTGCCTTTTGTCTTTTTTTTCAAAGTGGACATTTGTGAAGAAGTGTGTCTTTTTTAAAGCAATTTTGTAAAGCAACTTCGTAAAGCAACTTCGTAAAGCAACTTCGTAAAGCAACTTCGTAAAGCAACTTCGTAAAGCAATTTCGTAAAGCAATTTCGTAAAGCAATTTCGTAAAGCAATTTTGTAAAGCAATTTTTTAAAACAATTCTTGAAATTCCTTTTTTAAAGCCCTTTTTTAAAGTTATTTTTTTAAAATGAGTTGTTTTTATTTTACCATTTGTTTGTCTTTTTTTTTTTTTTTTTTTTTTTTTTTTATTACTTGACTGACCGTTTATCTGTCCACTTTTTCATTCGCAAGTTCTCACAGTTGTTCATTTGCCTATTCATCTATTTTAAAAAAGAAAAAAAAAAAAAAAAAAGGGACAATTGTGGTAGCCATCAATGAACATGCATGCATCAAATTGAACAACACTAAAAAGGGCTAAATGTTTCTTCCATTTTATTTCGTGTGTGTGTAGGAGGGTGTTTATTAAGAAAGTTTTGTGCTCTTTTTACACTTTTTCTTCTCCTAAAAATGGATATGTATATGCACACTGCTGATTCATGACTTGTATGCAGAAAAACACATACATGTGTGTTACAAAAAAAAAAAAAAAAAACACATACACATTCTTGTTACACGAACATGCACGTTACAAAATAAATACACAATCTTGTTACATACACAATCTTGTTACATACACAATCTTGTTACATACACAATCTTGTTACATACACATTCTTGTTACATACGCATTCTTGTTATGTACACCTTGTTATATGCACATTCTTGTTACACACACCCACTCACTTGCAACACAAAAAGGAATATACTCACCAGAGCGCGTAAATTGAAAAATACGTATGGGGGTAGATCAAAATCGCATACCTCAGCGAAAAATCCTTTGAAATGCAACTCTCTAGGAAGCATTTCTTGCATGTTAGGCTTGGTCCTTCAAAGAGGAGCAACGAGTAAAAATTTGTGTTGCTTTTTTCTCTTGTGTCCTCTTCTTTTAAGTTTTACACGTTTGGTGTGCGAGTGTGTTTTTTTTTACATTTTTTTTTTTTTTTTTTTTTTTATTCTGAATTATTCCGCAAATTTTTACATGCACGTGTTCAGAAAAAAAAAAAAAAAAAAAAAAAAAAAAAGCCATAAAGGAGAATTAAATTTGGCAGGATTAGATGATAGAGCAATTCGGTTATGTATGAGGTACCTACTTTTTGTTCGTACTCCCACTGAGTGATGTATTATTGTAACACTTAAAAATGAGATGATGAAAAAAAAAAAAAAAAAAAAAAAAAAAAAAGCGATACGATAGTGATGAAACGAAAAATGGACATTTTGGAACATTTTAAAATAAAATAAAAGCAAAATAAGTGGTGTATGCGTGTGTATATATTTTTTTTTCTCTCTCTCCTCTCAACCCAATTCTGATTCGCTTATTAACGCGTACATTTCATACATACATGGATGATCATTTTATACAACTCACGAGTTTGCACATGTCTTCTTTTCAAGACTAATTCTCTTCCATTCGTTCATTCCAATCTCTAAGCAAATACTACGGTTTGCTCTTCCAGGGGAAAAAAAAAATAAAATAAAAATAGAAAAATAAATAGAAAAATAAATAGAAAAATAAATAGAAAAATAAATAGAAAAATAAATAGAAAAATAAACAGAAAAATAAACAGAAAAATAAGTAGAAAAATAAATAGAAAAAAAAAAATAGAAAAATAAATAGAAAAATAAATAGAAAAATAAGTAGAAAAATAAATAACATGGGAAATTAATGAAGAATATAACCTGTTCAGCATATTATCCCATTAATTATTCCGTTCACAACCCCTGTCACAGTGTCAGTTGTCAACTCATTGACAAACTCCCTTTTCGCGTTACGTTTGGAAAAATTATTTTTAATGTGATACTAATAGAATAACAATTTCCACTGGAGGCCAAGCGTAATTTACCTTGAAAGTTCTACACTTCATGCATATATATATATACATACGCATGTAATGAAGTATACACATGCATATTGTCTCGGGCACAAGTGTACTGTCCGTTTTGTACATTTAGCAAGCACGTTCAGCTTTTCTGCACATTCGTTGGTCCCGTCTCGATGGGCTTTTACTAATTGGAAGGAAGAATATCCATTAGGGGAATAGTGAACGTTGCAAAATTTTAATTGTCACTCCTGTGATCAGCTGCTGAAAGTGCCTAAAAAAAAAAAAAAAAAAAAGGAAATAAATTAATAGGGGGAAAAACACTCTAGTGTTGTTGCAGACTGGGGAAAAAAGAAAAAAGAAGAAAAAAAAAAAAAAAAAAAAAAAATACATGTACATACCAAGTCACTGCAGGATAAAACATATTCACACGACACTGTGCCACACTTAGAAATGAACAAATTGTAGGCATATGTATTTTTTTTTTTTTTTTTCTTCTTTTTTCGCTCCTTATGCCTGTCTATTCATATTCCAGAAAAAATGAAATAACGTTTTAATTTCTTCCCAATTCTTATTCAGCTTTTTTTTTCCCCCTTACTCCTTCTTTCTACCCCAACAAAACCCCCCTTGGAATACCCAAATAGATGCATAGTCAAGAAAAATAGCTAGCCGAGTGTCTGCACATGGGCAGTTAGAATACATTTTCTGTTGGATCCTTTGCCAGATACTTGCAACATTTATCACTTTCACTATGTCTCAGTTTTGTTAAGTATAGTGGAACAACATCCTCCAGTATAGGGCCACATTTGAAGTTCGCACGATTGAAATATTCACGTGCATTCACGTGCATTCACGTGTATTCACATATATACATATATATATTCAATATACCACGCGAAAAGGATGCTTTATATGTCTCTCCTTCGAGACATTGAAAAACGAGGATTGGGACATCGAAGAAGAGAAAAGACAAGGGAGAAAAGATACGCAAGCCAAAAGGGAAAAGATGAATTAATCGAAATTGTTAAGGAATTACCAAAGTTATATGAAAGAAATGAAAAGGAAATAATAACTTCATTAGTGACTTGTTTCATTGAGAGAAATCCCAAGTATATAGATGCATACGAATTGTTTAGCACGTTTTATTTCAAAATAAAAGATTACAACTCTGCGTTGAATTTGTTATTTGCAGCTTTGTATCTTGATCACAACAATGAAAAGTTAACTACCTTGCTAAAATTATGTGAAGAGTGCCAAGTCAGTAAATATGCCAGAATTCCAATCAAGTATAAGGAGTGGATTTTTTATCCGGAAAGGAGGGAGACCAAGAGATGCGTCCCCTTCGTCAATTCTACTGGACACATCCTTCAGGATCTGCAAGGAAGTGATTCGAGAGAAGGTAATTTGCGAGGAAGTAATTCGCAAGGAAGTGATTCGCAAGGAAGTGATTCGCAAGGAAGTGATTCGCAAGGAAGTGATTCGCGAGGAAATGATTCGCGAGGAAATGATGTGCAAAGGAGGGGAGAAGACAAAAACCGGTCTCAAAGAACCCACGATCGAAGCACGCGAACCCGTAATAATGGCCTCCTAAATAAGGCCCTCCCAAGTAGTGGGTTCGCTTGGGACGGATTCCAAAATGATGATCCAGATGAACAGATGCAAAAAGACAAAATACACATTGCCAAGCACGGGAAACATTATATTGCGCTAGCCAAAAAAGATCTAGAACCAGGAGAAATCATATTTCAAACGAAACCTTTTATTGTTACACAACATATATTTTGCAACAATTATGTGTACAGAACCTGTTATCACTGCTTAAAAGAAAGAAACATATCCCAGAAATGTTATGCATGTCCAGTTAATCCACATACGTGTACATACATTTTCTGTAGTTGGAAATGCTTAACAGAAAATATGAAAATTCACAAAGCTGAATGTCCGATTTTACCAATCATATCAGCAGCAGCGAAAGAAGCAAATCTAATGCATCATCTAGTTTTGCATATATTTCGAGTATTAATTAAAGCTAGGATAGATAAAGAATACAAAGACAAAGAAAAAAACATTTTAAATGAGATATTCAACAATGAATCCTTTTATGATGTTGTTAAAGAGAATCAAATTGCTCTGTTTAATTCATTTAATACATTGGCTAATAGAATAATATTAGAATTTCCTTCCACATTTTATCTCTATTTGAAACAGAAAGAACTTGTTGAATTTATGTTAATTGTATGGCAGTATTCTCATTTCATTAAGTATTACTCTCCATCTTCTATTATTCAACAAACCAATCCAGAAATTACCTTTGGGTTGGTGTATTCACCTCAGCTAGCCAAAATGCATCATAGTTGTGTTCCAACATGTACATTTTATTATGATGAAAATGGATTCTTAACTGTAAGATCCTTATGCAATATACCACAGGGTGGGAAATTATGTATAAGCATTTTGACAGATCAGTATGTTCCTCTTAACATAAGAAAAAGTTTTAGAGGAATTCCAAGAATTTTTACTTGTGGTTGTATTAGATGTACAGATCCAACAGAAAATAATTTACATCTTAGAAGTATGAAATGTCCAAAGTGCATTATTGGCTATATTTACCCAATAAAAACTGATACTCTTATTGAGGCTCTCAAGTTGTACAAATTTCAACATACCCAAATGGAAGATGCATCTAATGAACACATCATTCAGAAGAGTGAATTGAAAAACATCCAAGAAAATAGGTACACTTCAAATGTGGTGCATAGTAGAGAAAACGGAGATAACAACATTGTAAAGAGGAATTCTCACATTAAATCCACAAGTCAAAGAAATGGAAATGACAGAGATGATGAGAAAGGAGTTTATAAAAAACTAGAAGGAGAAACAGAGAAGTGGTTGTGTTCTAACTGTGGTAAATTGTCTCTTCACGGTAGCAAACGGTGCACAAGGTTAGAGCATAAAATTTATGTTCAGTTTAACCAAGCAGAAAATAATTACATGAAAGGGAATATTATCCAATCAAAGAAACAACTTTTGAATATTTACAATGAGGTGCGTTATCTTTTACATCCAAATCATTATATTCTTTTCAATGTTCACGTGCTTCTAGCTGGGTTGATGAGACATGATCCAAATAAGGAATTATATGATTCATTAATTTTTTTGCGAAAGGCAATAATAGCAGGAGAAAATGTATTACCTGTGTGTTCATTGGAAAAAGTTCACTTGTATGCACATCTATCTCATTACACATTTAGTTATTCTAATTTTTGCAAATTATATATGAAAGGAGCAGGGGTATCGGCTGAATCTATTATAGAACCCATATTTGCATCTATCTTCAATTCAGTGGTGACAACAGGATATAACTCAACTCTGACCATTTCATTAATCCAACACTTACGGACATATGCAATTCATTTCAACATATATACTCCATATAAAGAAATAGAATTTTGTATACATAGAAAAGAAGAATTTAGCAATTTTTACCATCATGTAACACAAAAAAAAAATGAATCATATAGAAAAATGAAAAAAGTAATGAAAGAGGATCCCTTTTACCCCATCTACATGGCATGTCAATGTTTTGATATCGATTATAAAAAGAATAAATATTTGTATCATACTTTGAAATTGTATAGGAATATTAAATATGTTGGAAATGGACAAAATGCATTGTCGATAGCTGCTGCTTTTGGAAATATAAACTTAGTAAAGATTCTACTCAAATTAAATTATTCTCTTTTTTCAAAAAATGAATTACATATGAATGCACTATTACACATGGCTAGTTCATTTCTTCCAGATGAACAGACGAGTTATCACTCGAATTATTTTTCCATTTTGTTAAAAGAAATAGAATCGCAAAAAGTACATTTAGAAAATTTCGAAATAGACTATTCCAACATAACCAATGGGTTCAAAACAAGCAACACTGATTCCATTTTAATGCAAAATGAAGACAGATACATGAATTCATGTCATTTGAAAAATGACACAGAAAGACCATTCTCCTTTGATAACCTTCTCTTTGGTGAAGAATTTACATACGGATCGGCTAGTAGACAATTGGATATAAACCAAAAAATTATACTTACCTTATTTCTGAAGCATCTGGATAACAAGCATCTAAGTAAGAGGAAAAAATACAAAAGCAAATTGAAGTTTAACAAAAGATTGAACTTTTCCAATGTTATTAGAAGGAAAAGAGATAGTAACAGGTCATTCCTTGTGCCATCATCTAGATTTTTATTACCCTCAGGCAATTCTGCTATTCCCCATCGTGTTAATCTGAAAGATGAAAATTTATTTGACAGTAATCAAAGTAATATGGATTCAAGTAACATTCTATGGGATCTAAATGATGACAAACGTGAAACAGCTAAAGATTTTAGTAGCTACAAAGGATTAAATAATATTGGAAATATGTTACATTGTGTTGCAGGGAATGACAGTCTGAACAGTATGGATGACTTTGAATCTCTTGAAGATCACGATTCAGAGTTTTCAAAAAAGAAAAAAAATTATATTATCTCCAAAAGTGCAAAACGGAGGGGTAGCTCCAAAGGAAGCAACACTTCTGTGTGTAGTAGTTTCGATTCTGCAAAATCAGACGATATTTTGAATAACAAATTAAATCATTATTATGTAGAGAAATTTCTAACCAAATCTATCTCTCATAAATTACTAGGATTAAACAATGCATTGCATTATGCATGCATAAGAGGAAAAAGGAAATTATCAGAACAACTCATCATAAGTGGTATACCAGTAATGCTTCTGAACGCTGAAGGAAGCACACCTTTACACATGGCTTCTCTCAATGGGCATGATGAGATTGTGAAAACATTAATTAAGTATAAAAGTGAAGTAAATTTTCTTACCTCTCATGGAGAAACACCACTAATGTTAGCTGCATATGGATTACATGTTCAGGTAATAAAAACGTTAGTAGCAAATGGGGCAGATGTAATTTTGAAAAATAATAATAATGTAACAGTTTTACATTGTCTAGTACATGGTTTGTTAAGAACACATACAATTTATTATGAACATGCATCATGTAATGATGATGCATTATATGTTACGAATGGAGGATTACTCACTAAATTGAATCCATCAAAAATGTTTACACAACCGTTGACATATTTAGATACACATCAGCAGCAACATCTCAGGGCCCACATACCTATCATTGAGGACTTGCCCAATGATTTCTACATTTTACCATTTAAATTATTACATAGAATTAAAAAAGCCATAGTCATATTGAAATATCTTATGATGTATTGTCCTTTATATATATATGATGTCAAAAATTCTAATGGGTATAATCCCTTTGAATTGCTGAAAGCCATTTGGAGAAAACTATCTCTAAGACGAATGCATATCTTAACAGCATCAGATTTGAAGTTCTCTGCTTTCACTCATGTGCAAAAGAATATAATACATCAAGGCTGGTCCCTCATCACTGCACTTATTCACATGTTCATGTCTATTTTGAGACCCGATCGATCAGTTCTTACGTCCATCTACACGAACTTTCTACAAGAGGGGAACCAGATAAGCACTCAGATAAAAAGTGGTGAAGAAGTTGCAAAAAGTGGTGAAGAAGTTGCAAAAAGTGGTGAAGAAGTGGCAAAAAGTGGTGAAGAAGTGGCAAAAAGTGGTGAAGAAGTGGCAAGGGGTGAAGACGAACCGATGGAATCACTGAAAGTATCCATTTCCAACATGGAGAGTAAAACTGCAAAAGGAAAACAGTTGGGCACCCCGAAAAAAATGTGGCTTAAGAAAACCAAGATGCTACCCACCTCCAGTTCCCCTAAGCTGAAATAATGATTTCGAAATTAATCCCGAATATTTTTTTTGCCTCTTGCACATAAGTTGGAGTTTTCAAAAGACGTTGAAAATGAATTCCAGGTGTGTGTGTGTGTGGGGTGAAGTATTACAGAGTAGAATTATGTAGTATTATTGTTAGTGTTACAGAAAATATCACCACCATTATCAACCACAGAAATGTCCTTAGGGATAGCCAAATAATGACCTCTGTTAAAGGGAGAAAAAAAAAAAAAAAGAAAAAAAAAAAAGAAAACAAAACTTTCTAGTTGGTCTCCATATTCCTGCTGCTGATGAATAATTCCTTTACGTTAGAGGTTATATATATAGACATATGGATTGTCAATACACATGTAAGATAATCAATTCAAATTTTGTTACACAAAAATTGGTACACCCATTGAAAGGTTTTTCTTCCCATTTGTGTAAGCCATAAAAATGGGAAGAAAAAAAGTGGCAATTTGTCTTTGGGGAGAGAAAAAAATTGAAAAGTTCTTAGAAAAGTTGGAAAATTCTTAGACGGTTGGGAAACGCTATTAGGAGCACCAACAATATTGGAAAATATTATTACGAAAAATTAAAAAAACGATTACTTGATAAGATCAGAACGAAAAAAAAAAAAAAAAAAAAATATAAAGTGCAAGGTGGGATGATAAAAAAAAAAAAAAAAAAAACAAATGGGCGAAAGAAATGAACGCCTGTAAGATGTGGAAAGGTCACATCAACTAAAGGGGGAGAAGAAGTGCACTAGACTAGTCCGATTAGATCCGCTTGACGAGTCCCATTAGGTTCGCTTGACTAGTCCGATTAGATCCGCTTGACGAGTCCCATTAGGTTCGCTTGACTAGTCCGATTAGATCCGCTTGACGAGTCCCATTAGGTTCGCTTGACTAGTCCGATTAGGTCCGCTTGACGAGTCCCATTAGGTTCGCTTGACTAGTCCGATTAGATCCGCTTGACGAGTCCCATTAGCTACCCCCGCTTGAGCTTTTTTCTCTCCATTTCCTCAAGTTCAGTGACTCTCGTTAAGATATCTTCTGTATTTCCACTGGAAACAAAATGAATGAACATTTTCGCCATGAGAACAAACCAATAAGCATTCATCAAGAGAATAACTAACAGCAGAAATATTAACCATATACATGCCTCATATCCAATAAAAGGGTTGAATATCTTGAAGTTTCGATGAATGGGTAGTATACATCTCTTCGCAAATATATATAGTCTTAAGAATCCCCAACTTGAGAATAATATGCAGAACGAGCTGACCGTCACCACTTTATGTCTTGTGTCAACAAAGACACGGCATCTGAGAATGGAATGGTGAGACATGGGAAAAAAAAAAAAAAAAAAAAAAAAAAAATTATTAGCGCTTCAAAATCATGTCTCTAAAATGAGCAAATAATTATGATACCAGCAGGAAGATAAGGGGGAAAAAAAAAAAAAAAAAAAAAAAAAAAAACGAATTATTCGCAGTTCAAAAGAAGCAAAATTTTTTCTTTTTTATTCTTTCCCTACGCTGACGAAAAAATTTCACATATGTCGTGACAAAGCATGATAATTGAACCAACTCTCAAGAAATTCTGGCCGTATGAAAAATAAACTAATATGACTGCACACAAGTGTTGCAAAAAGTTTTCGTAAAAATCTGGCAACTTTTCAGACATCAGTAAGGAATAAACGGATATCAGCAGATAACCGCCATTTAAGAAGTAGTACAAATGAATTAAATTCGACGTCTTCTGATTTGGATAACCTAAAGAAGGAGAAGAAAAGATGAAGAAAAGGAGAAGAAAAGGAGAAGAAAAGGAGAAGAAAAGGAGAAGAAAAGGAGAAGAAAAGGAGAAGAAAAAGAGAAGAAAAGATGAAGAAAAGGAGAAGAAAAAAAAAAAAAAGAAAACCATTTGTCATATTATACACTTTTACACATGCATGGTATGTGCTTTTGTTTGTTTTGCATGTAGTTAGTCATTTTTTTTTTTTTTTTTTTTTTTTTTAATTCTTCCTTGTGCATACCTTTAAAATAGTCGTTCAATTTTCCCTGACCTCCCATTTCGCTAGGAAAGTACGACTGGTAACTGAGAGCAACAAAACCAAACGCACTAATGAGAGAAAAGTAAAACAAATTGAAAAACATCAGATTGAATCTGTCCACTTTGATTTTCCGTATTCTTTCATTCCATTTTCTGCGAATTGGAAAAAAGTGGAGTGTGCATTCAATAAAAAAAAAAAAAAAAAAAAAAAAAAAAAAAAAAAAAATAAAAAAAAAAAAAAAAAAAAAAAAAAAAAAAAAAAAAAAAAAAAAAAAAAAAAAAAAAAAAAAAAAAAAAAAAAAAAAAAAAAAAAAAAAAAAAAAAAAAAAAAAAAAAAAAAAAAAAAAAAAAAAAAAGGGGTAGGATTAAATATACAGCTAAGAACAAGCATAGGGAACTCAAACCGACATACATGCCGATGGAATTATTGCCAGAAAAAATTACATGACAGAGACATATAAATTACTTCTTAGGAATCCAGCGTTCGCCTAAGGGATAGGATATTCTGTTCATCAAATACTTCGCCACTAAAGCGAAGAAAGCGCTTATGATGAAAAAAACAAAGTAACATGGTTTTGGAATTATGTATTTTTCATTGTAAAAAATTTTCATATCTTTTTTGACATTTTTAAAACAAAAATTTGTATACAATTTATTCAGTTCATTATTCACGAAATGTAAGAGTGTCCCGTTTTGCAATTTATTCCCTAGGTCATACAGTGGCCATATTTGTTGAAGTGTAAAAATTATGACTACTAGTAATAAAAATTTGAAGACTGTATCAAGTTTCATTCTACGGTGGAGGCATGCGAAGGACAACGATATACAGCGACTATTTTAATAGCAAATACGTGCATCAATTTGTGTGCAGAAAATTATGGTAATTTCTTAGGCGCTTCTTATAACTGTCCCGTTACTTTAACACCTTAAGAGTCAGAAAAAAAAAAAAAAAAAAAAAAAAAAAAAACGAGCCCTTGCAAAGTGTCCGAGGAAAGGCTTCCTTTAACGTTACGTGAAAAGTGTGCACTATGAAAACATCTGTATATGCATGCATATATCTGAACACGTTCAGGTACAGATACACAAACATGTACATACATACACATGCGCACATATATAAATATATGTATGTATGCCTGTTCATGTGATAAATTAAAGTAAGACGTGCACCGAATTACACTGTAAGAAGATCGATTAAGCTTTTAAGCTCCATGTATAGTCACGACGTTCCCTTTTAATATAACTAAGACAGGGGAAGACAAAAATGCTCTGTTACGAGGGATAATCTACAATCCAAATATGTTGGATCAAGAATATCCAAATGGGAAATGGACGAGGGGGATCACGAGGAATCTAGGAAAAGTGCAAGGTATTCACATTGACAGATATGCAGGGAAAATCCAAACTGATAGTTATGTAAAGTGACAATTATGCAAGGTGATAATTATGCATGGTGACAGCTATGCATGGTGACAGCTATGCATGGTGACAATTATGCAAGGTGACAATTATGCAAGGTGATAATTATGCAAGGTGGCAGGTGTCGTCCCAAGAATATATAACTCCTTAACGAAATGTACAAATTGTAGGAATGTTCCCCTTTTGTGCTATCAGTCCTCACACTAAAATACATAACAAGTTGCTTTCTCGAATAAACAAACAAAAAGAGGGACACAAAAGAAAACAAAAAAAAAAAAAAAAAAATTGTGTTGCGTGAAAAATAAATTAACAAAGCCAATTTGAGATCATGCGAGAAGTGTGCATTTTTAAATTTTCAAGTACTCCAACGTGTAATTGTGTACATATATATGTACTTATGTATATAAACGAATGTGCACAAGTATACACGCATTTACCTCTTTGGGCACACATGTGACTTATTAATAAAGTACTAAAAGGCAAAAAAAAAAAAAAAAAAACTCCAAATTCTTGGGATAATTTTTTTTTTTTTTTTTTTTTTTTTTTTTTTTTCAATAACTGAAATTTTGTAGGGAGAAAAATAACAACACAGTGTATATATATAAGGGAAAAAAAAAAAAAAAAAAAAAAAAAAAAAAAAAAAAAAAAAAAAAAAAAAAAAAAAAAAAAAAAAAAAAAAAGGACAAAACAGCAAAGATAACATGCTATATACTAGCAAAATCCACATTTAGTCAAAATAAATTTAGAATGACAAGTTAAACTTCTTTTCTCATCTTGTAAAAATTGATGAGAGAATTATCATTAAGATAATTTGCAAAAGTGGAAATAACTGGAGGCACTAGCATTCTGTAATCCTAATTGTGTACATTCTTTTATAAGCTATGTTGTACAGATTGACCTTCCTATACACGTTCAGTGTGTCCACTTAACAAATTGACAATTTTATCTCCTGTACACCTTAATGGGGAAAAAAAAAAAAAAAAAATTGATCGGAAATGTCCCTTTTTATTTGGGATTACCCATAAGTATGATGTTAAAAGGAAAATGAGGGCTAGGATGTGTACACATGCACGTTTCGCTTTTTTGTGTAAATTTCGTTCAGAAAGAGACTTCAAATTGTGATATCGTAGCGCTAATCAGTCGTCTACTTGTTTTCTGTTGCATATATAAATGATAAGCCAAATGACACAATGTTAGTAAAAACGATTTTATAAAATCAAGTATAGTAAAAAAAAAAAAAAAAAAATTCGATTATGTACGATTTAACTTGTTAGATTATACCTGACCTGCTCACATGAAAGAACAGTTTTTACCTGAACAAGTCAGACAAAAATTACAAATGTTTTTTTTTTTTTTTTTTTGTTGTTTACACATAATTCGTGGTATGTTTTTTTTTATTGGTATAAAAAGTGTAACCTACGTATATCAACACAAAAACTGTATTACAACCCACACCACCACCCTCTCTTTACCCTTTTCCATAAGCTCATTTCCTTATAGGATCTTAACCAAAAAAAAAAAATAATCACACACGTTCACATGATTATCATAGATATGTACTACGGGTAAGTAATAATTTTTTTTTTTTTTTTTTTCTTGTGTATGTGTGTTACGAGTGAATGGGAATAGCCCTTCTTCCACTTCAAATCTTCATATCACATTCACATGTTTGCCGTTTTCATAACAATATTCACATTTTTTTTTTTTATTTTTTCGCAGCCTAACGAGGAAGAAAGCGAATAAAAAATTAGAAGAATATTCATTTGTGTGTGTGGAGAAAAAAAAAAAAAAAAAAAAAAAAAAAACCACAAATTTTAACATTCTGTTCATAGTCGCATATTACGTATTAAAAACATTAAGAATTCATTTTACTAAATATTCAATTTAATCTATCGGGATGTAGAAATATACACACACACCCCGTTCATATGTAACTCTAACCTTTCTCATTATGAAAAAAAAAAAAAAAAAAAAATTGTTCTCCCTCACTTCTTTTTCTCTATTTTTTTTTTTTTTTTTTTTTTCATAATAAGAAAGGTTAGAGTTACATACCCAATCTGATACTACTTTTAACGATGAATAAAATGAATAATTGTTCCGTGGATTCTAGTGAAGGATGGGTGCACATGTCGTAAGCTCTTGAGCCACACTATCGAGGGTTCCTTCACATGAGATCGACACTGCCTGCATAACCGAATTGAATGTTCTTACTTTTTTTTTTTTTTGCTGCATCATTAGATTGCCACTTCATTATTTTGCTGCTTCATTATTTTTTAGCGGAGGGGAACATGCACACATATTCTCATATTGCGAGTGTATTATACATACATGTACATGTTCACATTTAATATTACCTACATATGTGTGTTTAGCGTAAAAGTGTATATTTTTTTTTTTTTTTCTTAAGGCTAAATTTGTTCACGCCTACAAATCCCGTGCGTGCCTACAAAATTTTTTAAATGCTTGATTCACTTACTGATATCGAGGAGGAGAAGCCACCTTAAAAAAAAAAAAAAAAAACAGAGAGAAAAATAGTATATATATATTGTATTGTAATGGCAAGATGAAAAACCGTACGGCACAGTTTATATGCCTATAATATGGAGGGGCTCTGATTCAGCGACACTTTATATATATATATAATATACTTGTAATGACAAAGCGCACTATGAGATCTAAAACAACCATCCGAGAAAAATGAGGATTAGTGCATTTTATGAAAACTCTTGGAGGAGATCTTGTTTTAAGCTTTTTTTTTTTTTTTTTTTTTTTTTTCCTTTTCTGCATGCTTTTCTTTTCTCCTACTATCATGGTTAGTGGTGAAGAACGAGAAACGTCACTTCCGTTGAAAGAAAAATTGTTCGCAAGAAACGCATCACCTACAAATGGGCTTGCCGAGGCATCTGCTTACATAACAAAACTGTTTGAAAAAGTTTAATGATAATGCACATGTATAAATGTATAAATATGTATATGTATATATATGTACGTTTAAAAAAAAAAAAAAAAAAAATAGAATGTATTTTTGTCATGTATAAATACATGTTCAGTTTTTTTGATCAACGCAAGTAATACGGCTATGTAACAAAAGGCACCCATGCTCAGTTGCAGAGTAAGCTTGGAGAGAGAGAAAAAATGAAATAAACCAAATAAACCGAATTATAACGAAATTAACGAATTATAACCAAATAAAGCGAATTATAACCAAACAAACTAAATTAACCAAATTAACCAAATTAACCAAACAACCTAAATTTACTGAATTAACCAAAGTAACAAAATAAACGAAAAACATACTTCGCCCCCAAAAGGCAGCAGTACAACAGTTTGACGTGCCACATTCACCTACATTCCCCATACCACAGTACGTATATTTTACATGAAGAAGCAAAAACATTTGTAACGTGGCATTACACATGTAACACGTTTATGTATACGAACATTTATGTATACATACACACACACACACACACATTTTTATGCATCTAGATAGAAATATATCTCTACATTGTAACAACATAACGACGACGACCACCCCCTCATCTTCAGCAAACAGCGAATAGAAGTCATTAATTTCGTGGCCACGTGGAAAGAAAAAAAAAAAAAAAAAAAAAAAAAAAAAAAAAAAAAAACACTTGTTCAGAGCTCTGATTGACATTTTTGAAGACCATTCTGTATTAATCGGCGCTTCCATTATTTGGCTATTTTTTTTTTTTTTTTTTTTTTTTTTTTTTTTTTTTTACATTTCTTGTCTCTCGTGACCCCCACTTCCCCAGAAAGAACCAAGAATGAAAGATAATGCAAAAAATGAATACGGAACATTCCCGATAACAATCAATGAAGGATACTCAGATCAAGTGTCGGGTAAAAAGATCCTAAGTGGAGGAATATATAAAGGTTTATTTGAGAAAGTTAAATTATTATTTTTATTTTTAACATGGTACGCATTAAACATATTATATAATGTAGACAATAAAATTGCATTGAATATAACCAAATTACCATGGTTTATTAGTTGTGTTCAGTTATTCACAGGTTGGTTGTTTATATTTGTATACTGGGTTAGCGGATATAAGAAGATTCCACGTATATTTTCATATGATTTATTTTTAAAAAATATTTTGATTCAGAGTTTTTGTCACATTTTAGTTCACTTCGGTGCAGTTGTGTCCATGTCATCAACAACAGTTTCCTTTACTCATGTTGTGAAGGCATGCGAACCTGTGTTTACAGCATTGTTATCGATATTACTTCTAAAACAGTATATGAAATTTAATAAATATTTAACTTTATTAGTAATAGTAGGAGGAGTTATATGTGCATCTGTTAAAGAAATTCATTTTACATGGCTGTCCTTCTGGTGTGCAACCATTTCAAATTTTGGATCATCCATGAGATCTATATATGCAAAGAAAATGATGACACAGAAATCACAAATTGGAGAAAATCTTAGTGCTTCTAATATATATTCAATGATAACGATACTTTCAGCTCTTATGTCTTTACCATTAGTTTTATATTTAGAAGGAAAAGCATCTTATAATTTTATTATAAATTATGAAAACACAAATTTAGCCAATTACACACATAAGCAAATTCTCATCAAAATATTTCTTAGTGGAATTTGGTACTACCTCAACAATGAAGTTGCTTTTATGTGTTTAGAAAAGGTTAATCAAGTTACACATGCAGTTGCCAATTCAATTAAGAGAGTTGTAATTATTGTATCCTCAATAATTATTTTCCAGACACAGATTACTTTCCTAGGTGCACTAGGATCTGTTGTTGCCATTACCGGTGCCTTCCTCTACTCAGTTATCTAACTATAGTCATGGCATCATCCCTAGTATGTTTCGCACTTTTTTTTTTTTTTTTTTTTTGCCTTACACGTGCAAGTGTGCACATTACACCCACACCTCATCCAGCAGTTTTTCTCTCCGAACCCATGCAAGCATTTAAGATACAGTTGAAAAAAAAGTGTCACCTGTTAGAGACTCGAATTTTCACACGCTCGTTAGTCTGGATGGAGAGAAGCAGAGAATGGATAGAAGCAGAGAATGGATAGAAGCAGAGAATGGATAGAAGCAGAGAATGGATAGAAGCAGAGAATGGATAGAAGCAGAGAATGGATAGAAGCAGAGAATGGATAGAAGCAAAGAACGGATAGAAGCAAAGAACGGATAGAAGCAAAGAATGGATAGAAGCAAAGAATGGATAGAAGCAAAGAATGGATAGAAGCAAAGAATGGATAGAAGCAAAGAATGGATAGAAGCAAAGAATGAGGAGAAAGACAAAATAATTTGCTCCCCTCTCTCCCCCGAGCACGCATACCGGAAGAAAGCATATATTTCCTTTTAGAAAAAACAAAACAACACAACACAATGTAGAGAAGTGGAAGCAGTGACGTGAAGTTAAGCCAAGGCCCCACGTGTTCTGCACGCACGAGATGAGTGGTTCTTTTGCGATATGTCGCAAGTCCATTCAATTCACATGCTCTCCATTTTTCCCACCTCCTTCTACTTTCCATTAGGAAAAAATGTTCAAAATATATCTATATTATTCAGAATTCTGTAAAATTTTTTTTTTTCTTTTTTGAGTTTATTTTATATAAATGTGTGTATCTAGTATTTCATGTTAGTCATTTCTTATTCTTCTTCGTCTTCTTTTTTTTTTTTTTTTTTTTTTGAAACAACTTCACTAATTTGACATTTTTTTTTTTTTTTTTTTTAAACAACTTCCCTAATTTTACATTTTTTTTTTTTTTTTTTTTTTTTTTTTTTTTATTTTTTTTTTTTTTTTTTTTTTTTTTTTTTTTTTTTTTTTTTTTTTTTTTTTTTTTTTTTTTTTTTTTTTTTTTTTAAACAACTTTACTAATTTTATCTTTTTTTTTTTTTTTTTTTTTGAAACAACTTCACTAATTTGACATCTTTTTTTTTTCTTTTTTTTTTTTTTATCCCCACTCAATCAGTGAACATATATACTTGTATAGAAAACATACATATGTGCATGTGCATATATATATGTAAAGAAGAAATTGCCCATGTCTGTTTTGTTCTGATGTCTTTATGCACATGTGTGGTCAATATGTATATACGCATGCATGTATTTACACGTGCATATATTTAAACATGCATGTATTTAAACATGCTACTTTATCCTACCCGTGTTATATTGTAATATATTTTATTCTCCTTTTTTGAAAGAAAACATCATTACCAACAGAGGCTTCTTGTGCTGTAGAACATATATGCATATGCATATTTTTACCCAATTAGAAGGGCACACATGTCACTGTGTATATACCCTCATTTTAGTCAATTCCTTCCATTTTTCATTTCGAACACAAAGTGGTTTATACTCTTACTATTTTGGTTCCTTGTTTTTTCTTTTCGCTGCGTTTCGTTTCTTTTATTTTCTTCTATTTTTATTTATTTATTTTTTTAAAACAGTTGAATAATCTCCCATACATATAAATCCCTCCAAGTATGCACCATTGCAATATAACACTCATGAGGGAGGAAGATATATATATGTATCAGAAAAAAATTCCAATTTTCACCATCCATAAAGCTTATATGACATTAATGTAAAGGAAAATGTGGTAAAGAAGATGTTTTCTCCATCATATTTTTTAATGCATTTTGCTTGAAACACACAGAATTGTTAAAATTGAGACCTGTTTTTTTATTTACCTTTTTTTTTTTTTTTCCCTCTCTCTCTCTCTCTCTAGGATTGTAAATACAATCCTGACATAGTATCTATCATTCTTATTATGTTTAGAAATTTTTCCGAGATGGGAGAAAAGTGAATTCTCATTCTTCAAATTATTCACTTCCTTTCATTGTGCAATACCGCGATTTAACACTGTTTCAATAAAAAAAAAAAAAAAAAAAAAAAAGGGTGGGAAATGATATATATATATATATATATACACATTTCTATACTTAGACAAGGTATTCATTTTTAGACATTTGAATATTTTTTCTCTAAAAAAAACATAATCACGTTATTTTGCAAAATGTGCAGGTTTTTTTTTTTTTTTTTTTTTTTTTTTTTCTCTTTTTTGCGAAATAGCTATTTCTTTTGAGGCTTAAATAAGCTAATGTGGAGTTAAGTATACAAAAATTACATAGCGAAAAATTGAGCTATGCAAAAATAATTTTACATAAAGAGGAGTAAGAAAAGTAAGGTAGACACTTCGCACACTTTGCAGCATAACCACTTTTGCTCCCATATCTACATAACCACTTTTTCTCCCTTATCTGCATAACCACTTTTTCTCCCTTATCTGCATAACCACTTGAGTGTATACCACATCTTTGCAGAATGTATAGGAATAAGTATCAGCCAAATGTTCTATCCCTTTTGCTGAGTGCTGGGTAAGGGCTTAATTTCCCAAACATGTAGTGCACCAATCGGACAAGTGCAAAACATACAATTCGACACACGCGATGCATTCACACGTTATCACTTTAGTCTACGATGTCCCTGAGCGAAAAATAACTCCATCCTTGTCACACTACTCTCTCTATCTCTCCCTACTTTGTCTCAACCCATGTCGATAGATCCAAGCCTCTAGACCTTTGGAAGACCAAGACAAAAAAGGGGTGCGTTAGAAAAGTCCTAGATGATTCTATAAAATTAAGTGCAATTGAGATCATGTCAGAAAATACCTCAGATTCATACATATACACAGCTCCGGAGAAATTCACATCCTTGGCCATCACTCATCCATTCATAGTGCTCATCGTTAAAAATGTAAGTGTTGCATATCTCTAGTAGTGTTTTTAGAAGTAGTTCAGATAGCTTTTTTTTTTTTTTTTTTTTTTTTTTTTTTTTGTTGTCGATTAGATGGCATAGATTGACAAGGTTTACATTCTAGTTATGTTAAAATGTGAATCCTGTTTGCCCATCAGGGAGAATCATTTTCTCCACGTCATCCCTATGGTGAAGTTAGTACTCCCCATCATCATCATCATCATCCTGCACTACAGATGAATAAATACTTTTCGTTTAGAATAAGTTTAATGGATGATAAGAATTGTAGGAGAACATTTCGCATTTCTAACTTCCAGGTGAGGCAACTGTCCAGACTCAACAATATCACCACCACTTCCAAAGGATGTGCAAGATGGATTAAAATTTGCACAACACTATACCCGCTAGCCAATATCACTTCTAATATCACTTCTAATATCACTTCTAATACCACTTCTAATACCACTTCTAATACCACTTCTAATACCACTTCTAATACCACTTCTAATACCACTTCTAATACCACTTCTAATACCACTTCTAATACCACTTCTAATACCACTTCTAATACCACTTCTAATATCACTTCTAATATCACTTCTAATATCACTTCTAATATCACTTCTAATACCGATAGACTGTGACAAGACTCTCCAACAAATGGTGCACCATGCCAATGATCCTAAACGAAGGGTGGAATATCATCCAAATAAATCTAAAAGAATACACGGAAAAGGCCTTCAAAACAAAGTATGTAGAAACAACTGGAATTCAAATAAATGCGAGCGTACGAATCAGGTGTATCTATTTTTGCGACAAAATATACAATAATGATGAATTGAAAGAAGAATTTAAAATCTTTTTCAAAAAAAAGGAAAAACCTAAGTATATTCCACCACAGCATTTAAAGAATCCCCTAAAAAAAATGACCATAAGAAATATTATTACTGAGGGCGAGGCGAAGAGGGAGACCCCCGCGTGTTCAGAGAGTAACAATGAAAAGGTGGAAGAACATGAGAAAGAAAGTGTGACGAGCAATGCAACGGATCATGCAGCAGACAATGCAGCAGACAATGCAGCAGACAGTACAGCGGACAATGCTGACATGGCAGAGGCAATTGAACTGTACAAAGATAGTACAGACGATCCTTTTTTTGAAAATAAAAACGAAGATGAGGGCTACTACCTAGCACATGTCATTGCCAATGATGAGACACAAGTTGGTGAAGAATCCAGCGAAGCTACTATCGAAACAGACACTATTCTTACCGACGAGCCTGAACATTTGACACACATAAAGAACCTCGAAATGGATGTAAACAATGTGCTGTATGAAGATGTAAACTATGACACATACAACAATGATGATAACTAGTCCGTTATGCAAAAAGGACTATCCTATGTAAAAGCACTCTTTTCCTCACATTTTTTATGCACACCAGAGAGAAATTCGTAACATATACATGTACATATATGTATGTATGTATTTTTTTTTTTTTTTTTTTAAAAAGAGACTTTCGCATCTCCATGCTTGCGTGATCAAAAAAAAAAAAAACTGAAGGGGGCACTATCCCTCGGGTTGAGAAAGAAAAAAAAAAAAAAAATTAAAAAAATAAAAGGAGGAAACGTGGCAGGGAGGAAGGGCGGCAGAGCGGAAGAAAAAGAAAAACCTTAGCACACCCGGTTAGCACGGCCCGAATCAGCAACTGAAAAGAACACTCGCACAAGTGTCTATGTATATGCATGCTCGCGCACAAGTGTCTATGCATATGCATGCTCGCGCACAAGTGTCTATGTACATGCATGCTCGCGCACAAGTGTCTATGTACATGCATGCTCGCGCACTGCCACCCCGTTCGGCATGTCTAGAACAAGTCTACAACCAAGTCGTGCAACAAGTGCACAAAGCTGAGTCCCCGGATTGCACACAAATTGTCCTTGTTATAAGGGAAAAGGGGATATGAAATGAATGGAGAATGGTTGTAGATGTTGTAGATGTCTTGGCTGCGAAATGTGTGAGAGTTGATGATCTTCTTTTCTGCACCTTTGATTAAGACCAAATTAAGCTTAAGAACAAGGTCAATATCGAAGGAGAGTTCTATAGATAAGAAATCGACAAGAGGGTGAATTATCTCGTTAATATTGGTAATAGAACCATTTTGAATTAATTTTATCATGGGATATATATGAACTGTTGAGGTGTTATATGTAATTAGATAATTGTTTCTTTGAGTTCGTCTGAAATCTTTATCTCGTTTTAATTTTATAAAGAAGAGATTTTTTTGAAAATGAGTTGCATGAATAAGTATCGGTTTCTCAATCAATAATTTGGATACAAATATTAGTGCTCTTTTTATTATTTGAATATTATTTTTTAATTTAAATTGGTATGCAAAAATTAATTGTTCGATTTTTTCTTGCCGTTCATGTAATTTTTTTAAATAATTAACATGTTTTTTTTTTTCTAGCATATTCAGGCATATTTGCATAGCTATATTTCTCCACTTGTTTTGAAAAAATGAATGTTTATCATATGAATTTTGTAACATATGTAAATATTCTTTTTCTCTCCTGGTTTTTTCAATTTGTTCATTTTTAAATTTATGTGTATATAAATTCGGGGGTAAATTTTCCACGAAATCCACATAAGACATCTCATTTGATAACAATATTTCAACTGTTTTGTCGATTAGATGAACTAAATTTGTTTCCTTCTGATTGTCTAGAGACATAAAATATGTTCTTAAAGATCTTAATTTCAAAATTAAATTAGACGTTTCTGTGCAATTCTCTAGCATCGGACATCCCCTTAAGCATTCACACACTACAAAAATTTTATCCTTTTTATGTTTAAATTCTTCAATTATAGAAAATAAATACTCATTATTTTTTATACGTGTCTTTTTACGATAGCACATGTATTGTGGCATTGGGATCCTAGTGAATTCACAGATACTCATGTTTTTTTCCTTTATTAAAAATCGAATATCAAGTTCGATGCTATACACAAGTTTGCATTTTACAAAGAGGTTAATTTCGGATTCGCTGAAAATCAGCTTCTTCTTCTTCTTCCCATTTCCATCTGTCCTATTAGTACTCCTTTTCTTGATTCGTTCCTTGGCTCGGCCATCACTCCCATCACTGTCACCACCGCTTGACTTCAGTAGAAACTTCTGAATAGTATTTTTGCTTTTCCCATTTTTGCTTTTCCCATTTTTGCTTTTCCCATTTTTGCCTCTCCCATTTTTGTCGGTTCCATTTTTGTCGGTCCCATTTTTCTCGGTCCCATTTTTTTCCGTGCCTGCCTCGTCCCATGCACCCGTGGAGTCCGCCTTTCTTTTGTAGAAAAAATTTACTATATCTATGAGGGGATCACTAAACGAAAGAGACAAATAATTTTGAAATCTAAAGAAGAGATTGAAAACATGGCACAGCTGAAAAAGTTTCAAGTTAACATAAGAAGGGATACTACACAAGTGGTAGTGAAACAAATTGATATAAACATTGAGGTATACATCTTCATCGGTTTTGCATAAATTGTTTGTGATTTGTACAAGCACATTGAAGGTATTTTCAAAAATGAATTTGACGGACACTAAATTTTCTTTTAAGTTATAACTTGCTAAAGATTCATATTTATTTAAATAAAGAACTTCTATAAAATTAGATATTCTGTCACATATGCTTGTAATATGTGATGGAATCAAAGGGAAGTAGAACTTTTCTGCCATCTTGTTCATACTTGTTATCATTGGATTCAGGATAGCCATTAATAACAAATGATAGAATGGTACATATACAAAATGTTCATTGTTGAAGTAAAAAATTTTATTTTCTAACATACTCTCTTTATTTACATTCCTTTCATATATGCAAAAGTATTTAAAAACGTTTTTTATTATAATTTTAAACATTTCTGGGAATTGTATTTTTCTGAATAATTTGCACATTTCCCTAAACACATGAACCATATCTACTTCGATTAAAACATCTTTTGGATTACCTCTCCTACTAGCAATGCTTTCATTTCGATACTTATCTACCTCAACAACAGGTGAAGCTGACAATGGATACTCCTTCATATGTTCATCAAAATTGTTGTAAAATCCAAGGCTATCATCTTCATCCTTCTGTAGATGCTGTCCAGTTAGATTCACTGAATCTGTCTTTTCTTGTGTTTTTCCCTTTATAAACTTCAAGAATTCCTTCTCCATTTGGGTATCCTCCTCTTCTATGAAGCGATTCCTGTAAGAGTCTTTCCCCAGATCATTGGTGATATGATCAACTCTTCCCTTCAATGATGTATTTTTTACTGGTGCGTTCCTTGGTAAGGTATTTTCCAGAATCATGTTAGAATCCGTCATCTTGGTTGCCATCGATTCATGTGCTTCTTTCATTATCAAATCTTCTCTTTTTGGAACCACCGATTCTGGAAATTCCAAACGGCTAGCTACATCCTCACGAACACAGTGAGATAATCCATCCAACAAACGAACAAAGGAATTGGGGTTGGTCATGTCGGCTAGACTGTGTGCAAAACTGACCAAAATGTCATTCTTCATAAACAGCATCTTGATGAGAAGAAAAAAAACGGATGTTTCTATTCTGAACAAAGACTCAATATGCAAGCAGTTGTTAATTTCCTCAATCCCAAGTTTTATTAGAAAAATTGTAAAAATGTTTCTTATTCGATCGTTTCTCAAATCATAGTATAGATCGAATATGAAAGAACACAAAATGAACGTGCTGTTTCTATAAAAGTTATACTTCTCTCTAATTTTTTCTGTCTTTTGGTTTTCATATTCATGGCAGTTCTGTCTGCATCTAGACACCACATTGTACGAGTCGTAGTCGTAGATGTGGTTTAAGTAGCTCCGAACAAATTCAAAATGGTTCTTAGCCCTACTTTGTGCAAACTTAATGCCTTTGTCATTGGCTAACTCATCCTCCCCAGCAGGAGCTGCTACATATATGGAAGCACCTCCCGATGCAGATATCAATGCATTGGGCTCTCTCCCCATGTGAAACAGGTAAGACATCCTCTTGATATGCTTGACATTCTTAGAATTATGAATGAGACACAATAATGTAAGATACAGCGGCTGTTGCTGCAGAATGTACACGAAACTTTGCAGTTTATCTCTGTTATTATCTAAAACATGTGTGTAATTAGAATACATAATGGATGGCCGTTCTTCCTCTAGCATAGAAATGTTAGCGAGCACATAATTCTGATAATTTAGATGCAGATCGTTATACTGTCTCTCAAATGAATGCAAATTGAGTAGAAATTTAACATGCTTCTTGTATATATCTATTAGGTCCTTTTCAAAGGATCGTATAAAACCAATGCTGTTGGTATAATTTTCCCTTTTTAAAAGCACTTGGATATATTCCCAATTTAAATATTGTGGCATTATTTGTATTTGATATATCAATTTTTCTATTTCTTCTTGGTAGTAAGGAATTGCATATACCAAATCATTTTCAAATCGATCTCTCTTTAAGATCCTTTTCCTAACCAATTGGAATTCGTCCAAAAGTTCTTCCCGCATATTGGATGCTGCTGTAGGATTTAGACTATTTATTAAATTTCCAATATTAGCTTCTGCAGCGTATTCTCCACTTTCTCCATTTTCGCAATCTTCGTATGTTACCCAGCTCCTCACAACCTTCTTTGGATGCTTCAAATATGTCACATTTGTCAAGCCAATACCTAAGTGACAGTTAGAAGTATAACCCCATGCAAATATATCATGATTTTTTGCTAGTTGAACGAAAGAGGCATTTTTAAAAGAATACGCACTTTCTATTACATTTCCGTCCAGGAAGTATGAAATTAGTTTAGGTTTCTCATATATGGAAGTTTCTTTCTGCTCGTGTAGAATTTGCATATATGTATTATTTCCTAATCCAAATAATTTGTTATCATATGTAAGAAAAAAAATGTGCTTATCTCTACCACCGATGATATGTTTCACATTAATAATTTCAGTATACATAGTTGGATATTCATAAGAGATTCGATTTTTTATAAATTCTCCCCATATGTAAATATACCCATCAGTAGATAATATGATACTAAAAGTCGATCCAGCTATTATTTCTTTAATGTATATATTTGGATCTATATTTACTCTCCTCGGGGAACATACCATATAATTCATCTTTTCGTCTATTATTCCTAGCTTCCCATTATTTGCACTTCCACATGCATACAATTCGTTACTGTCACTTAAAAATAAACTATGATTTATCCCTAGAGAACATTTGTGTATCTTATTTGTTGTATTAATTCTACGAGGTAGTAAAATGGAACCATGGGTGTAATCCACTCCAAGTCCTACTTTTCCACTTTCAGCATTTCCCCAGGTATATAAAATTCCATGCTGAAGGGGTGGAATATCATCTACATCTTCTTCATTATCTACCTTCTCAGTATCCACTTCCTCAAAGGAACTGTTCACTATACATGCACTGTGATCATGTCCTGCATATATATCTATGACCTTACTCATGGATTTCAAATGTACAGGTTCGTAAGTGTCCTTAAGAACTCCAATTCCAAGCTGACTTTTGTCATTTTTTCCCCATCCGTATATAAATCCTTTATCACTTAATACTAATGTGTAGTTATAACCACATGCAATTTTTACAATTTTGTTTACACATATTTCTATCAGTACAGGGGTTGCAAATTTCTTTTTTAAATTGTTTTCACCATTTCCCAACTCTCCATCTTTGTTGAATCCAGATGCATATACCTTCCCACTTTGTAGTAGAAACATACTGAAATGTTCACTTCCTTCAATCATTTTTACTTTTGATCTTATCACCAATTGGTTTTTTCTTAATATTCCATATGGTTCGACACCCTTTTGTATTCCTTCTATGTCATAATAGGAAGCATCATTCAGTCTCTGCATATGATTGTGGTGGTAGACTTGCTGATATGTATAATCCCCTGGGTAGGAGTTGAATTTTTCTAATTTGTAAAAAAGGTTCAAAATATCTTTTACATGTACCTTTCCACGTAATTCTTTAACATACCTAATGGGGAATTCATTTTTCAGACTTGCATAATAATTAATCGAGCTTTTTTTTTCCTTTCTAATCATCTGATTCAGTACTTGTGCATTACTGTCTTCAGAATCGGATTCACTGTTATGATTATTTTCTCCCACAACATTGAAGTAGCTGTTGTGTCCTCTACCTACTAATGCCTCATCAGTATCTCCTAACATTATTAGATCACCAACAATCGTGATTGCAAGAACAATGTAAATAGATGCATGTACAGATATACACTTATAATTACTGTTTATCATTTTAGGTATCTTAGATGTATACGAAGAAGAACCCGTTTTTTTGTTTTTTAAGGTAAAAGAACCCCATATAAATACATCTCCTTTTACACTAAGAGCTAGTGAATTAAAAGTTCCAAAACTTAACATAAATATTTTATTGGAACAAGTTAAAAACTCAACAAATTTTGGAACCAATACATCATTATCATCTCCATGCCCAAGTTTAAAAAATTTCCCATTTCCCCAAGTGTATACATTATAATCTGCATCTATACATCCTGAATGAGACTTTCCAGAACACACATAAATTATTCGTTTTCTATTTTGCAATCTTCTTATCAGTTGAGGTTTATTATAACTTCGAATATTTCCAAGTCCTAACCTTCCATTCCCTCCATATCCCCAGCTGTACATGTCCCCTTGTAAGGTGCAAGCTAAACTATGCTTTCCTCCTGCAGAACAATGAATAACTACATCTTCTTTATGTTCATCCAGAAAGGGAGAACTACTCCCATGGTATTTCCTTAATTTATTACTCTTACCATACTCAGTGTTATTTATCACCATTTTCCCCTCGTCACTATGTAACCTTCTTTTTCGAAAAAAAATACGAACCGGCTCGTACACATTTTTGTTACATCCATTCCCAACACATCCAAAGTTGTTATATCCCCAACCGTATAAAATACCATTCGTCGAAATTGCTAACGTGTGCATATCTCCACATGAAATGAATTTTATTTTTACACGTTCTGGAAATTTCACTTTTATAGGCATTGGGGTAAACCAGTCTTCCTTCTCTTCCTTTAGATCATTTCGAACTTTATAATAATTTTCATTCTTCATTCTTTTCGCTCTTGTCTTGTTCTTTTCCTTATGTTCTTCCATTTTTTGTCTACCTTTTTTTTCCCCTTCCCTAGTGTTGTCAGGTACAGTTTCTTCTTCACCTTGCTCCTTCTGCTTTGAAATATGCTTTTTTGTAACAGGATCAAAGTGGGGATGACCGTCTGTTGAGGTGTCGTTTCTACTTCTCCTTCCATCTGCTGAGGTGTCGGTTTTGCTTCTCCTTCCATCTGCTGAGGTGTCGGTTTTGCTTCTCCTTCCATCTGCTGAAGTGTCGGTTCTACTTCTCCTTCCATCTGCTGAGGTCTCGGTTGCACTCCCCTGATCGTCCTCATCGGGAGAACTGGAAATTTGGCTGACATCAAAATCCAGTAAACTGTCGACGTTACCAGAAGAAAAAGATTCCTTTTTTTTCTGGTTAATCCCAAATGCATCTAACAGAGTTTTATTGGCCTTATTGTTGAACTTTCTCATGTGTTTATTTTTTTCATTCAAATGAATATCCTCCTCTTGTAATGGAATCAAATTTCTTTTCTTTCTAAAACCTAACAACCCATTGTTTCCTTTTCCAAATGAATAAACTGAACATCCAACATCAGATGCATTTTTTTTAGCCAATACATGGGTACAATAATAAGTGCAGCATACAGATGAAACATAGAAATCTTCAAAAAATGAAACTGCAGTAGGTCTTTTGCAATATCGTGTATTGATCCCAACCCCTAACTGATTACATGAATTTCCACCCCAACAATATACAGTTGGTTTGTTCTTTAAATATCCAACACATGCATAGTGATCTAACCCTGAACTTATTTTGGGTACAAAACTGAAAATGTAGTTCTGAATTTCATTATCTTCTGTGTTTTCTTTGTTCATTCTTTTCTACCTTTCCTACCTTTTCTACCTTTTCTACCTTTTGGAATTGGTTCTCCTTCGTTTTACAAACAGAAAGAAGGGGTGTGTGTGTGTGTGGGAGGAGCACGCCTGCACACGCTTTGCGTAGGTTTACTTGTATCTGTTTGTGTTTACTTGTGTGTTTCTTTTTTTTCTTTTTCCCTTCTTTTCAAACTCAATATGAATCCAAAGGTGGTAGTGGTAAACGGGAGATCATCTCTCAAAAGACTGTTCAGCAATTCCTACTTGGTGTCTAAATAGGCCAAATAAGGAAGAGCCAAGTGGAAGGAACTTGTGAGAGATAAAAGTGTTTTCTTTGAATTTGCTACTTTTTGTGTTCCCTTTATACAAATTTTTTTTTCGACAAAAAAGTTAACATTAACCTTTAACAAAGCTATCCTGCACGGGTTGATGATCTAAATCAGGAGCAGACAGAAGTAAGAGGCTGCTGAAAAATATGCTGCCTTATGTTATTCCATGTTATGTTGTGCTGTGTTACTATTTTATTTTATTATTATTATTATTTTTTTTTTTTTTTTTTCCACTTTGCTTTTTCCCTTAAATTTTGAAGTCATCATTCATGCTTGCTCGTAAAATGGTAATGTGGAACTTTTTCTCCTCTTTGTCTTGATTTCTCAAGTTTGTTTTGTTCATGAAGGTATATCCGGCGAAAAAATCGTGCACCTGCACTCTCGCATGTTCAAGCATATGTATTCTGCATACATATGCATATATATATATATATATATATATATATATATATATATATATATATATGTATATATGCTTAAATACACATGTGTACACTTATAACATAGTGAATATGTGTATTATGCATATTTACCTTTTTTCAAAGCTTATTCAATTTTTCCCTCCCTCCCCCTATTTTAATTATTATCAATGCTTCACAAAAACAGGGAAGTGTCTTCCTAACCAATGCAGCCATATTCTCCTGAGAAAAAACTCTCCGAATTTTTCATCCTGGTGGTTTTTTTTTTTTTTTTTTTTTTTTTTTTTCTTGCACTGAATAGGCAACACAGAATAGGGGAAAAAAAAATAAAAAAAATATGCACATGCATATAAATACAAAATATTTATGCATGTTCATACAATTACATGATTCCGCTTGGTACAAAAAAAAAAAAAAAAAAAAAAATGCATATTTATAGTAAACAACGTTCTGCATGTTCATACATTTAGTCGAATATTTAAAAAAAAAAAAAAAAAAAAAAGTGGGGGAGTTATTAGACCAAATTTTCCATATAGAAAGAAAGCTCCAATCTCCCCCCATTTGCCAACCTTTGGGACAAAATCCAAGTAGTCTGATCATGACCGAGATTATATAATACGTATGGAAAACGAACTCTTAACAAGAGCATTTGAATGCAAAACCGATTTAACTTACACAACGGCATGGAGTCATACGAAAGAGAAACTTTGCAGCACTAAAAAAAGAAAAGCCTTGCAACACTAGAAAAAGGAAAGCCTTGAAACACTAGAAAAAGGAAAGCCTTGAAACACTAGAAAAAGGAAAGCCTTGAAACACTAGAAAAAGAAAAACTTTACAACACTAGAAAAAGGAAAGCCTTGAAACACTAGAAAAAGGAAAGCCTTGAAACACTAGAAAAAGGAAAGCCTTGAAACACTGCGAAATAGCAGCTTTGCAAAAACTGCAATACATTAACATTGTGACATAAGGTGGAAAAGCCTTTTTCCAAGTATCAAAAAAAAAAAAAAAAAAGAAAAAATGCCCAGCAAGGCAGGAAGAGTCCGGATGCCCGCTGACAACAGGCTACCCGTTTCAGCATCTCTGAAAACATCAGAAATTTGGAAAAATTCAGTTGGATATGATCCATATGCATCCATTGAAGAATTGAATAACAAGGAGTTAAAAAAAAACGAATCCAGAAATGAAGAAATAAATGAAAAGGCAAAAAGTTTATTCAATTTGGCCGTTCTAACAGGAACCTCTTCAACTACCATTCCTGGTGCATGTACGTTATGCAATCATATTGGTCATTTGCCGTACCAATGCAGGAATTTTATAACCATTGAGGAATTGAACTTCCAGAGGGACATAAAGGAGGAGGCGGAAGATGACCTTAAGGAGCGCAAAAATTTGGGAATCGTCAGTAGTAGTGACAGTGGTAGTGAAAGTGGTAGTGAGAGTGGTAGTAACAGTGGAAGTGGTAGTGACAGTGGAAGTGACGCATACGTAAAGCGAAGACGAAGGGAAAAGCATAAGAAAAAGAAACACAAACTTGAAAAACGACGAGATAAACATGAGGAAAGGCGAAAACATAAACGTGAGGAAAGGCGAAAACATAAACACGAGGAAAGGCGACGACATAAACTTGGGGGGAAAATGGAAAGGGAGAACGATCATCACAGTAGCAAAAAACATTCAAAGTTAAACATGAATGAAAAGGAAAAACGGAAAAAGAGGACCAGGGAAAGGGGAAATGAAGGTGGAGAGAGAAAACGACACAGGAAGAGGAGTTTCTCAAACTAGTGAAGAATTCTCAAAACTCTTGAGCACTTGTACAGGCACACCAAGTGGATAAAACTGAATGATTGAAATTTGTGATGCAAATATGATGAAAAGGACAAAAATCGATTTGGTGCATTTTGTTCCGTATAAACAGAGAGATTCGTACAATGCATACTTTTGTAAAAAATTTATCAGTTTTAATGGAATAGAATAGTGTCATAAACTTTGATTATTTTTCCTAAAACAGCCGTTCCCTCCTTACAATTATTTCTCTGTTTTTTTTTTTTTTAATTTTAAAGAAAATTTAACACATTTTAAAAGAGGAAGGGTGCGAATGTGTGTATGTGGGTGTGGGGTGGCTTAACCAGCACAACACCCAATCTTATCCGGAGGCGTTCAACTTATTTCTGTAACTGAAGAATAATTGTTACACTCCGTTCTTTTCATATATATAACGTACTTATTTGTTTATATATTTTTGTTCTTTTCACCTCTTTTCCATTTTTGTCTGATTATATAAAATATAGGAAGAATTTTTTTTTTTTTTTTTGTTAAATGGTTTTTTTTTCCTGTAAGTATTTTTTTTTTTTTTTTTTTTTTTTTTGGTGTGTGTATTAACAACTTTCATAAGTCATAACGTAAAAAAGGGAAATGTCTATTTTAGGGATATACCCTCCTCATATTTTCTTCCCGTTCCTCACTCTTTATTTTAAGTTTGATGTACATATCCCACTGAACAAGGAATGAATAGAATGTCTCTTTATTATTCTATCCTGTTTGTTCATTTTTAACCGATAGCAGTTAACAGCCAGGAGATCAAATATTTATTCATTCATTCTTTCCTTTTTTTTTTTTTTTTTTTTTTTTTTTTTTTCTCCATTTTGATGAAAAGAAGAGATACTCGAAATGAGGGAATTTTCATCTCTATTGGGGGAATGTTTATATATCTTAGAAAATATCTGAATTTTTTCTTATAACAATGCATAACTTTTTTTTTATTATTTTCTCCATTTTGTGAAATGTTAAAAAATTTTATCTTTTATTTTATTACCTTGCTTGGTCAGGTAAAAAATAGAGAAAAAAAAAAAAAATTTCACAAATTTCGTGAATTTATCAAAAATGTGGGGGGAAAAGATGTCATCTAAATGATGAACATTGAAAAAGGAGCCATTTTGTTTATCTTGTTTTATTTTTGCAGAATAAAATAAACCTTCCAAAGCATGACATTATCAAATATTTATCCAATATATACTTTCTTTCGCACTGCTACCACCATATGGGTATTTGTTCTTTCCAGTTGGGGGTGTAAATAACATAGGCTCGACGCCTAACATTTTGCCACGCTAAGCATGTGTATATATACACATATACATACACATATATATACTTATATATACACATATATACACATAGATAGATACCTGTGTGTATGTGTTCTCAACGCGTACCCTTCAGCACCCTTTTTGCTATTACGACACACAGGAGAAGCAATAGGAACGGAAAAGAATAAATAATTTAAGCCGTTTTTTCACGCCCTTCTCGCTGGCCATGGAGATTCTGACCCAAAATTTAATTTATGCAAAATCTATGAACAACAAAAAAAAAATTAAAATAAAACAAAGCAAAACAAAGCAAAACAATGCAAAAAAAAAAAAAACAAAACAAAGCAAAACAAAGAAAAACAAAGCAAAATAAAACAAAACAAAATAACAACAGGCATACTCCTCCATTTTCAAATTTTATTCCATCGTTTTTTTTTTTTTTTCCTATAACTGTTCGGAGTATTAAAAAAAAAAAAAAAAAAAAAAAAAAAAAAAACAGTAAGAAAAAAAAAAAGTGCCTTGAAATATTTGAAGTTTCCTATATGTCACATCACATACATACGTATATGTATATATATTAAGTAGATGACTTTGGAACCAGTTCATTGCGCAGTTCTTCATGCAAAGGTGTTTTTTTTTTTTTTTTTTCCTTTTTCCCCGTTCTTACAAAAACTGTTAACACCTGCGTGTATGAAGGATCAACTTAATCGAGCCAAAGATTCCATGGCTGCTGTGTGAATTCTTTAGTTTTAAAAAAAAAAACAGCTGTGTAGGAATCCATTTCTACTTTGAATGTCCAATGTAGGCACATATGTATTTACATATAATGTTCTAAACAGTTTTTAGTATATATATATATATATATGAACGTCTTACCTAAGTTGTTACTATCCTCCTTCACCTTCTCCCATTTTCTGCTGCCTTTTTTTTTTCTCAATACAACTTGAGAACAAGAAAGAGAAAAACGCATGTTTCTTTGCAAACGCATGAAAAAACATGTTGATCTGAATTGGGACGTACTTTACTAGACCAATCTCAATGAATTTCAATATAAACGTCCATTTCAAATCAGCATGAGTCGTCATTATGAAAATTATAAAAGGGATAGAAACAATAGCATCCTGAGTAGCAGTAAAAGAAAGAAAAATGAATTTCGATATGATAATCATGAAAGGAAAAGGGATTCACACGATGAAGAATCTTTTAAATCATATACAATACACAAAGAGGAGACGAGCGAGGAAAGAGATATGCAGTATTATAGAAAACGGATTAGACAAGAATGGGGTGATAGGGTAAGGTTGCAAAGAGATTGTGAAAGGGTGAGTAGGAGAGAATGGGAAAGGGAACGGTATAGAGAGAGGAGGAACTCACACTTGAGATCACCCGAGGGGTTTCACAAAAAATCGAAAAGGAAAAAGGAACGTATGAGTAGTAGCGGTGATGAAGGGGACATGAGCGAATATGCGGATGGGCGAAGTAGAAGAAGTGGGAAAAGTGGGAGAAGTGGAAGAAGTGGACAAAGTGGAAGGAGTAGTAGCTGCAGCAACGGGCACCAAACTTCTAGTGCAATGTATTCAGAGGCCGTAGAAAGAAAGAGGATGCAACATGATAAGGAGAAACTGGGAGCGAAAGGAAGTCGTGATGGTGAGGATAGGAGAAGAACAAAAAGACGTATCAAACATGGTGATAGAAGTAACGAAAGTAGTATTTCTCAAGGAGAAGATTCCAGTGAGGGTAGAAGGGAATGTCGTAGGGCACAGGAAGGACTAAAAAGGGAACGTAAAAACGAGAGGGGGAAATCAATCCATTACGGATCCTCCGACAGCAGCAGCAGGACCTCGGAAAAATACCTACGCAGAAAAAAAAAAAAAAAAAAAAAAAAAAAAAAAAACTATTCTACATCTGAGGATGACAGTAGCACAGAGAAAGAAGAGAAGGAAGAGAAAGAAAACAAACAACACAAGGAGAAGCATAAAAAGAAGAAACATGGCAAACGGGATGAGGAGAACAATGATGATCGCAGCAAGACTACTGGCAGCAGGGACCTTGGGAAGAAAGACCCATTGGCAAGTGAATCTGGTGAAAACACGGATAGTGGAAGCGAGGTCAGAAGAAAGAGAAAGGAGGTTAGCATCAAAGTGGACGACCAAGCGGTTGGCAACGTGGATTCTAACGTGGATTCTAACATGGACACCAATGCGGATGCCAATGTGAGCACTTTTGCGAGTGCTCCTACGAATGATCTTCCGAGCGGCAAGGAGGAAAATGGCGAGCACAAACTTAGCCGTTTGGAAAGATTAAAACGTTTCGCACAAAAGATAAAAAAGAAAGGGAATGATGAAGTAGATGTAAAATTACCCCTTTCTGCAAAGACTACGAAATTTACCCTGAACATGACAAGAACCCATGTTGGTAAGAAGAAGAAGCTCGATTTGGACATATTTCAAAATATCACAGGGGACGCTGATAATGTTGGGGACTCGGAAGAGGAGGAGAAAAAGAAGAAGAAAAAAAAAAAAAAAAAAACGAGTGCACGTAAAATGAACGGAACAGATGATGTAACCACAGACTCGCATAATAGAAAGGAGGATATTGAAGAACTTAATACAGACAAATGGAAAGAAGTTGGAGAAAATGATAATGAAGATGCTTTGGAATTGTTCATGAGAAATTTGGAAAAGGACTATGCAGACAAAGATACTGAGAAAGTTTTGCCTAACCAAACTATAACATTGGACGAGATTTATAATTATGATGTTAACATGCACAAGTTCGAGGGGTCAGGAAAGATAAATTCTTACAAAAATGAGGGTGACACCTCGGGTGAAGAAGCGGGACTAGCCAAACCGAGTGAAGAAGCGGGACTAGCCAAACCGAGTGAAGAAGCGGGACTAGCCAAACCGAGTGAAGAAGCGGGACTAGCCAAACCGAGTGAAGAAGTGGGACTAGCCAAACCCGGTGAAGAAGCAGATCTTACGAAGGACCAAAACAGTGAAGAATACTATAGACTGTTCATTGAAGCACTAAAAAAAAAAACAGAAGACGACATACAGAAAGAGACTAAGAAAGACACGGAGAAGGAAGTTGAAAAAATAGGAAAAGAGAAAAATGGAAACTCCACTGCAGGAAAGAGCGAATCAGAAGAAGAATCTATAGATGGCTTAAGTGAAGATAGCGAATTTAATATCGAAACGAATACTCTAAGAAAAGTGAATAAAAAATTGCTACAGGTAAATCATGATGAAGTAGAGTACCTACCAATTAAAAAAAATATTTATGTACAGGTAAGTGAAATAACGAACATGAAAGAGAGTGATGTAGAAATGTTTAGGAAAAATAATGGAAATATAATTGTGAGAGGAAAAAATTGTCCAAGGCCAGTTCAATATTTTTATCAATGTGGTTTACCATCTAAAATTTTACAAATATTAGAAAGAAAGAATTTTAAAAAAATGTTTAGTATTCAGATGCAGACAATTCCTGCTCTAATGTGTGGAAGAGATGTTATAGCAATTGCTGAAACGGGTAGTGGAAAAACATTGTCATATTTATTTCCTCTTATGAGACATGTACTGCACCAACCACCATTACGTAATAATGATGGGCCAATAGCTATAATTCTTACACCAACAAGAGAACTAAGTAAACAAGTAAAGAATGAAGCAAAAGTGTATTGCAAAGCAGTGAATTTGAAAATATTAGCTGTTTATGGAGGTTCTAATATAGGATCCCAATTGAACAGTCTTAAAAGAGGGGTAGAAATATTAGTAGGTACTCCTGGTCGTATTATAGACATATTAACCATAAGTAATTGTAAAGTTACAAATTTGAATAGAGTTTCTTTCGTTGTTTTGGATGAAGCAGACAGATTATTAGATCTTGGATTTGAATCTCAAATACATAGTATTCTAAACAATTGTAGAAAAGATAAACAGACTGTCATGATTTCTGCCACGTTTCCAAATTATATTCAAAATTTAGCAAAAAAATTGTTATATAAACCTATCGAAATTATAGTAGGAGAAAAAGGAAAAACGAACAATAACATATACCAATTTGTTCAAGTATTAGAAGAATCACAAAAAATTTTTCATCTTTTAAAATTACTAGGAGAATGGGCAAGTTATGGGTTAATACTTATTTTCGTCAATAAACAGTTAGAAGCAGATGTACTTTATTTAGAATTATTTAAATATGATTATAAAACATTGGTGTTGCATGGTGGGCAAGACCAAGCTGATAGGGAATTTACCTTGCAAAATTTCAAAGAAGGAAAAAACAAAATTTTAATAGCTACATCTGTTATGGCAAGAGGTATTGATATCAAAAATATTATAGTAGTTATTAATTACCAATGCCCTGATCATATAGAAGATTACATACATAGAATCGGAAGAACTGGGAGATCAAACAGTATTGGATACTCCTACACATTTATCACACCCAATGAACATTTAAAGGCTTATGACATTTACAATCTAATAAAAAATAATATATACTACATTAACAAAACCATAGATATCCCTCTTGAATTAGAAACGCTGGTTCAAGAATACACCAATAGTACTAGCTTTTCTGAGTACAAAAAAAAAGGGTACACAGGAAAAGGATACAAATTTACTCCAAATGAAAAGTCTCGGTTGCAGATAGATAAGGCTATTGCAAAGAAGGAACTTGGATTAGTACAGGACAAGGCAGACAATCAACCAGACGTTTGTGCTCCAGATGGAGAATTAGATGTAACATCAGCGGTAGCGTCAGGCATAGCTCCAGCTCTAGGCCAACTGAATGGTATGGCCACCGGGGCCATGTCAACTCATGTCTCGCTCTCGTCAACAGTTTTGCAAAACCAGAGAAGATCTTCAAATCAACAAGGCTCACAGCAGCAGAAGCAGCAACAGCAGCAGCAACAGCAGCAACCGCCGCCCCCTCCTCCTCCTCCTCCACCTGGTGAACCGCCAGCATTAAATGAACAAAATGACATCAAACGAATAGAACTGGAAATACAGAGAATAAAGATGAATGACAAAATGGATTTATCTCTAAAAGCAAAAACAATAAATGAACTAATGAAAACGTACAATTTTGTTGCCCAACAACAAAAGAATATGAAAAAAAATGTGGAGACATCCCAAGAAAGTGAAATCGAGAAAATTGCAGAAAAAGAAGCAACAAAAGCAAGTGAACATATAAAAGATGAAAAGGAAAGACAGTTAATCTTTAACAGAATTAAGGAAGATGTAAAGAAAAAATTAGCAAATAGTAAAGTACAAACTAATAGCAAAACTGAAAATATTCATAGAAATATGCTTCTAAATTCAATTAGAACAAGAAATATGAAAAAGTATTCACCTTTCTTACCTCATACCTATGTTACTGAAGATAACACTATTTTGGAAGAATTCTACATTAATGATTACCCACAGCATGTTCGTTTAAAAATATGTAATCGTGATGTTCTTGCACGAATTTCAGACATGTCAGGTGCTAGATGTCAAATAAAGGGCCAGTATTCAAACCCTGCACAGCCAACAAAAACCACCTTTCTACTGGATTCCAAACAGCTACATATAGAAATTACTGCATCTACGTACAATCAGGTTCAGATAGCGCGCAATGAATTTACGTCCCTCTTGAATCAGTTCTTGCAAAAGTGTAACGTCAAGGGGCACCGGAAGGGCTGATGCAAATCAGGCGCGGTTAGCCACATGGCAGGGTGGGTCATCTCTCGGAGGAAGAAGAAGTAGAAGTGGAAGAAGCAGAAGAAGCAGAAGCAGAAGAAGCAGAAGCAGAAGTGGAAAAAGCAGAAGAAGAGGAGGAAAAGGAAGACTACGGGGACTACCGCGAAGATGGGTGCAGCCAAACCGTTTCCAAGAGAGCGCGTGTCGTTTCTTTATATTTAATATTTTCTATTGATAATTTTGTTCGCACCTTTTTGGCTAGTTTTTCACCCATATGGATAGGTTTTTATTTTTTCTTAGCATAGCTATAGCTGAAGTTTTAGCGTTCCCCATTTTGTATGTTCAGGTGCACATATATGCACCCTTATGGACAATCCTTCTTTTTTTTTTTTTTTTTAATTAAACATGTGTGCGTATGGATCACGCCGGTATGATCAACTGACTCACGTGCACCTGCGCTTTTGCAAGTTGCACATCCGAAACTTTCACACGTTCCCATTTTTATGCGACCATTTTTAAGCGCCCATTTTTATGCGCCCATTTTTTTTTTTGCGTTTTTGCAAACCTATTTTCCTAGTAAACCTAACAGCGCCTTTTGTTGTGCCTTTTTTTTCGTTTCAGTTCAGCGAACCTTTATTATTACTTTATTTTATTTATTTTTTTTTTTCTCACTTTTTCACCAAAAAAAGGTTTTACTAAACCATGATGATGGATTTACTGGAGCAGTTTTACCATCCACTTTAATTCACATTCACACCTTGGCAGTACACATATAGTGCGATGAGTGCGTGCATATCTAAAGTGATACAAAATTGATCAGAGGAATTTTATAAGCCCTTTTAATGGCACACAAATATATAATTTTTTAAAATGTTTTAAAAAAGAGGGGATATTTCACACGCACTCTGTTACACATATTGCAATTCTCCACATAGTAAGACAAAAAAAAAAAAAAAATAAAAATAAAAATAAATAAAAAATAATAATAAAAGAAAAGGAAAGGAAATGGGCGAAAAAAAGGCCAGAGGTGTGGACATATAAAATGAGTGCCTGGAGGTTGGGTACGGAGTTATATATGAACATTAATATGTCTGTCCACATGAACATTAATATGTCTGTCCACATGAACATTAATATGTCTGTCCACATGAATGTTAATATGTCTGTCCACATGAATGTTAATATGCCTATTCGTATGCACGTTAATATGCCTATCCGTATGGACGTTAATATGCCTATCCGTATGCATGTTCATACGGCTACCCATGGACAAAAGTGCTCTGCGCAGCATGTGCATGCGTGAACCGTTCGAAGGCACTCGAATTTGTGGGTACTGTTATAATGCCACATGTGGTATCTATTCATCTATCTACCTACCTATCTATATGTACAACTGGAATCGCACATACTTCTTTTGCTAAAGACACCTGGTATCTCTGCACCATTCAGAGATATTCGAATTAGCAACCCGAAAGGGTTTACTCGTGTGCACATTTTGACATTCCATTATTGCCTGCATATACGAGGAGAAGAAAAAAAAAAAAAAAAAAAAAAAAAAAAAAAAAAAAAAAAAAACATATATATGAACAAAATGGCTAGCTGGGTAATAATTTTATGTGCACATAACCGGTTATGCAATTCGATTAACATGTAGCAACACATACACACAGAAATATATATACATATGTATGCGTGTACTTGTGCATGTGTGTGCTTACCCTATGTCAGTCGTCAAACTCCTGCGTGTTCATCTTATCATAGATACCCTCGTCCTTGCCGAGACCATCATCCAGAGCATCGAATGGTTGGGAGGGCGCGCCCTCGAGACCTTGTGTAAAATCGTCTTGTGGTACTGCACCATCATTCTGTGTATTGGAGGAGACAACAGTATCTTCAGAATTAGCACTGAAATTGGGAGGTGTATTTACATCGCTAGATATGCTTGTAGTTTCATTATGCTGTATATTTGATGAATTTCGAGAAATAAAATTACGTTTATCATCCAGAAATATTAAATCTCCTTTATTATATGAAAGGACCACTTCAGTTATTTGTCTTGGTTGACTATTTAAGTCATTTCCAAACCATCTTCTAGTATGTAATGAACCTTGAATATATATTCTTCTTCCTTTTCTTAAAAATTTATCAATAAGATCAACAATATTTTGATCATATACTACAATTCGATGCCAATCCGTCTTAGATTTCAACTCATTTGTATTTCTATCTCTCCAAAATTCATTCGTTGCTAGACTAAATGTTGCTACTTTATCACCTCCATTCAAAATTTTTATATCTGGTTCACATCCCACTCTTCCTATAAGGGATATTTTGTTCAAAGACTTTTCGCCCGTCATAGGTCGATTATTAAAAAAACGTTTATTTTCATAATTATAATCATTTTGCAATTTACGTTTTATTAAATTCACTTTTCGGCTTTTTATTCTTTTCTTATTGGAGTAGAAGTTTAGTTTCTCCACATTTTTCTCACTTATGTATCCCCATATTACTTCTTGAAGCTGAATCCAGAACATCAAGCCACTCACTAGTAGTAATTTCATGCTTCCTCTGTTTGCCCTATACGCATAATATCTTTCCTAAGAACGAAACTGAGAAAAACTCCGAAAATTTTGCTAAGGCCAAAAGGGTCCTTCTTCTTCTTCTTCCTCTTCTTCTTCTCCCACCCTCTCTCTCTTTCTCTTTCAGTGTATATTCTTAATAATCATATCCATCAAACAGTTGTGTAATATTTGCGATGGGAGAGAAAAATGGACGATATGAGGTTGAATTTGTAAATGAATTTCTATTTCTTAATTAAAAAAAAAAAAAAAAAAAAAAAAAAAAAAAAAAAATCATTAATACCAATATGCATATACTATGCTCTTTTTTAAATGCTATATTAATACACTAAAAAAAAAAAACAGGACCCCTCTTCTCTTCCCCACAAATGATATAGAAGAGCAGGATGGGATAGAGAGAATGTTTTTGATTATAATATTGTTACCCTTGTTTGCACATGATTCATATTAAAAAAATACTCATACTTTGGTGAGATCTGATTAAAGAGAATTTGTGTTCATTTTTATTAAAAACAAAAACACAGTTACATGTAGATACATATAATAACCTAACCTTCCTACTTATTGGGAATAACGAAATTAAACAAATTTCTGGAATTCAAAATCATAGAAAAAAAAAAAAAAAAAAAAAAAAAAAAAGGTGGCTGATAAAGTTAATAAAATGGAGGAACATTACATGAATATGTTCCATTTTGACCATATTCCTGTTTGAAGCAAACTTTACGAATGTGAAAAGAGTTTTAAGATAAAAATAATACATGTTTTGAATCTTTTTTTTTTTTTTTTTCTTCAAGGTTATCCACTACCCTTCCTTTGTTTACTAATGAAAAAATTATTTTCATTTTCCATTGTATAGGTAGAACAAACATATAAATGGATGTATGCAAAAAAAAAAAAAAAAAAAAAGAAACGTCCACTAATCATCGTTTTCACATTTACCCCCCCCCACACTTACATATACATTCTTGGGAGAATAAATTTTCACGAATTCCGCACATTTTGCGTGAATGGAAAAATAAGTAGACGTTTACCTATGTATTATATACATGTATACATATGCATATATACATATGAATATATAACATATACATGTATACATATGCATATAAGCATTGTGGGAAGCAAAGCGTCGGGAGATCTAAATTTGACATGCTTACTTCCTCGAAATTGACCATACAACAAAGTATTTCCCTTTTTTTTCTCTCTTCTTTTCACGATAAAATAGAAAAAAAAATATTTTATAGCTAAAACAACATCATACGGTATGTTATTTTTAATTATCTTAAGGGAATTGCAAAAATGCATAGTAGAAAATAAGAGATGTAACACTACTGAATTCCCACATGACAAGTCTTTTAAAATAAAAAATTTGTAAAAAATTATTACTTTTTCCTCCCCCGTCTTCACTCCCTTTTTTTTTTGAGGAAAAATGAAATTTCTTGTGTCCTTATTATACCTTAACAACTATAGAACAAGTAATAGAACAAACACGTAAGTCCAATTTTCATTTATGGCGCATTTTTTCATTAGTGAAAACTTTTCTTAATAGACTATCTCTCTCCCATATGTTGTGCATGTCTATACATATATATATATATATATATATATATATATATTCAGCTATGTGCTTCTTTACCTACCTGCTCTTGTCTTTTTTTTTTTCTTTTTTTTTTCTCCTTCTACCCTTAGTGTGATGGGTGTCACACATAAAAAGGACATCCACGAAACATTCACTAATTTGTTGCCATTATAATATTGTTAACCATAGTCGTTATTTTTTTATTTTATTATTTTTTTTTTTTTGTTGGAAGCGGAACACGTATGATTTTTTGATATTTTATTATTTTTTTTTTTTTATTACCCTTTTTGCCTTTTTTCTGTTTTAACTTTTATCTTTGTCTATAGGGAAGCGGTACAAGTGAGAGAACATTCTAATATACACACGTGTGTATATTTTTTCTTAAACTTACATGTTATATACATTTTTTATGCACCTTGCATCGGTTCTTCCGCACCCAAAGCTGCATATAAGTGCATGCATATCACACTTCCACTTAAATGTGAAAATGAATTTTGATTGTTTTGACCGTTTTGACTGATTTGATTGTTCTAGCCGTTTTGATTGATTTGATTGCTTTGATTGTTCTGACCGTTTTGATTGATTTGATTGCTTTGATTGTTCTGACCGTTTTAATTTTTTTTTTTTTTTTTTTGTTTTTTTTTATACCTCCCCTCTGTCTACACGTCCATTTTGTCCTATCGAGGTGATCAAGTAAAGGAGTAACAACTTTCTTTCCAAGAAAAATAATACAGTAACAACAAAACAAAAGTAATAAAATTACAAAATAATCATAAAATAATAACAACTCTTCACTTGTTTTCTCTCGTGCTCGTGCAAACTGAGATAAACTAGATATATCGAAATGAGGTGCGGGGAAAACAAAAAAAAAAAAAAAAAAAAAAACCTTGGCCTAATGAAAAAGCACGACAACACAATCTCAGACAACCACCATTTCTCCTCCATGAACTTTTTATTTGTAAACTGGATACGAGTGTAAGTGCACATAAAAGACAATAAATAAAATGGACACGCGAACGGTCGACCACCTTTGGAACAGCATAGTCGTCCTATGTATATACAAAGGAACAGCGAGAAAAAGAAAAAGGAAAAGGAGAACAAAATAAAAACAAAGCAAAACAAAGCAAAACAAAACAAAATAAAACGAAACAAAAAAGTCACTCTCACGCGTGCACCACGCAACCTGCGCAGCGGTCGCTACGTTCGTGTCCATTTCATCAGCACACATACCCGTCTCCCCATTTCTAATCTTATTTTTCAAAGTGCAAAAGAAGCACAAATGATATGAAAAAAAAAAAAAAAAATCACCAATTTAATTTTAATCACACCAGGAAAATCCATGAAAAGGTGCATTGCACTATGTGTGTGCACATTAGGAGAGATTCTTTCTTAATGCGTTAGATTTTTTGTTTACATATATTTGTGCGTGCATTCTTTTTACCTATTCATTTGTATGCTGTTCAGTATATCAAAATAAGGGTGCAGAAGGTGTATAAGGGGCTTTTCCTTCCCTCAGTATAAGCACACGTACAAAATAAATCAGTTCCTTTCTTTTTTCTCAATTTGTAATGGTGGGTACACTTGTTTATATTTTTTTTTAAAAAAAAAAAGAAAAAAAAAATATATTTTTTTAAATGTCAGCAATTAAGTGAAACAAGGCACGCTAAAAAAAAAAAAAAAAAAAAAAAAAAAAAAAAAATATCATCCATGAGGATATATTTTTTTTTTTTTTTTTTTTTTTTTTTTTTTTTTTTTTTTTCCTTTTCGTTTTCATGATGCTAGTAAATTTTCTTTGTTGCATTAGGAGCATGTGGTACAACACATACTTGCAAATGTAACTATTTTGTTCTTTTGTGTGATTACAACATTTACACACACGCAGGAATCTCTACTTTTCCTCTTTCAGACAAGAACAAAAAGAAGGGAGGGGAAAAAAGGTCTTCTTATCTTAGAAATATCAAAACTGTTTGTCTTGTTCTATTTATCGCAACTGGAAATTTTTCTACTTCAATTTTTCTACTTCAATTTTTCTACTTCAATTTTTCTACTTCAATTTTTTTACTTCAATTTTTCTACTTCAATTTTTTTACTTCAATTTTTTTACTTCAATTTTTCTACTTCAATTTTTTTACTTCATTTTTTTTACTTCAATTTTTTCACGTCACTCCTTTTGTATACGGGCCGAATAGTGGCCTCGGGGGTACGGCTTTCGACTTGCCATTTTTTCTCTCTCCTGTTGATACTTCCATGAACGCACCATGAGTATTTACAACAATATTGTAGACCTCGTTAGAAATAAGAAGGAGGTAATAAAGGAAGAAAAGAAACAGAGAGGGTTGAGCATTGGATGTTCTAAAAGTGGTGTGAAGGAAAAGAATGCGAGGGGAAGCAGCTGCGGGAAGAGGAGAAGTGGAACTAGCGAAAGGAGTAGACAGAATAGTAAGATAAATAATGTGGAGAGTCAACTGGGTAGAAATGCACTGATAAACAACTTCCTTAGTGCAGAGAAACTGATAAAAGAAATACAGACATTGAAAAATGTTTCTCTAGGAACAGCATTATATCTCCTAAATGTTGAAATTAGCAAAATCGAAAAAATGAAAAAGTGTGAAAAATGGGAAAATATTCCTTATATATATCAGAAGACAGCTAACGAAATACTTCTCAATAGAAAAGAATATATAAAAAAAATACAGAAATTATATTCACAAGATGAAAAAGAAATGACACAAAGGAAAAATCCTTTAGAGAAATCCTCTAATAAAAGTGTTCGATCACGATCTGTTCATAATAAAAAATTTAATGAAAAACCATCTGTTCATTTTAATGATTTAGTTCGCTCCTATTCACATGGACAAGTAAGCGGTAGAAAATTTGTAACCAATTTTAAGACATCGAATGATACTTCTCATAATAGCCAGATGGGTGGAAAAGTTAGAAATATCAAATACAAAACTAAGAAAACGAGTCAGGACACGACAGCATGTGAGTCCATTTCCAGAAAGGTTAACAATACTGTTGGTGTAGAATTTCGCAAGGTTAAGAAGGATAGTCGAGATGTCACTCCCAGTGAAATTAATTCTTCCATTGGGCGTGTAGTGAAATATAGAGGTTGTTTCTATGACAGCTGCAAAGCAGAAATTGGTCCTAACGACAGTGAGTCTGGTCCAAATGGGTTCTCCCCAAATGGGTTCTCTCCAAATGGGTTCGCTCCAAATGGGTTCGCTCCAAATGGGTTCGCTCCAAATGGGTTCGCTTCAAATGGGTTCGCTCCAAATGGGTTCTCTTCAACTGGATTCGCTAAAGATGATTCCAAGAATAAGGACCCCTCTGATGAACGTCGCAACAGAAGCGGAAATTGTCTTTTCTACTATGAACAAACAGACAAAGAAGAAATAAAAAATAAAATTTCGAAAGAGGTAGAGAACAAGAAAGGAGAAATAACTAATGGGGGAAGTAAACAGAAGAAAGAAAGTCGCAAAAACATTTTGAAAAAAAAAAATGAACGAAATGATGAAGATTCAATGAAGAAGGATGTAGTTCAGGGTACTACATGTGGAATGCAAAGATATAACTGCTTTTCTACAAGAAAAGAAAATTTACACAGTGATAGTAACAATAAAAAATCGTCGAATATTTACAATTTTGGAAATGCAGGTAACACTCTTCACGATGGATGTAACCTAAGAAGGATGTCACAGTATGAATGCTTCAACTTAAAGAGTCAATCCTGTGTGAATACAAAAAAAGTTATCCCAAACTTCGAGAGACATACCGTTTCTTCATTTATTAAAAATTTAAGTACACAGAAAAAATATATGCAAGAGAAGAAGAAAATCACTCAAAAAGGAAAAAAACAGAAAACCATGAAAGACGAAGAAATTCGTCTACATAAATCCAAAAGAGCGCTCTCCGATTTTAATGGTTTAGAAAAGTATAAATTATCCAAGGTACAAATGATGCACAAATTTTCAACGATGGACAAACTGCACAAGTTAAGTCTTCTTAACGAGTTCAGGAAGTTCAAAAATCTGGAAAAACTATCTGATACAAAAGATAAAGAAGAGGACTTACACATGGAAAAGGCTCAACCATATCATAACTCCCTTCTTGGTCGTGCCTCTCCCAATCGAGGAACTTCTTCCAATCGAGGAACTTCTTCCAATGACCGCACCTCTTACAATTGTCGTACCCCTTACAATTGTCGTGTCTCTCACAATAGTAACACTTCTTATGATGAAGATGCTGCTTTTGAAGAACTATGGAACTCCCTGATAGACAGAAAGACTTCTATAATGAGGAAATTAAGTTCATCCATCAACAACAAATTCGATTTGTACCACATAGAATGTTTAAATGAAAATTATTCATGGGTGAAGAATCTAAGAAATTACAACAATCCAATGTGCAAAACAAGACAAGTTTCATTCAAGAAAGACAGCTGGATAACATCATTCTCAAAACCTGTGATAACTACAATGAACAACAGATTTGATCATAGCAGAAAGAAGACAAAAATTAGAAAAACCAACACACCTCAGAGTAGCATCATCCCCTTGACACGAGGAGGATCTCAATCTAGAAGAAAATCCATGTCACGCTTGATGCATGTCGGGAGTGCACCATGTGGAAACGCTCCACATTTGACAGAACGGGTGTGCACGACGGATCCTGCTGATGGTGGTGGTGATGATAGTGATGATAATGATGATGGTGGTGATGATAATGATAATGATGATGGTGGTGATGATAATGATAATGATGATGGTGGTGATGCCCACGCGGACGAGCTCTCCCTCACGATGCAAGCGAACAGAGAGAAGAAAACAAATGCACCATGGGAAGAGGCAGATGTAGAATACCTTAAAGCGAATGAAGCAACGATTCAAAAGGACCATGTGAGACATTCTTTGAATATAGAAGACAAGACTCCATTAGAAAAAATACAGAAACGTAAAAGTCTCGTAAAAATGGAACAAAATATTATGAAAAAGTTAAACGAAGAAGAAGATCTAGGTAAGTCCACACAGAACTTATGCAGCTTAAGACATAACCCTCCACGTGTTTATGAAATTTTGATTAACGTTCCAAAGAAGGATAATAATATAGGATATACAGAATCGCAATATTATGCTGAAGATGAATCAGACAATAGTTCATATATGATTCAAAATAATGAAGGAGAATATCATGCAAATCCATCTAGAAACCACATGTTTTGTACAGATGAAAATTACAATAACTCACAGAGTAAATGTATCAGTTTAAAATTAAAAGGAAGACAAGTGTTTCAAAATGGTCTTGATTGTAATTGGCATAAATATGTCAATGAAAAATTAAGAAAGGTAGACGACACATCTAAAGAGCACAAAATAATATATGAAAGAGTACTACCATCTGCATCTACTTGTTTTGGTGCAACAGGACGTAATAAGTCTTGCAGTATGTTCAAAGTGATGGAAAATAACGGAGAAGTGAAGAATGCAGCGTCGACAAATAGCAATCTTAATTATAATTTGAATACAATGAGGAATAAATCACTCAGTAACATTGGAAGAGGCACAGTTCAAGATAAATTCCTCGACAATGCCGATTCATTAGAGAGGAAGTATCATGCCGATTCATTAGAGAGGAAGTATCATGCCAATTCATTAGAGAGGAAGTATCATGCCGATTCATTAGAGAGGAAGTATCATGCCGATTCATTAGAGAGGAAGTATCATGCCGATTCATTAGAGAAGAAGTATCATGCCGATTCATTAGAGAAGAAGTATCATGCCGATTCATTAGAGAGGAAGTATCATGCCGATTCATTAGAGAAGAAGTATCATGTCGATTCATTAGAGAAGAAGTATCATGCCGATTCATTAGAGAGGAAGTACCTTGAGAAGAGACAAGTATCGCAAGAAAGAGAAGAGGGAAACACTTCCTTCACGAAGACAATGAATGTTTATAACAATTTTCTCCTGCGTAGTGGAAATGACGAAGAGTTAAAAATGGTGAAATTTGGTTCTAAAGAATTTGATCAATCGAAAATTGGGTCCGTCCAATTGCATTTCCCAAAGTTGGATGCATCAAAATTAGATGCAGAGAAACCATACAAGTTAAGTCACGAGGGTTCGTTGAACCACATAACAAAACACGCTGCACCAGAGGGAGATATATTTAACAATCTCCTTAAATCATCAACAGAAATGAACAATGTGTCCAGAAAAAAGAACCTGTATGACACTCACAAGTCAGTAGAAAGGTACACGAATAATGATTCACGTGAAAAAGCTCGAAAAATGGAGAGCTCATTCTTGAGAGAAAAATATACAAGTAGTGCTGCAAGTCAGGAGAATGCGAAAAATTCAGAATTTGGCACAGAATCAAGTGCAGATATAGACATGGTGAAAGGAAATGGTTTAACTCATCAACCAACATTGAGTAAGACAAAAAAGGGATGTGTCCTTAATACCCATACAGGAATAGCCCCTTCGAACGGGAATTTTCCAGGTAAAGCAGAATCGATTCCATATGAAAATATGAAATTGTTGATGCACGAAAGCTGTGAAATGGAAAAAGATCATCAAGACAATGTTGTGCGTGAAGTGTACCTTGATGAGATGAACAGAAAACCAACGACGTACAGTTTTCCAATTTTTAAAAATGAAAATGAAAAAAGTAGAGAAAAGACAACGATATCTTTTGCAGAACCTATGTCAGACAATTACGTGATGATTAAAAATAAAATACCTATCCCTAGACTAAAATTAGGTGAAATTCAAAATAAAAAAAATTATAATTCGTATGAAATACAAGAAATATATCAAAATAGAAATAAAATTTTAGATAAAGATGCAACAAATCAACTCAATTTGATGAACAGTAGAAGCATCAGTAAGAACAGATTACAGATTCATAATCCTGCACGCTTCCCAATAATCACATGTAACAATATTGCAGTTAAAGGTTTTATGAACCCATTTATTAATAGTATGAATTGTTTGACAAGCAATAATCATAATCCAATAAAACAAAGCGAAGATAAAGAAGATATAGACACGAATGAACTATATCTAGAAAGTAAATACACAGGAAAAAATAGTAAGTGTACTCATTTGAATGAAAATAAGAGTATATCCCATTTGCATCAGTTGGATTCTCTGCCGTTTGATGTATCAAAGGAAAATAAAATAAAAACATATCCCAGATCTTTCACAACTGATTTAGATATTCACAAAGAGAATTTAAATGAGAATTTAAATAAGAATTTCAATAGATCACGAACAAATCTTGTATACCCAAGAAAAAAAGCTTCTTTCAATAGAAACTGTTCAAAGAAAGTGAATCTTCCAAAAGAAGAAGGGACAGGTACAAACATATCTGAAAATCATATGTCCATGAAATGTATTAATAATGGGGAAATAATTAGTCAAAAGGGTAGTAAAGTCTTTAATTATCACTCACTTTCGATGGAAAAAAAAAACATTCCTGAAGAAGAATTTGCACATGTATCTGCTTCAATAGTTTCATCTTCCATCCCGGTTCTAACAAAACCTTCAATCAACTTGTCAAAGAAGAAGAAAAAGTTTTTCATGAATGGGTGTGAAGATGTGCGATGCAGCAGTATCCACTTTGAAGACATCCAAAATGGAGGAGCAATTCAAAATGGAGAAGCAATTCAAAAGAGAGAACCTATTGAAAAGGTCGAAACAGACGAAACAGACACAGTTGGTGACACGTGTACCAATGCTATGGTTCTTAATTCCACCAGCGGATGTACTAATGTATGTTTCTGTTCAGGTAACGTTGAAGGGTTGATCAATAAAAGTTCAGAGGATCATGAGTTTTACGATGATTCTTCTGGTGAGCCTGGCAATGATTCTTCCTATGAGTCTGGAGGGGAGTCTCCATATGATTTAGATGATGATCCAGGGAATGAAGAAATCATGAGAACAAATAAATACGTGCAGAAGTGTAAGCTCTCCCATGAGGAAATACATAGTGGAAGTTTTCATTGCAAGGAAAAGCATCACCAAGGGGAAGAGAGGAGAAAATTCAGAGAAAAAGAAGAAGGAGGAGAAGAAGACATTAAATGTGGAGGAAATGCAGATAAGAAGACGGGTTCTAAGGTATGGGACGAAGATAATAACACTGATTTTAAACGATTTGACAGAAATGTACATGCAAATGAAAAGGAGACTAAGAGAATGCAAAACACGAGCATGATAATGGCTCCTCCTAATACTTGTGGTACACTGGATAAGGCACACGAGAACAACACAGAAACGAAGAAAAACAAATCATACACTAGAATGATAATGGAGTTTTTTGGGATAACTAGCTTAAGTAAAAAAGTGGAAACGGACGAAACAGGTGGAAGTAAATTCAACGGTGGAACCTGCCAAAATGGAAAGAAGACACCAAGATCAAGCTTTGTTGCAAACAGAGGAATTTGCACCCTTCCTCCCATGAGGAAGACCTTCATAAGGAATACAAAGAAAAGAGATACGAATCAAGCTGTTCCATCCAATGTCTCTAGAACAGACAATCAAAGCAAGGTGTCTCCATTTGATAATAATTTTTGTCAAAATGTTTCTAGAATGTCTGAAAAGGGTAGAAGAAGTTTCTCCACGCACTGCACAAATTTCAACATAATACAAGGCACAGACTTATGCAATTTTAGATTTATTCCAAAGGATGCGAAAAAGATTGGTGGAAATGTACATATGAATAGATACAATTATAATGAAGCAGATCTCCGTAACCGAATTGTGGATCTGCATGTCAGTCCAATGCATTACATGAGAAATAGAACCCAGATGAAGGAAAACTGCAATGTGGATGTAGGGAACCACATAGATCGATTACAAAGTGTGAAATTTTCAAAAAAAAATACCGCACTTCCACTGATTAACACCAATAGATATTCCATTGATGAATGGAGAAAATCCTCAAAATGTTGTGAAAATATCAACATGGAAGAAAGAAATCTCATTGCATTGAACAATTTTTCTACCATGATCCCGTGTAAAAATAATGAAGTGATGATGTTGAGAGCAGGAAATAAGACTTTTCTCCAAGAAAATGAAAATAAATACATTAATAGTAGATTCACAAATTTCAACATGAATGAAAGACGACCAGCTGAAGAAATTCCACATTCGAATTTTGCATTACAAAGTAGTAACATTGGTAATGGTAGTAGCATTACTCTGGCCAATCATAGCAACAACAGAACCACAAGAGAAGCTTCAACTCAACAATATCAATTTGAAAGTAACAGAACTAGAACAAGAAACGAAACGTATAATGATCAAAATTTAACAGACATATCAGATAGAAGTCCATTACATTTATCATCTCAAATGAAAAATATACAAAATGGTTCAAACATTGACGAAATTAATAATCACAATTTTGATTTAAAAAACATAGATATTCAAAATATGGAGGCAATTCCTTCTCCTTCTCCACCAATCGAATTTGGAATCACACAATCTAAACAAAATCCATTTGTTCATGAACCCATTATTATGCCGTACAAACAAATCAATCTTACCAAGGAATTGAAAAAATATACAAATGATGTAGTAATCTCAAACATGGATTACACAAACGATGAATTCAGTATGAACTTGAACAGTAAGCCTTTTCCAATGCATGGCTTCAATGCAGGGATGAATGGAATTAATGAGAATTCCCCTGCAAACGGATTCAAAAATAGATGCGAAGAAGCGAATCATTTTATTCAAAAGGATATGAAAGGTGGTATACAACCAATCAATGCTTCTTCTATGCAAGCTCATCAAGATGTGCAGAAGAAAAATGATGAACCCCGAATGGAGTTTTCGTCTAACGGCCCCGTAATTCCTCGGGTGCACAACTGCCAGATAGCCCAAGCGCAGGTGAGAGAGGAAGCAGAATATGTGGAAGATGTAGAAGATGAGGAAGAAGAAGAAGTAGAAGATGTAGAAGATGAGGAGGAAGAAGATGTAGAAGATGAGGAAGAAGAAGATGTGGAAGATGTAGAAGATGAGGAAGAAGAAGAAGTAGAAGATGTAGAAGATGAGGAAGAAGAAGAAGTAGAAGATGTGGAAGACGAGGAAGCAGAAGAAGAAGTAGACGAGGAAGTAGAAGAAGAAGTAGACGAGGAAGCAGAAGAAGAAGAAGACGAGGAAGTAGAAGAAGAAGTAGACGAGGAAGAAGAAGAAGAAGTAGACGAGGAAGAAGAAGAAGAAGAAGACGAGGAAGAAGAAGAAGAAGAAGACGAGGAAGAAGAAGAAGAAGAAGAAGAGGAAGAAGAAGAAGAAGAAGAAGAAGAAGAAGAAGAAGAAGAAGAAGAAGAAGAAGAAGAAGAAGAAGAAGAAGAAGAAGAAGAAGAAGAAGAAGAAGAAGAGGAAGAAGAAGAAGAAGAAGACGAGGAAGAAGAAGAAGAAGTAGACGAGGAAGTAGAAGAAGAAGTAGACGAGGAGGAAGAAGAAGAAGTAGACGAGGAAGTAGAAGAAGAAGTAGACGAGGAAGTAGAAGAAGAAGTAGACGAGGAGGAAGAAGAAGTAGAAGATGTGGAAGATGAGGAAGAAGGAGATGTGGAAGACGAGGAAGCAGAAGAAGAAGTAGACGAGGAAGCAGAAGAAGAAGTAGACGAGGAAGCAGAAGAAGTAGACGAGGAAGCAGAAGAAGAAGTAGACGAGGAAGTAGAAGAAGAAGTAGACGAGGAATCAGAAGAAGAAGTAGACGAGGAATCAGAAGAAGAAGTAGACGAGGAACTAGAAGAAGAAGTAGACGAGGAACTAGAAGAAGTAGAAGATGTGGAAGACGAGGAAGCAGAAGAAGTAGAATTAGAGATAGATGTGGAAGATAGCGAAATTGAGGGATCAGGCAAAGAGAGCAAAGTGGATTACGACATGAAGGCAAATGGCGGACCTCAAATAGATAACAACTCCTCATTCTATAATAATGTATCAATTCAAAATATTTTTCATCAAAAAAGTACGAAAAGTGTGCAGGAGAATGGTGACTTGGACTTGTACCCGAAGGGAAGTTTACACACGATCAACTCAAATGATGCAATGAAGAGAATCAATGGAGCACTCACTCTACATGATGATGGGAACTTTATATCATCATCGAATGAATCCAATAGTGATAATGATAAACATGTATTATACAAAGATATGTCTAACAAAATTCCTCGTTCAGAAACATTCCATAATGACTACGTAACAGAAGCTAACAATTATGAAGATTTAAATAAGGACTATAAAGGTGAGAAACATATAAATGTGAAAAGTGTAAACGAGAATAATTATCATCATGCAGAAACACTTAATGTATGTAACACAACTTCTTCACATAAATACATGAATGACATTGCAAAACAAATGAAAATGGAAAAGGAAAATAACAAAGAACTAAAAAAGAAGCTTCAAAAACAGATACTGATACAGAGGGACCTTGTGCGAATGAAGGAACAACAGCAGGTTTACTTGGAACTTCTCAAAAAAAATGATGCTCAGAATCAAATGGAAAAAGAACCTATAGTCTAAGATTCAAATCTTCAATGATTGATCAAACTGTGTAGAAGACGGCAGGAGGAGAAATGGGGGAGGGATAATTGCTTCAGTCTAGTTCATTTCAAATAGCCATTTTTCACCCTTTCCATTTTAATACCATATTTTTGCAGTACACATCTGTCTCAACAAAATCAAACATGCAACTAGCACCTTCATTTCTGAGTCATGCACTTATATGTACACATTTTTCTACCTTTGTAAATTTTTTCCAAAATTTAAATAACATAAGAAAAGAAAAATGTTATATATATATATATATATATATATATATATTTTTCTTAACATTGTAAAAAGAAACAATTTATAATTTTTTAATACACCGTATTATAAACTGGAGTTTTTTTCTTTTTTCATGCATGATGGATGCAAATTCAAAATGAATGGGTGAAACTTGGGCGAGGGGAACATTGTGGAAATCATACGAGATTTTTAGAAAAATGGATTGGTGGTATTTCGAAACAGGTAGCTTCATTCGTTTTCACGGTACTGTTTCTATTTTGTCTGGATCCGCACAAAAAAAAAAAAAAAAAAAAATCAACATGAACATGAGCAAGTACTAGCATAAGCATGAGCAAGTACTAGCATAAACATGTGCAAGCATTAGCATAAACACATTTGCACATTGTACCACAGATGTGTTCTCGCTCTCTCGCGAGGAAGAAAAAAATTGAACACAAAGTGACCTACAAAAGGTTCTGTACCTACGTGGTGCCACCTGATCAACCACCCCCTGCGTACCCCTTCTGCATGAAGCTACGTTTAAGTTAAATCCACTCCGCCATCAGCTGTCAATTTGACATTCGGCTCGGCATTTAATTTCGATTTTATGTTGTAAAGAAAATGGACTTTCCAGTTGTCCAATTTCGTTATTCGATCATATTCATGAACAACTTCTTCGAAGTATTCTACATCTTGTTCCTGTATAGCTTCGATAATATTTTCTAGAAACTTTTTTTCTCTTGAATTTAAAAAACGTGGATCGTTCATACAATATTTATCAATTGAAATTTTCGCATTAACCATGTCACCAATAACAATATGTAAGATTCCTGCCTTTATGTAATAATCTCTCGCTCCATACTGCAATAGTGTGCTCTTCAAGGCTTTCTCCGCTTCATTTTCGAATATCTGTGTAAGTGGGGTGCAGAAGTGGGGAAGCGAGGAGGCATATGTATGTGTTTGTGGGGGTTGATATACATTTCCTCATTCATATGACTGTGCCCAAGTGATACACCAATGTGTGTGCATTCTTAAGCGAAATGCATGCACAGTCATGTGTAATGACGTGCTTATATTTTTCCTTACTGATATAGCTTCTTCATATTCTCCATTGTATTGCGAACTAAGCTCCGCGTATTTTACAATAGATTGAGTATAAATAGACCTGTAAAATAATTCGAATGTGATAGACTTATATAATGGAACATTTTAAAAAAAAAAAAAAAAAAAAAAAAAATCATTTTTGTATGACCATGTCAGGAAGTACACAATTTTTTTTTTTTTTTTTTTTTTTTTGGGATTTCTCCTTTTGGCTAGCTAGGCAATTACTTGGAATATTCATCCATTTCGAAATAGTAAGCTGCTTTTTTATAATATTTGGACGCGTTATTATATTCGTATAAATCTTCATAAATTTCTGCAATGTTTTTTTCACACTTTCCACAGTTGGAAAAACGACCAATGGCTGCATACATGTTAACAGCCTCTTCAATATATTTTATGGCTTCTAATTGGGGGAGGGGTTGAAAAAAAAAAAAAAAAAATATAGGGGGAGTAGTCGGGTCAAAATATTATGTCGCTACACAACCTAACTACATTGTGGTGACGTTTACAGAATATACAAGACTGCTCTACAAAATAGCAGTTTAATGTTAAAAAAAAAAAAAAAAAAAAAAAAAAAAAAAAAAGTATGTGTGAAGTATATTTCATAGTCCGCTTGTCCTTACCCATTTTATCGTATTTTTTAGCTATATTTCCTGCCTCCAAGTAAGCATTTGCACAGTAACTCGTTTCATTGTTATTTTTGTGCAGGATTGCGTTTTTCAGGATACATGCTGTGGCCTCCTTCCCTGCAAAGTGGTGAATCAATGTAAAAGAAATGTGTAGACATGAATGAATGTCAAGCGATGGAGGCAGTTCACGTATAAGGTTAAGCATGCGTGTGGGGAAAAATAAATCCATATACGTGCTCTACATGTACATTTGCAGAGCATATAACACAAAGGGAAATCACGAAACGGGGACAAAAACGAAACATCTGATTTAGATTCACCTCCACACTTTTTCTCTCCCTTCATCCCTCGCCTTCCATTGCATATACAAAAAAAAATGCAACCTTACATTTGTGACAGAGCTTGTACTTGTTCGCAGCCAAGTTGTAGCAATTAATCATTTCATCGCTGTTGTCGGATCCAAAAAAAGAAGAGAGAAATCCCTTCTTGTTCAACTGCTCAGCTTTCTTTTCCAGCTCCTTTGCTTCGTATTCCATTATGTCGAAAGAGGAAAATTTTCCACCATGTATTTTCAGTGGTTTCGAAGCAAATAAAACGTGTATTATTTACACTCGTACCGAACGAGCTAAAAAGGCAGGACGTATACGTTCATGTAATGTCATTGATCGTTAACCTTGATTTATGACATGCTGATATTTTCCATTCAACTCCGCTATTGCGTAAGTGTACACATATATAAATACATGTACATGTATATATATGTAGCGTAAAAATGTTTTGCATCCTCTTCACTTTTTTTTTTTTTTTTTTTTTTTTTTTTTTTTTTTTTTTTTTTTGTTTTTTTTTTCCCTTCTTTCCTTCCTTTACGTCAATTTTTTGGAAAAGGCTTCCCCCCTCTTATTGGCCTTTAATTTAACAACCTTTTCAATTATCTAATCTTCTTTTTTTTTTTTTTTTTTTTATTAAATATTTTTTTTTCTTTTTTTTTTTTTTTTTTTTTTTTTTTTTTTTTTTTTTTTTTTTTTCATATGACTTTTTACGCTCCTCATTCCTTCCTATACGTCAATTTTTTGGAAAAGGCTTCGCCCATCTGATAGGCACTTAATTTAACAACCATTGCACATGAATCAAATCCATTTTACTTCATTCTTTTTAAATTACAAAAATGTTTTTTTTATTGTCACTCTTTTTGATTCCCCATATGAATAATTTCTTCTTGTGTCCCCTTTTTGGTAAAATTCTTTGCAAAATTTGTATATGCGAAAGTTACCTGACTGTTCAGGCATTTGCAATAAAATTCATCGTCGTACAGGATTTTTCCCGTATAAAGGAGAAAAATTCACCCCCATAAACATTTTCGCATGTATAAGTATATAGGGGAAATAACTTAAATACACGCGCACAATCGTACATATGTTTATGTACATATAATGAGAAACTATGATAGATTCCTTTCCATTCATATGATCTTATCGGTTTGAAACATCCACACAGAAACCCTTGCCTTTGTGACAAAGTGACATAAATGTACTCATCTGTGGATAGAAATCGTGTGCATGTTATTATGCTTACTTATGCACAGTTGCATGATTTTGCATAGGAACAGAACAAAATAGATAATCATCAACTTCTCACTCCAAGCGATGAAACCAGATTGAAAAAATTTAAAAATGTGCACCATATCTGTCTTATTAAGCACACAATTTATTCACAATAAACAGGTTTAAAATGACATCCTAATGGCGGTACGACACCTAGCTCTTTTTTTTTTTTTTTTTTTTTTTTTTCTAGCGTACATTTCAAGTATTAGAGAAAATAAAAGAAAATATGGCATAATTTTTTCTTCTGAACAGTTCAGGTAAAAATTATCAAAAAATTGTTCAAGAGGGGGACAAAGTTCATAAATACCTTTTTTTTTTTCTTTTTTTTTTTTTTTCCCAATTCTTTCATCTCTTCTTGTGAATAGTTAATATGTCTATGTCTCGCTAATTTCTCCTATCTCTAGAAGGAAGAAAAAATATTCTTATGTATACATACATACGTACACAATTTCTTATACGATGTTGAAGAGACCAGGGTGAATTTCCTAAAAGTAATAAGGTCTTCCGTTTGTTCATATCCAAAAGGTGCAAACTCGTGAATACAAAAATGAATTTATCATATGATCATGAATGGGGACATGTGAATGAAAATTGTACTGTACATAGGGTCATTCAAAGGGGGTAGGGGAAACAAAAAAGAAAAAAATATGGAAAAAATAGAGAAAAAAAAACTCTTTAATTTCAACTAACAATTTAAAAATAAACTGTGGAAACATAGTAAGGCAAAAACTCAGAACAAATGTGTAAATGGCTTTTTAAATCATGACCCCTTTCAGTGTTATTCTCTTAGATGTATGAGCAAAAGATTGCATACATTTTCTATGTTTCTTTGAAAAAATAAGCAAAGAAAAAAAAAAAAAAAAAAAAAAAAAAAAAATGTCATTAAAAAGTTAGGAAACATGATTTATGAGTCCTCCAAGTGGCTCACTGTGTGATGTTGAGAAATGAACAACCAACCATGAATGACTAAATGTCAGTGGGAGGAACACATAAGTCACAGTAACCCATGTTTTTACAAAATGTACATGGTTGGGGATATATGTGATATGGGAATAATGCAAACGGGTTTACGTTTACACACACATGTATAAATTGCTATAGGTGCATGTTAGACATTCAAGAGGGTGGGAAACAATGGTGATACACGCTTATACTTTGTTTATTATTTTGTTTTATTCTTTTATCTTATTCTTTTATTTTATTTATTATTTTGTTTTATTCTTTTATTTTATTGTTTCATTTTATTTATTATTTTGTTTTATTATCTTATTTTTGTATGGTCTATGTTTCCCTCTTAAGTTCCCGCGCTTCGACACTTTTAAAGAATAATAAAATAAAAATATGTAAAAATTATGAACACATTTTTTAAGTGCAGATTTTTCCGACTCAAGTGACACCTTTTGCTTATTAGTTGCCCACTGTAACATCGTAAAAATGCTATTGTGTGTAATGGTTTTTTTTTTTTTTTTTTTTTTTTTTTTTTATCACCTATCAAACTGCATTCTGTTCAAACGGCAATTATTCAAACCGGGCATGTCCATGTATGCATGCATGAACACATGCATAAACACATGCATAAACACATGCATAAACACATGCATTAACACATGCATAAACACATGCATTAACATATACATTAACATATACATTAACATATACATGTGTGAGGCGTACTGAGGTTAAGGCAAGACTTGAAGTTAGGCGAATTTCCTCATTCTCTTCTCCGTTTTTTTGTAAATGTGGAAATTATAATGTTTCACACGCCCCTAGATTCGTCCATAGGAAGAGCATACAGTTCCACACGCACAGTTTTACTACTCCCAATAAACTAAATAATTTTGTTTGCCTCGACAGACTCAGGCGAATTGCCTTTTCTAGTCCATTGACTTAAGCGCGTATTTGCCTGCCTTCATAACCTCATGCACATAACGTTCGTACGTATAAATATATGCATATATATATATATATACATATATATACATATGTATATGTGAGTTTTTTTTTTTTTTTTTTTTTTTTTTTTTTTTTTCAAGATTCCTTAGCCAAGTTATAAGAGATTTTCCCTGGCTTGAATTCTCCACATCAGTCTGACAGGTTCTCCCTCCATTTTCATTTTTCCAGAGATGCACCAGCAGTTGAGAAAAAGTGCTATTAACAAAGGGATATTAAAAAAATATCTAAATATATACATATATATATGTATGTTTGTATGTATACATATGCATACGTATTCCAAGACAAGGGTATAAGGAGGCGTGCCTAAATTGTCAAAGGGTTCTGTCGAAAGTCCTCCATTGAGGACTCTGAGTGGGCACGGCCTGTGCACACAAACCCTTGAACAATCAAAGCAGACATAAAATTCACAATGTGAGGGAAGTTATTAGGATAAATAAAAAGTCGTGCGAGAACACAAGCCTGTATATTTTTTTTTTTTTTTTTTTTTTTTCCCCCCCCCCCCCAAACCACACGGATCCATAAATCCCTAAGTGAGCATTTTAAAAAAAAAAAAAAAAAAAAAAAAAAAAAATATCTAAATATATACACATATATATATATATATATATATATATATATATATATATATATATATATGCATACACATACGCATATGCTTTACTTGTACATATTTGTACCCCGACAAATGAGTGTCCTAAAAAGACCTGATGCGGATACGGCAAAAATAAACCTCATCGACATATATACACGCCTTACCGTTACTGCAAAAAAGAAAAAAAAATCAGTAAAAAGCTCCGAATCCTCGCACAAAGAGGCAAATACATATATGTACATATATAGGTAGGTACATATATGTGTATATATTCGTATATACCCTTTGTGTGTGTTCAATTAAGCACATTAATGCGCATGTTAAAACCAGACCTGAACGAGCTCTAGAAACAGACACAAGAATCGGAGGTACATGTGTGCAGATAAAAAAACTTTCCCACGCAAAACTTTGCATCAAAGGAAATGAGAGATGTGCTAAACGTAGTGGAAACAAAGGCATTCCTAAGCTCCTCGGGTGAGGACGATGAGCAGAGGAATTCGAAGATGCTAAGTATTATGAATGAAGACATGGTAGATGTACACAGCACTGCTGTGGAAGAGAAAGGAGTGAAGAAAGATATAAACAAATATTCAGTAAGTGTTGAAAAAAAACAAAAAAATACGAGAATAATTATTGATAAGCTGATTTTAGAAAATTTTAAAAGCTATTCAGGAGTAAAAGTCATAGGTCCATTTTATAAAAAATTCAGTTGCATAGTTGGCCCCAATGGAAGTGGCAAGAGCAATATTATTGATGCAATGTTGTTTGTTTTTGGGAGAAGAGCGAAGAAAATCAGACAAAATAAATTGTGCGATCTTATACACAGTTCCAAGTATTCAATGAACAATGAGTATACAAAGGTGTCCATTTATTTTAAGGTCGTTAAGGTGGGGGAGAATTTCGAGCAGTCGGGGCAGTCGGGGCAGTCGAAGCAGTCGGAACAAATGGAGCAGTCGGAGCAGTCGGGGCAACCGGGGCAACCGGATAAAAAGAGGAAAACGTCAGTGAACACGGATCTAGTCATTTCCGACACTCTACCCGAAGAAGAAGATGAAAGCTTCATCATTAGCAGAGAAGCAACCGTGGACAACCAATCAAGATATCGCATAAATGATAGAGTGGTAAGTCAGAAAGAAGTATTCGATTTATTATATGAAAAGGGAATTGACCTGAACAACAATCGGTTCTTGATACTTCAAGGTGAAGTGGAACAAATTTCTCAAATGAATCCAAAGGGTAATAAGAATGAAGAAGGTCTTCTAGAATACCTAGAAGAGATTATAGGAACTAATTCCTACATTGAAAACATAAATAAGAGCTCAGAAGAATTAGAAAAGTGTGAAGAAGTATATCATGATAAAATGAACAGATTAAAACATGTTTATAATGAACTGAAGGAATTAGCGGGTCCTAAAAAAGAAGCGAAATATTATGTAGATTTACAAAAATATACGCACAAGTTAAATATAATAATTTTAAAAAAAGAAAATCATGATCTAGCTAAAATGATGATACATAAAAAAGAAGAACTTGAAGCCTATTTAAAAAAAAAAGAAGAACATAACGAAATATATACAAATTTGTTAAGAGAGAGAAAAGACATGAACACTATTTTAAGTTCTCTAGAGAATGAAGAAAGTGAAATTATGAAAAGAAAAAATAAAACTGACAATGAATTTAAAAAGTTAACAATACATGATGAAAATGTAAAAAAAGAGTTACTAATAATTGTGGAAAAAATGCAAAATCTGTATGTCAAGAGAGAAAAGTTAAAAGAAAAAGACATACCTCGTTATAAAAATATAATAGAAGCGAAGCAAAAAATTCTTAATGAAATAAAAAGAGAAAAAATACCCAAACTAGAACGTGAGTTAGAGAAATGTGAAGAAGAGTTAGAAAAATATAATGAAGAAATAAAATCCGAAACAAATAAAATTAATACAATATACTCAAAAGAGGAAGAAAAACTTGCCCCTTTACAAAATAGCTACGACACACTTATCAAACTCACATCTGAATACACCAACAGATGCAATATTATAGAAAAAAAACAAAGGGAATTCCTTACACATGTGGAAAATTTAAAATATCTACAAAGTAAACTTCTAAATGAGTTAAAAGAAAAAGATATCCAATCGAAACATATGATGAATTTGGATCAAGAGAAGAAAAAAATTATGCAAAGCAAAGATGCACAAGTAGCTGAACTCGATCACCAAATTGAAACAGTAATGAACACACTAGTGGATCTAAATGTGAAATATGAAACCATGAAAAAAGATGTTACATCTGATAAGTCTTTAAACAAAATGCATGAATTTATTTATAATTTAAAAAAAAACAAAATTAAAGGAATTCATGGTATTTTAGGTGATCTCGGATATATTGATAAAAAATATGAAAAGGCATTTCTAATCGCAGGAAATAATTGCACAGATTTTGTTATTGTTGAAAATCCAAATGATGCAATTCTTCTTTTTGAACATATGAGAAAACAAAATATTGGTAGAGTTAATGTACTCTCTCTATCCATATTAGAATCTAATTTAATGCCAATTATGAAAAAGAATGAACAAAATTATACTCCTCTTCTTCCAAATGTGCATAGACTTGTCGACTTTGTCAAATTTAAGCATGAAAAATATAAAGTCTGCTTTTACTATGCTTTGAAAGAGACCCTAGTTGCTAATACACTAGAAGAAGCTCATGTGATTGGTTATTCTCATAAGAGAAGAGTAGTTACTCTCGCAGGAGAACTTATCGAAAATGATGGGAGAATATGTGGAGGTGGAATTCTGAATAATCAAGCAAAACTGCTTGGATATGGAAAAGTGAATGGAAGAAAAAGTTACAATAAACCAAGTACCATAGAAGGAGATCCAGATAATCTTCAAATGGAACGAAATAATAGAGACTCTTGTAGCAACTTTTTCAAAAGGACAGAAGAAGAAAAATATGACGAAGTCGATGTTACAAAAACTGAAAATGCAATAAAAGAAATGAATAAAAACATGGATGAGTTAAAAAAAAGAAAAGAAAATATGTTAAGCGATATTAAAGATTTAAGAACATTGGTAGAAGACAATGAATGCAAACTTGAAATTGCTAACAAAAGAATCGATAATTGTAAAAAACAACTTAAAGATATTGATGAACAATTAAAAAATTCTCAAGTACCTGAACTTACCAAAGAAGAAAAAACAGAATTAGAATCATTAAAAGAGTTGATAGAAGAAAAAAATAATGAAAAAAACAAAATCGAAATTATTTTAAAAGCACAAGAAAACAAAGTAAAGATGTATTATGAACAGTTACAAAATGTAGGAGGAGAAAAAAAAAAAAATTTAAAAAATAAAAAAATCCACGCTGAAAGGCAGTTGAATATTACAAAAGACGAAATTGAAAAACATAACAGTGAAGAAGTTAATGCTTTGGCAAATCTACAAAAGGGAGAAAAAGACATTTTGAAATTTACAGATGAAATTGAGGAATATGAAAAAAATGAAAAGGAGCTAGAAAATGAACTTAAAGATGTTGAAGTTAAGGGATGTGCTATTTATCAAGAGACAGAAAAGCTGACGAAGGAACTAGCAGAGATACAAGCAAAAATTCAACACAATCAAAAAAAGAAGCAGCAAATAGATGAAACTGTCTCGAAGAAAGATTTAGAAAATGTTGATATAGTGTACAAAATTGAAAATATACAAAAAGAAATTGAACAACTCAACTTGAGGAGAGGAACCTATGAAGCTAAAATAATGGAATATACCCAATTAATTCACCAGGTCGATCAGACCATTCTGGAAAATATGCCCTGTCGTGTTCGTCAAAGTGCAAATTACCAAGACAAGTGCAGAGGAGAAGCAGACGAGGAAGAGGAGGGAGACAGCGAGGATTCGTTGGATTATCAGGATGAGGAAAGTACGTGGGATGAAGAAAGCATCGTGGATGATCGATTGGAGGATCACCATTCTGAGGAGACACATTCCATCGGAGGGAAAAGGAAGCTATGCTTGATGGATAACCATGACAACAAAAAAAAGAAGGAAGAGGAAAGCATCAGTGGAGATAGGAGCAACGAAGGAGAAGAAGAAGAACCTGACAAGTTAGAGAATCGAGAGAAGAAAAATCAAGTAATCAAACGCAAGAGACGCAAATCAGCTGAAGACGAAGACGAAGAACAGGAGGAGGAACTGAAAGCTTTGGAAGACATGAGCTATGTCAAGGAAGAGTGGAGTGACATGGAAAATGAATATGATTACTTGAACATGAAAGAGGAAGAATTAGATGCACTGAACAAAAAGGAAATAGAAAGTAAACTGGAGAGTAAATTACGCATTTTAGAAAAAAAGTCTCCAAATTTAAAAGTGTTTCAAGATTACAATGTTAAGTTGTATGATTATATGAAAAGACGAAAAGATGTAAAAAAGTCGAAAAAACAAAAAGATAAAATAAAAAAAGTTTATGATAATTTATGCAATAAAAGAAGAAAAGAATTTCTAATTGCTTTCAATATAATTTCCTCCAAACTGAAAGAGATGTATCAAATGATAGCCATTGGAGGAGATGCAGAACTCGAAATTATAGATTCATCTGAAATTTTTAATGAAGGAATTTTATTTTCTGTTCGTCCCCCAAAAAAAAGCTGGAAACATATTCAAAACTTATCTGGAGGAGAAAAAACTCTTAGCTCATTAGCATTAGTTTTTGCTCTTCACTATTTCAAACCCAATCCAATTTATTTTATGGATGAAATAGATGCTGCTCTAGATTTCAAAAATGTTTCAATTATTTCACATTATATAAAAACAAAGACAAGTGATGCTCAATTTATTGTCGTCTCTCTGAGAAATCAAATGTTTGAACTGTGTGACAGAATGATTGGTATTTACAAAACAAATGATATTACAAAATGTATAACCCTCAACCCTAGTAAATTTCAACTACATCACCAGAATACTCAAGAGACCGAGACAGAGGCAGAGGTGGAGAAAAAGGAATTCTGACTTACAGCATGACTCGCTGGGGTCCCCCTCAGTTTATTCACTCGGTGTAGTTATCTTGCAATTTTCTGCAATTTTCTGCAATTTTCTGCAAAACAAAACAAAACAAAACAGAGATTGTCATCACAATTTTGCTACGCATCTTTTCCCTGTATAAGTTATCGCTCTTTGGGAAAATAAGAACATAGTGGAAAAAGCACTTCTGTAGGTTCGGACAAGGATCAATATTCGCTAGCACTAGAAGAAGTACACGCTAGTACTAGAAGAAGTACACGCTAGTACTAGAAGTAGTACACGCTAGCACTAGAAGTAGTACACGCTAGTACTAGAAGTAGTACACGCTAGTACTAGAAGAAGTACACGCTAGCACTAATGTGTGCTCTCACAGGAGGACACCGATTTTATGCCATCTAAAACTTCATGTATGCAAAAAAGGGAAATTACAAAAAAGAATAAATATATAAATGAAATAAAAATATATAGATAAAATGAAAACATTTAAACAAAATAAAAATATATATAATGAAAATATTTAAACAAAATAAAAATATATATAATGAAAATATATAAATAAATAAAATTAAAAGTCAACCCAACGTGGCAATTTTTTTTTTTTAAATAAATGTGTTTCTCCCCATGTTCTTACTCAAAACTGCTTCTCATCATTTGTCTAACTTCATCCTTTTAAAAAAAAAAAAAAAAAAAAAAAAAGGGGCGAAAACAGCTTCTCAAAAATCTTCTAAAAAGAATGCTTCCACACCAGAATCACCCCAACTCGTATTACCCTATATTACACAGACCCAAAACAACCTCCTTCGATCCCATGAAACAAGAGAAACTTTTTGTACATGTATAAATGTGCTATCTTCTTGTAGTCTGAACGGCTTAAGCATTTAATGTAATTGAGAAACCTTTTCCTCCACACGGCTCAGAAAAGTACACACATGTATGAGTATATATACATGTATGCATATTTACACACGTATGCATATTTACACACGTATGCATATTTACACACGTATGCATATTTACACACGTATGCATATTTACACATATATGCACATGTTTGCGTCCCTCCGTAAGCCCACTCTTTTTTTCTGATCTCATGGATGAAGCGGGGGAGGAAGCTGTACCTGGAATGCCAAAGCTTATGACGTATAAGGATGTGAAAAAAATATGCAAAGGTTGGTTCATTTGGCAGTTCAGATAATTGCTTTTTACTCACATGTATACGAAAATACATACACATTGTTCTGTTCCGCTGCGCTGTTCCGATGTGCTGTTTTTCTCTGCTCTTCTGTTTTGCTTGTTCTTTTTTTTTTTTTTTTTTTTTTTTTTTTTCCATCTCCCCTGTACGCACACGCCCCTTTCCTCTTCCTCACACGGACAGAGAACAACCTATATGAAACGGATGAGCTTAATGAAGTCTTATACCTCCACATGAAAGGGTTTCACAACATCGATGGTTTATCTCCTTTTAAGAATTTGAAGTGCTTGTTTCTGAACAACAACTGCATAAAGAAAATCGACAACCTTGGTGGGCTCGTGAACTTGAAGGCCTTGTAAAAAAAAAAATAAAATAAAATAAAATACAGAAAGAGAGGAAAAAAATACTAGAGGGGAAAAACTGAGAAGGCAAAAAAAAAAAAAAAAATAAAATAAAAGTGCTCCTATATGACGCTGTACGATCCTTTTTTTTGAGATACTTCTCGTCCCCAACCCACATACCCTCTTGCAATGAACACAAACTATTGTATATGCATAAAATCAAATGAGTCACCTGTTGTCGTGCCTTGCACCGGAGCAGTATAGACACACAAAACATATTTGTACACATGTGATTACTTTCTAGTAAACACTTTGCCTTCTGCATGTATTTCCATACACACTCATGAATTTTATTTTGTTATCTACTCGTATTTATTTATTTATTTATTTATTTTTATTTTTATTTTTACTTTTATTTTTTTACTCAATTTTACCTGACCCTGTTCAGGTACCTCCAAAACAACAACATCAGCTCGATCGAAAATATCGAATGTAATTCCTTAGTAATTTTGAACTTGTCGAACAACAAAATAAAAAGGATATGCAACTTGGAACATCTCAAACTGCTTCAAACTTTGAACGTATCCAACAATTTGATTGAAGACATCGAGGTGCTCATAGTAACTTTCCTAAAATAGTGCATTTACTGTGATGTGCATAACACTGTGTGTGCAAACAAGCATTCATCATGCTGAAATGGATTTATACTCCAGTGCCATATACATATATGTCCGTGTCTGTGCATAGGTCTGTGTGCATGTGGATGTGTCTATATGCATGTACTATCTTGGATCCCCTCAGGACATAAAAGAAATTTGTAAACTCGAAAATCTCTCCCATCTGGACCTCTCGAACAACCAGTTAAACGTTAATAATGACATAATAGATGTTTCAAAATTGCAGTATTTTATACATAAATTAAAATATGACTGTTCAGGTGAAAGTTCTAATTTGAGTGAAGATATGAGCGAAAAAAAACTTAATGAGGTTAACCAGTTTGATGAATTTTTGCACTTACGAAACAACTTCCATGAGGAAGTAAACAAAGAGGAAACTTCGCAATATGTGAAATATCATCAAAATATAGAATCCATGGACCATGCCACTAAAAAGAAAATTTTATTTTTATGTGAATTCATCGTTTTGTTAAGAAAAATAAAAAATCTAAAAACTTTGCTGGTTAAGAATAATCCATTCGTTAGCAAAATTAGACATGCCTCCAAATATTTGGTAGCAAGTAAGTCACATTTTTTTCCGTTGTAAATGTGTAAATCTCTCTATATTGCTTATCGTGTGCTTTTGAGCCTGTGAATATGTTCCACCTTTTTTTTTTTTTTTTTTTTTCTTTTTTTCATATCTTCCCCCACGAACAGACATCCCAAATTTAATATTTCTAGACGATAAAAAAATAAAGAAAGAAGACATATGTCTTGCAAGAATATTTTTAAAAAAGGGATCTACAGAAGAAATGGAACTCAAAAAAATATTCGAGAAAAGGAAAATGGAAAAGTACAAAAATCTGTCGAAAAAGTTCCATTCCTATCTGCTCACTAAACAGGAAGGAGGGGATTAACATTCCTACTCTTTCTTGTACTTATAGGAGGTGAAAAGCACAGTTGGATAATGGGGTAAGAAATGAGGAACCATATTTTTTTTTTTTTTTTTTTTTTTTTTTTTTTATGAATATATAATGTGGCTAACAGTTGTACTTTTACGAGGATGAGTAAATTTCTTAATAAAAATGTTAATTGGAGGAGAGGTTAATGAAAACATCCTATACACGAAGAAGTATATCACTGCTCAGATTTTTGTGTCTTGTCTTATTTCAATTCATTTCCATCTCACCATCATTACACCACCTTCACTGGTGGAACTCTCCTCCTGTGATATCCCTTTCGCAAAACATAAAAAAAAAAAAAAAAAAAAAAAAAAAAAAAAAAATAATAAAACTTGAAAAATAAAAAAAACTAATCACAAGAAAAAAACAAAATGAAATAAAAAAAAAATAAAAAAAAGAGATAAATTTTTAAAAATAAAAATAATAAAAAAAAAAAAGAGAAAAAAAAAAAAAAAAAAAAAAAAAAAAAAAAAAATAGAAAAAAATAGGAAAAAATGGAAAAAATTGGCAAAAATTGGAAAAAATTGGCAAAAATTGGCAAAAATTGGCAAAAATTGGCAAAAAATTAGCACAAAATAATATAGCAGAATTGTACGGTGATATAATGAAAAAAAAAAAAAAAAAAAAAAGCAATAGCATAAAGCACAAGGATAGGTAGGAAATTTTACGAATGTTAAACGTACTCCTACAATAAAAGGAAGAGGGAAAGGTGCTCAAAAAAAAAAAAAAAAAAAGGCAGTTGTATAAATTTTCACATTTTTCTACCTTTTCTGGGAGAAATGAGTATAAGAAAAAAGAACTAGTTTAACAATGAGTAAACAAAATGGTGGTCAAATATACCAACCTGCATATACAAACGTGTTAAAAGAAAGTATGTTACAGATTTGGTAAATTAATAGGAATATTTCACACATATTGATACACACACACAGTGTTCCACGTACATTTGGCGTTATTTTATTTTATTTTTTTTTTTTTTTCAACTACAACTTTTATTTAACCATGCCAGCTCCTATTCCCTTGTCTGTAAAAAACCCTTCTTCCTTCATTTTATTAATCTTTTCAAGGTATTCATTCTTTATTGCAATTTCTCTTTCATCTTCTTCGTTTAATTCGTTTTCCTTTTTCTCTTCTTTTGTTTCTTCCTCTTCTCCATCTTCCTCCGTTTGAGACGATGTCTTTCTCGATTTTTTCTTCTTGACGTCGGTTACTTCAGATTCTTTTAATTTCCTCACTTTTTTCTTTTTCTGGAGTGCTAACACCTGAGAGGTTTGCAACAGAGAAGACCATAAAGGCAGGTGTGTGTGTATAGGTTTAGGGTTCAGGGAAGAAATCAAACATAGCAAAACGTGTCAAACAAATCAAACATAGCAAAATGTGTCAGACGAATCGAACATAGCAAAACGTGTCAAACAAATCAAACATAGCAAAATGTGTCAGACGAATCGAACATAGCAAAACGTATCAAACAAATCAAACATAGCAAAACGTGTCAGACGAATCGAACATAGCAAAACGTGTCAAACAAATCAAAAGTAGCAAATGAATTGAACGAATTAAATGAAGAATGTATGTGGAACGACTTTCGTTGAATTACGTTCTTAACAGCATTTCGACGTTCACTCAAAACAGTGAATATCGCGATATATTTGCACTTTTTTTTCTCATTTTTTTACGGACCTGTTCCAAGAATGATCCGTCGTTTTTGAATTTATTGTACTTCTTTGGATCCACATAATTCTGAATGAGGTTTACGCAACCTTCCTTTAATCCTTTGACTTGACCATTCAAAGCTATGGTTTCATCATCGGTAACTATGTTCCCTTCATCCGCAGCTATAGGTTCTTCTTTTCCAGCACCTCTTTTCATTTCTTCCTCCACTGGATGCTCATCAAATGAGTTGTCATCTTTATTTTTCTCTTTTCCCTTTTTGTTGTTCATTGTTTTTTGTGGTTTTATGAACGTTCAGGCAGAAATTGTAAACATTAACCACTGGGCTGGGAACATATGAGCGCAAAAAGTCGCAAAGAAGCTGACAGATAAATGAACAAAAATAGTAAACACCGAGAGGAAACCCAGAAGTACGAAAGTATGGAAACAAGAAAAAAAAAAAAAAAAAAAAAAAAAAAAAATATATGCCTTTTTTTTATGACATGTTCAGAATTTTTTTTTTTTTTTTTTTTTTTTTGCAGCGAGCTATTTTGAAGAATATGAATGCGTATTTTTACTTCATTTTTTTTTTTTTTTTTATTATTTATTTATCTATTCATTTGTTTATCCGTGCATTTGTGTATCCATGCATTTGTTTATCCATGCATTTGTGTATCCATGCATTTGTGTATCCATGCATTTGTTTATCCATTCATTTGTTTATCCATTCATTTGTTTATTCTTTCATTTTTTTTTTTATCCTCACGCTGGGCAATGTTTTTCTCCACATGTTTTCCAACGTTTACAAACCCATAAACATTAAATTCTTGACCGACAGAGGAAATAATAACATAATATTGAAGTATTCACACATGAGTATATGCACTGGAATTAAATTACACCCATGTGGTCCCTTCAGTTAACACCGACATACTTATCTATCACCATATCGTTGGTCATATCGCTGGCCATATCGTTGGTCATATCGCTGGCCATATAGTTGGTCATATCGCTGGCCATATTGCTGGCCATATCGTTGGTCATATCATTTGCCCCTTGGCCACATCGTTGGTCATATCATTTGCCCCTTGGCCACATCGTTGGTCATGGTCACGCTGTGTGAAAACCAACAAAACCCCTTAGTAGTATTATTATGCATGTTTTCATATTACTACCACATGAAAAATAAAACAATAATAATAAATCGTTATGCTGATAGAATAAAGAAAACGAGAATTTGCTAAAACGTCCCTGGTGCATATTTTTTTTTTTTTTTTTTTATATGGGTTAAAATGTACTAATTGAACAATAATTTTCTTTTTTCCTTTCAAGTGCATATGTAAAGTAGCACATATACAATATAACTTGTAACAAACTTGTGAATGGAAAAAAAAAAAAAAAAAAAAAAAATCGAAATAATTGTTAAATGCGCATTAATTCGATGAGAAGCAAGTTTCTACCACTTCGGGTGGGTGTGTATACTTTTATAAAAAAAATGAAATGTAAAAAAAAAAAAAAAATAAAAATAAAATACATGTAAAGCATAACTAGGTATATATAACACATAATATAGATCTTAAATTTTTTTTACTGTTCAAGGGTTTCCCCTTGCGCCTTCTCAAAATACATTTTCTATGTTTAAAAAAAAAAAAAAAAAAAAAAAAAGTTTACAAGTACACACTGTCTCATCCGGATCCCTGGAGGTGTGTAATAATATCAGAAACGTTAGTTCCAACTTTGATAGGCTTTCCAAAAAATAAACTACTGGAAGCTGTCGACAAGTAATCTGTAAAAGATGAAGATTTGAGAGTGGAAGATATATGGAAGAAATGAGTAATAGATCATGTGGAAATTGAAACACATTGAGGGGGAGGAGATGGGAGAAAAAACATTTTTTTCACACAAAGCCATAAACTCGATCACGCAGAAGTATAAACGTAATTCCACATACATTTATTTTAATCATACCAACTGAATTGTGCACACATCCCTGTGTTAAAAAGTTCGTTGCACACTCGAAACTCATTTTGTGAAAGACGTTACGAAAACATCCCAGTCCGTGTCTGCTGAATGATTTTAGGTCGCCTGTAAAAAAAAAAAAAAAAAAAAAAAAGAGAGGGGTGAAAAATATGTACTGACATATATATGTACTGGGGGAAAGGTGAAAATAACTTGAATTTAAAAGTTTTCTTTTTTTTTTTTTTTTTTTTTTTTTGGAAAGGACTCTCCTTTTTCTCCTCATTCAATGTAATGTTTTGCAGCATCTGCTTTATGTGTCGCTTCCCTTCTTACCAGTGTGTGTCATAAAGTCGCTAATGAAGGACACATGTCTAAAGTCGATCTTAATTCCGTAGGCCTCAAAGACTTTCTTCAACTCTTTGGTTATGCACAGTCTTCCAGCTTCAATACCGTAGGTCTTGACAATGGTATAGATATCATTGCAATACAGTTTGGTCTTATCAATGTACTTATCCTTAATATTGTATAATTTATATATATTTTTTCCTTCAATCTGCAATTCATATTCAGCTCCTGTGTGTGTTATATCCCTTCCTTTTAAAATTTTCGGATTATTTAAATCTTTAACTTTGAATAAAATTTCTTTTGCAATTTCTGTTTTTACATAACTTAAAAAATCAATTGCATGCGGAAAGAAATTAATGTCCCATCCTATTTCAAATTTCAGTATCCATGTAACTGGTGAGAAGCTAATATTCTTCACAAAGCATAATAAACTACATTTTAATTTGTCTATAATATTTTTTATATATTTTTTATTTTCATTTTGGTTTTTCAGTCCACTCTCTCTTTCAAATTTTTCTTCTTCTTCCATCTCCTCATCATCACATTTGTTCTTTAAGTTCATGTTGTTTTTATAATCATATGTGAGATTTGCAAAATCTTTGACGATTTCTTTTTCTTTTTCTTCTTCTTCTGAATTGTCTACACTATGTGAGTAGTAGTATGAATGATTTCCACTTCCCTCTGTGTCCATATCTTCACCAATTCTCTCAGCCGAAGTAGACCTCTCTGATAGTGGAGATGTCGAAACAGGGATTGTCAATTCGGATCCATGGATTCTTTTTCTCTTTTCCTTTACACTAGTACCTTCATTTGGTCTCCTTTTTTTTCCATCTTTCCTTTCTTTCAATTGGATGGAGTAATCCGATTCGTCTTCGTCCACTTTGTCCACTTTGTCCACTTCTTCCTCTTCTTCCTCTTCTTCCCCTTCTTCCTCTTCTTCCCCATTGGGCTCACTTCCAAGCTCCGCCTCCTCACTGTGTTCACTTTCATCATAATCCTTTTCCTCCTCAGATGCAGAAGATCCTGATTCTGCATCTTCCCCAGAATCGCTAGCACCGCTCAGACTCTTTCCCCCGCTTCCCTTCGACCGATATGCATTCACATCGGTCTCATCATCATTCTCGTTATGATCCTCCACTTCTGTGTCAAGATTATTTTCTGCATCAAGTGGGTTGGTGTTAAAATCAGCACTCACTGTGTCTTCATCTTGCTGAGTGTTGTACATTCGCGAAGCAGAACCCGTGTCTCCATTAGGACCCATCGACTTGGCAAACGAGTCATTGTTATTATTATTGTTATAATAGTCATTTTCATCAATGTGATTCTCATCTCGTATAACTACATTATCTGTCTGTGTTGTGGATCCATTTTTAGAAGATAAGAATTTTAATTTTGCATTTATTTTATCTTCATCATTTTTATATTCAATTTTTTCAAAATTAAAATTAAAATCTTCTTGCATTTTCAAATTTATAAATTCAAATAATTCATCATAGTGCTCATGATTAAACGAATTTATATGTCTCAAGTTGTATGTGAGTAAACTTTCTTGAATTTTGTTCATTACTGAAGAAAGAATACAATTTACAGCTTTGCTAAGAATGAGTTGCATGGTTATATGTTTATTAATTTTGCAAAAGTGATGTAAATTCTCAAACTGAATCACAATTTCATAATTCCATTCCTTTTCGATTTCAAAACTTAGTTCTGTGTTTTGTAACGCGTTCATAATTTTTGTTGTTTGGACTTCTCCAGAAGCGTAGCTAGCGAATCCATTTTCATTAGCATTTACACCCATATCCTCCACATGGATACAATGAATCTGTTTCTTTTGCCTATCAGATTCTTTTAAAATTAATTTTCTATCCACACCAATACCATAAATGACATCACTAAGACATATGCTTTTGTAAGAACTCAAAATTTTGTCTGCAATTTCAGTAATGTAATTCTTCATTTTGTTTACGTCATTTGTTACTATGTTTGCATTTTTCACATTCGTATTGGCACTTTTTAAATCATGTATGTTATTTCCATCCACTCTGATGGGAACATAAATCATAGGTTTAGATGTCAACTTCGATGTTAAAAATATTTCTTTCAATCTTGGAATACCCATTGTAACATTTTCTGTACCTGCCAAATGAAATGTGTTTAAAGTCATTTGTGTTGCTGGTTCTCCAAACGATTGTGCTACTAAAATTCCTATAGATTCACCTGGAGCGCATAGAGAATTGTAATACTTAGATTTAAGTAGAAATTCAGACAATGTATCAAAGTTTTCAGGGTAATTATAACAGTTTGATAAATTCAAATCGTTCAAAATAGTGTTCTTCAACTTGACTTGAAACTGTTCTGATATGGCTCCCATGTACGTGTATGGATTATAGTGACATATTATGGGTTCTCGTTCATCTGAATTTGGGTATTTCTTTTCCAGACCATTTTTACGCCCAATCTGCCTCACGCTCTCCCCTTCTTCTCCTTCTCCTACTTCTCCTCCTACTTCAAACCTGGAAAAGAGTTTTTCATTCCTCTGTATTTTCTCAATAGCATTATGGAGCAAATATTTGCTGAACGCAACGTGATGGTTTAAAATCAAGTCTCTGGATGCATCTAAGTAAGATGTTTTCGATGGGTCGATCCCATCCTCACCATATAAAAACTGAATAATCGAATTGTCTTCATTTCTAACAGTTCCATCGTAGTGCAAAATTACTGATTCCATACATTTAATTAGGCACCTTTGTATGTATCCAGATTTTGCTGTCTTAACTGCTGTATCAATTAGTCCTTCTCTTCCTGACATACAATGAAAAAAATATTCTTGAGGTCTTAATCCTTCCAAAAAACAATCTGTAATTAATCCACAAGAACGAGCACCATAATCATATCTATGAAAACTTGGTAATGTTTTTCCAGATCTCATTCTTGGTACTCTCTTTCCTTCTAAATACTGTTGATCTAGCATTCCACAAATCATAGCATAATTTACTTTACTTCCTTTTGCTCCTGTGAAGATCATATTACTAAACCCATTGTTTAAAAACTTGTTCATAAGGTTATTCATTGATATTAAATTATTCGTATTTGATGACACACGACAAAGGTATGGCTGAAACAATGAATCGATTAATCCATCGAAATCTATTCTCATATGTAAAAAATATTTCTCTATCAAATATTCTATTTTGTTAAAAACATCTTTCATGTTATAAAACTGAAAATTTATTTCATCTTCTGTCCTTTTCAGATTTAAGTATTCATCATAGTAATGGTACCTGTCATTGAATGATAAATTCCCAATATTCTCATTCAACACAAATGAAGGGAAACTTTTCTTCAGGCAGTTACTTATCTTTCTTTCATCCTCTTCTTCCATTTGATGGTTTATATAGTTACCCATGTTATTATCACACTTCTCACCTACGTGAATACCTAATGAATAATCCTCCTTCTCCTCGTAGGTATGTCTACTTGACAGAATGGTTGTTTCATTCCCTTCGTCTAAATTGGAATCTCCACCATTTCGAGAACATGGTACTCCTGGATTCTCAAGCAAGTTCTCACGATTGTCTTCCCTTTTTTGCATATTTTCTAAAAGGATTAAAAATTTTTGCACCATTTGTTTACTTACATGATCCGGTGTAGATGGTGGTATGTCATGTGGGCCCTCTTGCTCCTCCATCTTCTCCAACTTCATTGTTATGTTTTTCTTGGTACCCTTTTTTTCCATGTAAATATTATTCAACACTTGGTGCAATATTTCTTCATTTGTTACATCGTATGAGAAATCACTCAGGTAGTTCTCCAAGGATGGAAAATACTTCATAACATTTTTATTTTGAAACAGTTCAAATAAAATATATATCTTCAATTTCCTGTTACAGTTAGCTTTTCTTAAAAAAGTAATCACTTTTTCTATTATTTTTATGACTTTGGACCCAACAAAATTGGGGTTATCAAGAAATTCTGGTTCATTTAACGAATGAAAAAGTCTCTTTGCCAGAATCTTCTGCACTACATCTAATCTTCCTTTTTCGACCTCTCTAGCATTGTTATCCCTTTCGTTTCTCGTCTTTTTCCCTATATTTTTCTCATAATTTGGAGGAGTGTTACTCCAACTTAGGGCATTTTCCACAAGAGATGATTCTGAAAAATTGCTTGACTCTTTATCTGTGCATTTTCCAAAAATGTTATTTATTTCTTTATTCAACAGGGCGATGAAATATGTCTCTTCCTTTATTTCTAGCTGTTCTTCCGAAGGTGCACCTTTCAAGGGTGCATGTTCATGCAATGTGTCGATGCTTCTCCCCATGTCGATACTTCTCCCCATGTCGATGCTTCTCCCCATGTCGATGCTTCTCCCCATGTCGATGCTTCTCCCCATGTCGATGCTTCTCCCCATGTCGATGCTTCTCCCCATGTCGATACTTCTCCCCATGTCGATGCTTCTCTCCATGTCGATGCTTCTCCCCATGTCGATGCTTCTCTCCATGTCGCTTCTTCTCCCCATGTCGATGCTTCTCTCCATGTCGATGCTTCTCCCCATGTCGATGCTTCTCTCCATGTCGCTTCTTCTCCCCATGTCGATGCTTCTCCCCATGTCGATGCTTCTCCCCATGTCGCTTCTTCTCCCATCTGCTACTTCCCCTTGTGCCTCCCTGTGAAAAGCTCGAATGAGGGCATCCCTCCGCTGGTAAATGTCATAAATATTCTTCACAAACGAATCGTTATTCTCAGCATAAGAATTCATCTTTTCCCTGCTGTAAACATTCATTTGTGAGATGTTTGTATTCAACGATTTGGCAATGGCATGGCAAAATAAATTCTGTAAATAAAATCCAGTAAAAGATATTCTTTTTCTTATTCGTAACTTCTCCATTTTTGCATCTTTCTTTAAAATAAAATCATATAAACTAAGACTTGTTCCTCTGAGTTGTAGAAAACTGATAAATAATCTTCCAAAACAATCAAGAATAACTGCTGCTGTCTTAGGTCCATACAATTCATAACATAAATGAACAAAACTGTTAGGACTTGCACCAAAATGTACTTTATCCAATACTCCTTGTAACAACTCTGAATTTTTTATTATTACTTCACATTCATTTTTAGGATCGAATGACCACAATGATGGATCTGTTTTGGCCTTTCCACAATAATTTATTCCTTTGTAATTTGACATAAATTCGTTTTTATTATCACGATTATATGTTTCTATTGCAACTTTATCTATAACTGTTTTTAGAATGCTTGTTATTAGTTGTTTTCCTGTCCACATCTTTTTTGGGAAAAGAATGGCTGGCTGTTCCGTTACGATGGTGAATTGGGTTCTATTCAGGACAGATGCATAGGGGTCTAGGTAGCTGTGGTTCCTAATCTTCCATGAACTTTGCTTGGGTTCCTCCTCCTCCTCGTCGTCATTACTTCCTGGGTTGCCATTTCCACTCGTGGTCCTCTTTTCATCACGGGAAAGGGTGCACGAACTTGGATCAATCGTCTGTATTTTTTTCTCAAAGTAAAAGGAATTTTTCTTTGAAAGTAAACAATTGAGAGAACATTGCAAAAGGTTGCAATACTCGTCATAATTTAAAAATGTTTCGAGAGAAGTTAAATGTAAACCACCCAAAATAAAATCTTGAGCTAAACCTCTCAAAGGAGAACCATCCTTAAAACTTGTAAATAAAAAATCACTATTCATCAGATGAGTAGCTTCTGATCTTGCATGAGGTGTTTGTAACAAATGAAGATTCATCTCATCCCCATCAAAGTCAGCATTATATGAACTACAATTTACATAATTTAATCGAAATACTTTTTCTTTTTGAAAAATTTTCATAAAATGAGCCATGATTGAAAATTTATGCAAAGTTGGTTGTCTGTTCATGATTACAATATCTCCATCTCGTGCATGTCTATGTAGAATTAAAGTGGGAACATTTTTTTTAAAATTTATTTTTTCTAGTTGTTTAATTAACATTTTTCTATTTTCATAATCAGATGATAATTTAAACACATTTCCTTTTGCATCTCTATAGCTTAATGCACCAGGATATATATCAGGTCCGTTCAAAATAAGTCTCTTTATATATTCAAAATTATGTTCTGTTATACATTCATCTATAGTTAATTTTTTTGCGAATTCAAGTGGCACACCTATCTGATTAGTTTCAATAAATGTATCTGGAGAAATAACCGTTCGTGCACAATTGTTTACCCGCTTTCCCATAATATTTTTTCTTAAAATACCTTCTTTTTTGTCTAAAATTTCTCGAATCCCTTGATTATTCATTTTCTTTGGATTTGGCATATGAGCAATAAATGAACTATCAAAAAATGTATTTATCCCAACTTGTAAATTGCTGAACAGGATGTTTATATATGAACTTTTATTTCGATATATTAAATCATACCCTTTTAAAAAATCAATTTTTGTAATTTCTGTATCATTATCCATAATACCTGTGTTAAGTCTATATTTCATTCTTATGGAGAAAAGAGTAAACATTTCCTTATACATTTGCAATTCTCTTTTATTATTTTCCAACAAATATTCAAAATTAATTTCTTTCTTTGCATTTATGCACAAATTCACATAAGAATTAAATCTATTCAATACATCTAGCATCTTAGATTTACTATGTGTTCCTCTTAGCTTCACTCGAAATCTATTTGCACTTATACCCATATTGTATAAAAAAAAAACATTGTACCCATCTTTCTTTGTAAATGGATACAGCAAACTCATTATCTCTTTGTCATTCTTTTTAAATATCTTCTTCAGCAAATCTTTTACTTGGAAACTAAACAATCTCACTATGTTCTTTTCCTTCACATTCTGCTTCTTGTACATGTCAATCATCTTGTTCACACTTGTCCCTGGTGAAGTACTCAATTGTGGAGCTTCATCTACTGCACCACTACTGTTTTCATCTCGATCTTGCTCTCCCAATCTTATTCCAATTTCTACACTTTCAACTCCTTTTTTTCTCTCGTCTGGATCTTCCAACCTCCCAAATCTTTCATTGCCACTTGCCTGTTGCATGTTATCCATCTCTTCATCCAATTCCAACATATTCTCTAGGTCGTCTTCTACTTCCACCTCGTCATACCCCACGAGTTCTCCTTTTTCATTATAAGTTTGTTCTTTTTTTTTCTTTTTCTTCTTCTCTTCTACTTTTATGAACTTTTTAAAAAATGAGTTGTTCAAATAGGATCCAACGAAATTTATGGTATCCCTTTTTTGCGACATCTTTGCAGTTATATTTCTCTTAAAATGACATGAATGACATCTAGAACTTTTCTTCATCAGTGCTTTCAACGTTTTACATAAAATTAGATATTCTTCATAATTATAATTTCCCTGAAATGCTAATTTGGTTGGACTGAAATTAAATTTTCTAATTTTTTCTGTCAGCTTTTTAAAATTCACCTCGTCATTTCCTTTCCTCTCTGCACCTCGCAGTTCTGTTGGATCCGCATTCGTTTCCTCAACTGCATTTTCATGCACTGAATCCGCATTGCCACTTTGAACCATATTTGCATCACCTTTGTCTGGACTCATAAAGCCTCTTTCCAAGCATGCCTCCTCTGCATCGACAACAATCTCTTGGAGAAAAGAGTCTCCTTCCTCATTGCATATTTTTAGATATAATTTCTCAATCTGATCAATGATATACTCCTTGTCATAGTTCCCTTTGCATGCAATTTTATTTGTACTCTCCAATTCATTCAGGGCCTTCAACTGATAAATGTGTTTTAATAAGAAAATTACTTCTTCTGAACAGCAAAAATAATAACAGTTGTAACAAACCAAACTAAGTAATTCATAAAGATCTTTGTAAAACAACGGATTGAACACTGGTAAAGTAAATTCCAAATGTCCAATATGGCCAATGCAATTCTCATGTCTTTCAAAACATACTGTACATATTTGTCTACAATCTACAGTACCATATCTCGGATCAAAAAACAATTTAGATGTCATTCCACTTGAATGTACTTTTTCAAATTCATATAATTCGTTTTCATAATTTCCTAATGAAATTCTCTTCAACTCATCACTGTTCAGAACATCCAGTTCGGCACTCACCACTTCCACACATTGAGCTCTATTAATGTCATACATTTTTATCCTCTCTGGGGTGCCATATAATCTGTAAAAACATATATGTAATATATGTGTATATGAGATTACCCGGGTTGAGCATGCGAACGCCTTTACATGTGTTTTCTACCTCCACCTGGTCGGTATCTTTGCTTCACTTCCTCGATCGGGTCGGTGACTTTGCTTTACTTCCTCTTCTTCTTCACGAATTAGATGTGGGATCGATTATATCTCTCCTTTCAACTATTCACTAATCGAAATGATAAGCCTTGTTCAGGTTCATTGTACCGTAGTTGCACTTGCTGGTAATAATATCAGATGCGTACAGATAAAGATATAGAACCCCTTATTAAAAATAACAAATTCGACACGAGGGTGAGTACATATAGCTAGTCACACATACACTTACTTTTTCACTATTGACCTTGTAGCAAATCAGGTGGAACGGTCTCTATCACAAACTTCTTAAAATAAATCTTTAACTGGGTAAAAAGAATTCGAAAACAAGTGTTATTATTCTAGAGTGTAAACATTGGAAATGGCAAGATGATGTTCTGTTCTCTCCATAAGGCTAATTTTAGATGCACTAGATTGGATTACGTAATGGAGAAAAAAACGAAGTAGAAAAAAAAAAAAAAAAAAAAAAAAAAAAGGCACTTTCCTGTATGCATAAACAAGGCATTTAAAAAGGTAGCTTAAAAAAAAGAAAAAAAAAAATTTTTTTTTTCCTTTGAATGATTAAAACAACGGATTGAGACATAACTTTCGTCCGATCCTCCAGGGATCCCCTTTTTTCTTCCCCTCTCCACAGAAAGAAGAAGAAATAAGAAAAGTGACTAAAAAATGAGAAAAGTTATCAAAAAATTAGCACACGTTGTTCATGGGAGTTATGCTTGGTTGGAGGGAACTTCAAAAAGGATGAATGGTAAAACTTAATCCAATGTGAATGGACCCTTTTGCTGATTTTGCATAAAATGGAAGTTGGTCTCTTAACCTTCTTCTAAGCAGTCATGCTGTTGTATATATATACAATACATATATGTGGAAGGAAAAAATGCATACATGCTCATGTAATAAATAAACTTGCAAGAGCTTCAGTGATGCATGAATATAGAGGGGGCAATACAAACATAGAAAAAGTAAAAATAAAACAACGCAAAGGAAAAAAGGGCAGAAAAAAAGGGCAGAGAAAAAGTAATGCGTAATTAAAATACAACAAGGTTAATAAAGGAAAATTGAATAATGTCGCCGTTGATTCAGCAATTTTTTATTTTATTTCCACTCGTTTTTAGTTTCATTTTTATTTTTTTTGTAGTTTTATTTTTTTTTTCAGTTTTATTCTTATTCTTATTCTTATTCTTTTTTGTATTTTTTTTTTTTTTTTTTTTTTTTTTTTTTTTTTTTTTTTTTTTTTTTTTTTTTTTTTTTTCCCCCCCCCCTTTTCCTTTTGAAGAAAAACCCCCCCCCCTTTTTTTTTTTTTTTTTTTTTTTTTTTTTTTTTTTTTTTTTTTTTTTTTTTTTTTTTTTTTTTTTTTTTTTTTTTTTTTTTTTTTTTTTTTTTTTTTTTTTTTTTTTTTTTTTTTTTTTACATTCGTCTCATGTCCCTCCGCGCATTCCCATTGGAAGGAATAACCCAACCGCGCTGTTTTATTTTATTTCATTTTATTTCATTTTTATTTATTTTTTTTTATTTTGTTTTTCTTTGTTTTTCTTTGTTTTTCTTTTTTTTTGCTTTGTTCTATTTTGTTTATTTTTTAATGCCAATTTTTGGAAGCGCTACATGGCCTACGTGCTATGATTTTGCATATGCATGTAGAGAGGGAGATTCCGTTCTGCAGAATTTGGCAAATCTGCATAAATACCTGCCCTTATCTACATGAGCTTACATAAATATGCATATTTTTTTTAGGTATGAAAAACTGGAACAGTTTCTTTTTTTCCCTTCATATAACTTAACCGCGGTTGCCAAGAAGGAAAAGTTACATTCTCTGCACTTTTAAAATAATCAGCATATTGGATATATAAACATATATATATATATATATATATATACTTATATATGCTTTATTTTCTGTTCACGTTAATCAAACACATAGACATGTCCTAAAACCAGCTTAATAGTGAATGCGGGTGATGCATATATGCACACATGTACATTATGCACATATGGATAGACCCATTTCGAATGAGAAAACTTAACACATAATTGGGTTATCCACCAGCACAACAGCTTATCGGTTTTTTTTTTTTTTTCTTTTTTGTGATTCCTGAAAAATGTAGTGAACATATACATATATATATATATATGTACATATAAATGCGATGCTACACGATTTTCCAGCCCAGACAGTTTTTTTTTTTTTTTTTTAAAAAAGTGTAATAATCTCACGTCAAGTTGGAAAGTGGGAAAGGCACGAAATATTCTGAGTCAATTTGCTAATCAAATACGAATGGCTTAGAACAAGGTACATATATTATCACTGCTCCCACACACGCATATAATATGTTACGAATTTTATTTCCTATCCCTTTATTTTTAAATTCACAAATGAGACAAAGGAGGTAAAACCAATCATATATGAAAACTACATAAAAAAAAAAAAAAAAAAAAACATGTTTAAGAAAATCATTATATCATCTTTTTTGATTTGTTAAAAAGAGAAAAAAGTCTTAACGGCAAGTAGGGCAAAGAGGAAGAAAAAAAAAAAAAAAATACGCAGTTTACATATTCCTACGTTGTAAAATGATCACGGAAATTATTTCTCCATCACTCTCCAAAAAAAATTGCGAAAAAAGTAGTTAACAGTGTAACGAACAAAATGGGAAAGGATATGTGAAAGGGAGAAGAGGGGATAAATAACTAACGGTATGTAAGAAGAAAAGGATTACCAATTCAGCTGCTTCCCACCCGGCTTAAGCAACATTTTGACACCTCCACTTAACCTTCACACCCTACCTAGGCGTGTGCATTACACATGGATCCATGAGATTTTTCCCATGTAAATTCAATCCGTGGGAATGCTACAAATTGATCATACAGCACAGATGAGAGATGAATTAATTTCTCTCCTTGCCATTTCTAAAACGGGTTATAACTTCTCAAAAAAAAAAAAAATAAATAAAAATTATGCTGCTTATGTGTGTCAATCAAAATGGTCATGAAATTAAAAAAAAAAAAAAAAAAAAAAAAATGAAATATAAGGAAATAAAACAAAATAAATTAAAATAAAACAAAATAATGGTGCGAAAAATCACACAAAGGGCATACAGCTCACGTACTTGACGCTTTTTACCATGTCCATAGCGAACACGAGTTACCACTCACGCCTCACAGTTTCTTGCTCATGGAAAACATCAAAGTCGTACTGAGTGAAGATTTGATTGGGGGAAAAGTGCACAGAAATCTCCAATTGCTCTTAAAAGAGGAAGAAGAAAAAGATAAAAATGAAACTCAATTCAGTAAAATGCTGCAAGGAGAATATTTCGAAACGGAGGAAGAGAAGCAGACAGCATTTGTGAACAACACCTGTTATATATACACAAATTTTACATACAAACCTCACTTTGTTTTGAATCATGAAAGGAAAAACGAAATAGATATAACTGAAAATTGTAGTGAAGACACAGAGTTACGTTCATATCAAAGACAGGAAGAAACATATCGAAACGAATATCACCTAGCATTGATACTTTTCATTATTGATGAAAATTACATAGAAAATAATAATCCTCTTGAAAAAACATCCATTTTGGAAAAAATAGAAAAATTGAAAAAAGAACATGGGCAAGATACTAAGATTATTTGTCTCTTCATAGGAATACGCGAACTTGTAAACAGAACAAATTATGGGAAATCAATTAATCACTTGTATGATAAAAGCATGTCAGAGGATATGTTCATGTGTGATAGGGAATGTGTCAAGATGAATAACAATCAGTTCGATCAACTCATTGCAACATTACTTGTTAGTTACCATGTTGATTCTATCGAAATGGAAAACGACAACGCATTGCATAAATTCATCTTTAAATGTTGTAAATATTTATATCAATCCAAAATTAGAAAGCTGAATTCTTATTTTAAAGTTAAACCATCTGGTATAAATCAAATGAAGCATACTTCCTCCCTAGGGACCAAGGGAGAGGATAAAAATTTCTCTACTTGGGTTTCGCAACTAATGCAAATCAGTGGCATATCTGAAGATATTTCTATAAAAATTGCAGAAACGTTTAATACACCTTTCGATTTAATTATGCATTTTAAAAAAGTAGATGATGAGGAATGCTTAAAGGACTTAATTGTCAGTTCGTCCTATGGGGACAGGCGGTTAGGCAAAGCTCTCTCCCGTAAAATATTTCGCGTTTTTTCTTCTCACGCGAGGCCCGATAATTACGTTTCCTAGTCCACACATAGTTTGTGCGAGTGATCTCCATGGAGACTCTCCTCATGCTAGACCAACCGGGTCATGCATGCACATTTATACATCCACATTTATGCATCCACATTTATGCATCCACAGTTATGCATTCACATGTTATCGTTATTAGCATCCCACACGCACAGGGGGAAGAAAAGGAAAGAAAAAAAAACTTTATACTTGAATTTTACACATGGATTTTTCCCCAGAAGGTATACAAAAGGGGAATTATTTTATTCCTTTCGACACTTGTAACGAGTGCTACTTGTTTTTTCGGCACTTGAAGCGAGTGCTACTTGTTTTTTCGGCACTTGAAGCGAGTGCTACTTGTTTTTTCGGCACTTGAAGCGAGTGCTACTTGTTTTTTCGGCACTTGAAACGAGTGCTACTTGTTTTTTCGACACTTGAAACGAGTGCTACTTGTTTTTTCGACACTTGAAACGAATACCAGTTTGTTAATTTTTTTTTTTTTTTTTGTTCTTATTGCTCTTTTTTACCTTGCCTGTTCATGCGAATTGAGCACTTTGTGCGGCTGTAATGGGGGAAAAAAAAAAAAAAAAAAAAAGCAACAGCAAAGCAAAAGAACAGCAAAGCAAAAGAACAGCAAAACAAAACAAAGCAATAAAGGCAAAACAACCACATGCACATGAGTTCCTTTTGTAGGAACGAACGCGTGTGAAATGTATATCGCGCTTCAATTATTTTGCATAAATTTTGCACAAGAAAAGTGTGTGCAATTCTTCTGAAAACGTTTCAGTGAGTAGCAGCATTCCTTCCTAATGGTGGTATTGAGCCTATAGAGGAGGTATTGCAGACTGTAAATCTCATTTTTCCATGCTGTGAAAACGATAAACAAAGGAAAATAAATATAAAATAAATATAAAATAAACATAAAATAAATATGAAATAAACATAAAATAAATATGAAATAAACATAAAATAAACATAAAATAAACATAAAATAAATATGAAATAAATATAAAATAGATATAAAAGAAGAAGAAGAGGAAGTGTAATGGTGTGGACCCACCCCCACCCGTTCTACCTGCATGTATCTTTAAATTGTGACCATAGAAACATGCCAACAGTTTAATGAGAATTTCTTCTCCCATCTTTACTCTTTCACTCACATTCACTGTTTTACTAGCCAAATGTATAAAAAGAAATAAGAGAGAAATAAAAAATAACACAATATTACCTGACCTGTTCAGGAAAAATCAACCATTATTTAAACAGCAGCGGGAAAGGATAAAGAGGGGAAGGAGAAGGCTAATGAAAAATGCACTTTTTTTAAAAAATAATATTAACATTATTTCGTACATTTCCCGAGGAATAAATGGATCCCTTTATTTCCCCAAGAAGAGGGTGAGATGCCTCTTCTTTTCTTCGCAAAATGGTAAGATTCTTTGTTAGAGATTTTTTCCCCAAGAGAGCATATAGTGATGAAGCGTGCATGTAACGTCCCTTATGTGTCCCAATGCAAATGGCCATTCGTAAATATGGACCTCTACAATCCTCCCAACATGCCTGATACTGATATTATTTACCCCAATCAATCCACCCACATCCACAATTGCAGTAGATCGCACGAAAATAAAAGACCTTTTGCAAGAGGAAGTAAAGAATGAAGAAACCAGTAATTATAAAATATGCGGTTGGGTAAAATCAGTAAGGACCGTTGGAAAAAGACGTTTTGCCTTTATTGACATTAACGATGGTTCACATGTGAAAAATTTACAAGTCATAGTCGATTCAGCTATACCAAATTATGAACAAGTTTTGAAATCAATGACAGATGACGCAATAGAATGCTTTGGAGAGTTAAAGTGTTCCATAGGGAAGAAGCAGGAGGTGGAACTTTGTGTGCATGACATTGCCAAGGAACATTATGTGAAATTATTTTCCAGAGAAAGTTCAGATCATGCCTGCGAGGTCGTGAATGGCTTGGGTAAAGTTGTGGGTGCACATAATGACCACATTCAGCACTGGCAGGGAGGAATGGACAACCAAGAGGATAAAGAAGTGGTCGACGAAGCTGATAAAGAAGTGATCGACGAAGCTGATAAAGAAGTGATCGACGAAGCTGATAAAGAAGTGATCGACGAAGAGGATGACAAAGTGATCGATGAAGCTGATAAAGAAGTTATCGACGAAGCGGGCGATGGCGTAGACGAGCAAGATACCTCGAACGTGCCCAGTGAAACGGAGCAGCAGAAGAAGAACCCGAACAAATGCATAACCATGAACCCACAGATCGAGGGTAAACACTACGCAATTTCGAAAAAGTATCACACGAAAAAGTATCTAAGGAACTTCCCACATCTACGAGCAAGAACCAAATTGTATAGCAGCATATTTAGACTAAAGTCTGACATAATGATGGAAACGTTCAAATTTTGGAGAGAGAAAAACTATACATATATTAACACACCGATACTAACCAGCAATGATTGTGAAGGGGCTGGGAAGTTATTTTATGCGACGAGTTTGCTTAACAAAATGATGGTAGAGGGGGAAAAAATAGACATGAGAAAAAGAGGAAGGAAAATGCTTTTGAACGGAGATAACCACAGTTGCCATTACAAAGATGACAAAAAAGAGTGCTCTCCTGTGAGTTCCTCCTCCAGTTGTAATAAGAACAACCCTTTTTTCGCATTGGATTTTTTTAAGAAAGCATGCTACTTAAACGTGTCGAGTCAATTGGCATTGGAATGCTTGTGCTGCTCCATGGGAGATGTATTCACAATAAATCAGTCCTTTAGAGCCGAAAAATCAAACACTTTTAGGCATCTGTGTGAATTTCTCATGTTAGAAGTAGAGGTAGCTTTTTCCAATTTGGAAAAGATTATTTGCATATCTGAAGAATACATAAAAGAAATGATAAAATTTGCCTTATACAAATCGGAAGATGTAGATTACATAAATAATTATCATAATAAAAATTTAAAGAAAAAGCTAGAAAACACATTGAATGCACAATTTGTTACAATTACATACGAAGAAGCTATACAAATTATAAAAAAAGAAAATCAACATTTAGACATATCCATACAGAATAATGATTTGTCTTTTGAGAAGCAAAAATTTTTGACAAATGTTTTTTTTAAATCACCAGTCATTGTTATAAATTATCCACATGATATTAAACCATTTTATATGAAATTAAATTCGGATGAAAAAACAGTTGCATGTATGGATATTCTTCTTCCCGATGTTGGTGAATTGGTAGGGGGATCAGAAAGAGAAATTCGTATGCATACATTGCAGCGGCAGATGGAAAGAAAAAATCTAGACATATCTTTATATGAACCATATATACAACTTCGCCGTTATGGAAATATTCCACACTCTGGATTCGGGTTAGGTATAGACAGATTAATTATGTTTCTAACCTCGATTATGAACATTCGAGATGTCGTACCTTTTCCTAGGGCTCCAGACTCCCTCTTTATGTAACTCTGCAAATAGGATAGAGGTTTCTCATATTTTGCTACACCACTAGACATTTTCTATCTACCACTTAGATTTGCAGTTACTTTGAGTGTGCTATCGAAAGGGGAATTCCTATCCCCAATCTGCCCCCCACCCTTTTTTTTTTTTTTTTTTTTTTTTTTTTAAAAAAAACGCTCATAGCTCATGTATGTGAAATATTTTTTCGCAATTCATATATGCATCCATGGGTGGGTACAAAACAACACGGGACTAGCCATTTACTGATTTGTAAGAATGAAATCCCGCATATTCTTTAGGACCATATCCACAGGGTCTACCTTACTAGCATGTAAGTAGACCCATTCAGCATAGCACATACTGCTATTTGCGAGGGTATCGATGCACTCACCAACTAGCTAAAAATGTGGAAAAAAAAAAAAAAAAAAAAAAAACTGTTATGAAGGATATTGACATGTCTAAGTAGGAGATTATACCTCGTGCCAGTTCCCAAATGTCCATTGCACGAGACATGATTCAAATGGCAATCACAACATAAATGATGTACGAAGTAGAATATGATATTGGTAGCACATGAGATACACGCAAACATATGTAACACACTTGGGGAATGAATTCAACATACATTTTCAGATGTCGTTTCAAATTTACGGCACTGGCGAATACATTCTTCACTTTTTTTCTTGAACTCATCTATGAGATCTGAATTTCTATCGCTTAAATTTAGCAAAATGTTTATCCTCTCCTCAAGGTCAGACTTGCTTATGAGACTTATTAAACCTTCAGACGCCCCCTTTAAATCATTGTATTTTTCTACAACCTTTGTGTTTATATTTTCGATAGTCTCGAAGAAATCACTAGTTATAGCACATTCGTTGTAAGTCATTTCTCTTTTTGCGTCTGTGTTCAGAAAGGTGCATAGATCAAGTGATGACCAATTCACTGGTGGTGAGAAGTTCGCACGGATTGATCAATTCTACAATTGCAACATTTCCCTCTTGGGTGATATAAGCTTTCGCTTCTACATCCATTTGCACTTCCCTGATCCCTTGTTATGCACATATATGTGCTGGGACAAATCAATCTCCTCAAGTGAATCGAACCTCACAGATGCAATTCTTCTCATTCTCGTTCCTAATTTTTTTTTTTTTTTTGCATACAATAACTGCTGCCAGAGGTTTGAGGCTCGTCCAGATTCAAAAAATCTTTTTCGCACTTCTCTTCACATGTTATACTGCAAAAATGGATTTGTGTAGTTGCACAAAAGTGGGTACGAAAAATTTATGTGTTCAGTGGGATGGGAGAGTACCCGTTTATTTAAGTCATCCGCATGGAGGAGGAGGAAGAACAACAACAAAAATAAAAAAAATTAAAACATTAAAATGTTAAGAAGTAAAAAAGAAGGAATGGAGGAAGGAAATACATGATTGTTTGAACTCACCTGATGTCATTTTTTTTTTGAGTGGCAAGTTGAGCAACGTCGCAAGGGTCGTTAATGTGCCCATTTTGATAAATTTCGTACACATCTCCAAGTTCTTTATTTTCACTGTCATTTAGGCATTCCTCTCTTTCTAATACCAAATGGGGTAAGTCTTCAACTGGTAAATCCACCAGTTGTTCATTTTCAGCGTTCGGAAAAATGCGAATGTCTGCAAATTCGTAGGACCCCTTACTACGTCCTGTGCTGAAGGCAAGGCAAAGCAGTGGAAGAAGTGGAAGAAGTGGAGGAAGTAGAAGAAGTGGAAGAAGTAGAAGAAGTGGAGGAAGTGAAAGAAGTAGAAGTAGAAGAAGTGGAGGAAGTGAAAGAAGTAGAAGTAAAAGAAGTAGAAGTAAAAGAAGTAGAAGAAGTGGAAGAAGAAGCTTTCGAAGTGGGGTAGGTCTTAGAATCGCTGGACATGCGTACTCCCAAACAGCAGACCGAGCCTCTTTTTCTATTCGGTGGGGGATGGACGAGCAAGACAAGTCGTCCTTTAGGGACGCATGAAATTATGCCATAGGGAAATTTTTTTTCAAAAGAGTTCTCATTTTTTAGTTCACACTTCATCACTTTGCATCTTTAATAAAATAAGCAAAAAGGAAAAGCGAGGAGATCAGGTGGGGTTAAGTGAGGAGGCTATAAATCAGTCGAATGGCTGACAGGAGAAAGTATGAGGTCGTACTTTGTTTCTCTTGAGTTATCATCCCTGTAAGATGGAAAAGGTGCAATAAAAAAACTAGGAGGCGAGAAAAAGGTGCAATAAAAAAAACTAGGAGGCGAGAAAAAGGTGCAATAAAAAAACTAGGAGGTGAGAAAAAGGTGCAATAAAAAAAACTAGGAGGCGAGAAAAAGGTGCAATAAAAAAACTAGGAGGTGAGAAAAAGGTGCAATAAAAAAACTGGGAGGCGAGAAAAAGGTGCAATAAAAAAAACTAGGGGGCGAGAAAAAGGTGCAATAACAAAACGGGGGTGAGAGCTCCCCACAACTGCATCTGAAATCGAACGAGTGGAAGAGTGGTCAATGTCAAAAGGAAATAGAAATAATTACGCGTCAGAACTGGGGGTGGAGAGGGAAGTTCCAACAAAATTGTGGAAGAGACTGTAGTTAATGTCATCAAAATTTGTATTATTTAATATGACCGATTCTACAAAGTTATGATTTTCGTTCAGTTCAATCTCTGTCTTTACGTCGTTTAGATCTCCAATAGTGGGTTCTAAGTACAAGCTAAGATAATTGTCCATCGTCTCGCTTTTTCCAAAACAGAGGTACAAATAGGTAGATGCATGTAGTGTGTGGGAACCAGAAGTGGAAATGTGAATACATACACATGTAGAGTCGTGTATATGTATATATATGCATATGTGCTAAATCAAGAGTGATGAAATAAAAAAAAAAAAAAAAGAAACTTCAAAATGGGATAGGTGCAAACAGAAACATCCATCTTGACGACTCTTCACATTTTCTTCTTCGTGTGTCTTTTTAGAGCACCATTTTGGAGCATCTTTTTGGAGCACCCTTTTTCCTCACCTCTTAATTAAAAAATCCGCTTTCCCCGTAACAACCGACTCTTCACCATCATGTTTAGGTGCAAACGGCGAGCCCGATTCAGGTTCCATTTTTATTTTTTTCAACTTTAGCAAAAAAAAAAAAAAAAAAAGCAGCAAATATTTTTTACGCAGCTTTAATTAAAATATTTTGATGAATACCTTCACGCAGGAGAATTAATAAGTTGGGGTGGGGTAGGGGATAGTACAGTGTCTATATAATAAGTAGCTCCTTATCTAATTGACAGTTCACAAAACAAGGCGATGTGAGACAATATTTGTAAACACGGGAATCACAAGAAAGTAAAAATAATTATAACAATAATATAACATTTTCTATGCTAATGAAAAAATTTAAAAAAAAGATTGACAAAGAGGTAAAAAAAAACAGACTCACAATAAAAAAAACATTTTAACAACTCCGTAATGATCACGTCGGACAGCTGACTTCATAGAAATGTCATCGCCTCTTCCTCTTCGTTTTTTTTTTTTTTTTTTTTTTCTTTACAGACAAATTAGAGGGAAGAAATATTCCAGAAAATGATCATGGGTGTGAATATGTACCCTCCTCCATAAGCAAGCGTATGTACACTTCAAAACCCCCTCCCATGCGCGCGCACACAAAAACAAACATAAACATAAATAAAAACAGAAACAGAAACAGAAACAGAAACAGAAAAACAAACACACCTTTCCACATATTTTATATAAAATATCTTTATATTACAACTTCAAATTGGATAAAGAATAAATAAGCACGCAAGTCATAAGGAATAAGCTACATTTTTGTTACTCGCTTTTCCTTTATTCATATTTCAAAGCAGATTTAAGTCTGGCCCATCTAAACACTAAGCGCTGATTTTTTTTTTATTATTTTTCCTTAATTAGAATGTGAACATATTTTATCAAATTCTACAAAGATTGATAAAATAAAAAGGAATGAATAACGTCAGGAACAGTGAACTAAGAAAATTAATAACATCGAAATAAGACAACAAAATTTAAGAATTCAGGGTTTATGTTTTACCTGTGTGTACACTTTACGCATAGGAAACATTTGAGGGTATTTTCTCATCTTAAAGGAAGAAATAAACAATAAGGTGAGAGAGTGGCTGTAAGTGTGTATAGAAATAAGGGGTGTGGTAATAAAGGGTGTGTGTGTGTGTTCCAATAATAATAAAAACAAACGCTTAGGGAATGAGCGAACATGGGGTGAAAAGTATACGAGTGTAAAAACTTAATCCTTAAAAAAGAAAGATAGGTAGATTTGATTATTTTGAAAGGTGTGTAGATTTTTTCTTCATTTAATTTTTACCACAACCATTGTGTTCATGTATGCCTTAAGTCATGCACAAAAAATATATCTCTTCTAATGAAAGTAGGGGGAGAATTTCTTCCCAGGTGTTTTTTTTTTTTTTTTTTTCTTTTTTTTTTTTTCCTGGAATTAGAGGGAATTGGTGAGAGCTTAGTTGTCATGTTAGGAACATAGCAAGACCCTACAGCCTTGTAATCATTGGAAAACAGGAGTTGATACATTAAACAAAAGCTACATGTGTAATAGACTTTTATATGAATGCAAAAATATCGTGTACGATAAAAAAGAAAAAAAAAAAAAAAAGAGATCTCTGTGATATATATATATATATATACTTCTTCAATGTCCCCCCTGTGAAATCAAAAAAAGGGCACAAAAAATTAAGCAAAAAGTTGAAGAAAAAAATAACTCAACGAGGTAATCATTTCCTATGCACACCTCTTTTTTTTTCGATGCCCTTACTTCTTCTCCTTCTTCTTCTTAAAATATTGAACGCTTTTGTCCTCTTATCTGCCTTTGCGCCTTCACATTACTCATGTATCTCATCTATGACCAAAAAAAAGGAGGGACATGCTGATTCCTCGACAGGTCACAATTATTTAGCAGCCAATGGAGAAATCAATTAAAAATAAATTAAAAATAAATTAAAAATAAATTAACAACTTAACACAAGCCTTTCCAACATTTGTAATGTTTGCAGGATTTGCAAACATTCAAAAGGCAGTGCATGGAGAGAAACTGCGTGGGGGGCACTTAGCGACACCAACTGCATCAAACGTTAACAGGTATGAGTTATGCAAAAAAAAAAAAAAAAAAAAAAAAAAAAATCAGGGTACTATATTGTGAAGTATGTTTCCCAACTAGCTCTCATTTGTAAATTTCAGGTTTATGCAAAAAAATATGGGACACGCTTTTTTTCTTTTTTTCTTTTTTTCTTTTTAGGAAAAAAAAAAAAAAAAAAAAAACACAGCGAAAAAAAGCATAACAAAAGAGGGGAAGAAAGGAAAGGTGTATGCTTAACGTATGATCATGATGACATGATGAAATAGTGGTTATATTAGGTGTGGCTAAAAAAATAGCTACCACATATTCCTAAGTTTAAAAGGGAAAGGAAAAAAGAAAAAAAAAAAGAAAAAAAAAAAAAATAGAAGAACAAAAAACGAAAATGGCCTTTTTCCCCTCCCCCCCCCCTTCTTTTTTTTTTTTTTTTTTTTTTTTTTTTTTTTTTTTTTTTTTTTTTTTTTTTTACAATCCATGTGTGTGTTTCATTTTACCATCCTGGTAAAGAAGTAGAAAAATAGCAAAATAGAAATAAAAAGTGAACCCCAAGAAGGATGGAAAATAAAATGGAACAAACTTCCCACGAAGGAGGGAAGGCAACCAATGAAGACTCTAACATGAATTCAGATGAAGAGAAAGATAATAAGAACTTCCAATTTGAAGGAAATGTTACAAGTTATCATAATGATGATAATGATTATAAAAAAGATAATTGCAGCTTGATGCAGGAAGAAAATAAGTATAGGATTTTGTATAAGCATAATTACAAAGTACATATACATAAGGATGAGTTAATTCATATTCATTTGAAAAGCAGATTAGATAAGTTGAATGTCAATAGAAATGCTGAACAGCGGCTTCTTACAATTTCTTCAAATGAGGATACATTAACTAATAACGAATTATGTAATGATACATCTTCACAACAAGGTAAAGACGATACATCTGTTTTCTTCTCACAGAAGGATGTGATGTGTAATGCAACCCCTCTGGATGATGAACCAACTTCAAGCATCATCGCCAATCGAGATGATACTTCTTACACTTCGAATGGCAAAGCAAATGCTAATGACAACACAATCGATAAATGTCAAGGTTTAGATAACATTCAGAAACATATTGATTCAATGAAGAGATTCGAACTTGAATCGTCTTTTAAAAATGATGATGCTGAATCTGCAAATACAAATCATGATGGAATGATGAAGAATTCTCAATTAGATGAAATGGAACAAATTCAAATGAATTCTTACGAAACATATTATCTTCATAAGGAAAAGAGGGAGAACTTTGATCCATTCGATCAGCATGACCATCATGAAAGTAACAAGGGGAAACATAGTGACAGATGTGAAAACCACATAAAGGAAGAAGGAGAAGAATCCAATCACATTTATGCATCCGTGGAAAAAAACCTGTCAAATTGTAAAACCTCCAAAGTGCAAGAAAAAGACGAATCCCCAGAGAAAGAGAACAAAATAAAAATAATAGAACTGTACAAGATGAAACTGGAAAATAAGAAGATGCAAACAAATAGACAAAATTATGAGTACAGCAATAATGCTTGCTACTCTTATAATGCTAGTTATGACAGAGGTGACATACCAAGCGAAAGTAATCATGATACAAGAATAAGAGAAAGAATTGCACGAATTTTCAGCGAATCACCATCATCCAAACCGAAAATAATAAACGAACTTAAGCGAAGTGAGAATCGTGCAAGCAGTGAAGATGGGTTCAGGGCAGCAGATACAAGTGGAATCAAACATGAAAGAAACAGCAATGGACGAATCAGCAATGGACGAATCAGCAATGGACGAAGCAGAAATGGACGAAGCAGCAATGAACGAAGCAGCAATGATAGGGAAGGAGGAGAAAACAAATCGAGTGGATCCAAAAACACACTGAAAGAAGGAAGTTTGCTGAGACTTTTTAGATGTGAATATTTCGACACACATCTACACATAAGGTATCTATATGATAGAAAAGAAATAGGTGTTCATGAATATCTTGTTAATTCATTATATACACAAAGGAAGTATGAAGATATCCTCTTTTATTTGCCACAGTTAAGCCAAATTTCACTTGTACGATATGAATCATCTTCTCTTTATCGCTTCTTGCTATACAAAGCTAGTAAATCAATGCACTTTGCTTTGAAATTAAGTTGGATTTATCACTCCATTGTAGAAGATAACTCATCAAAATATAAAGATTTAGCACATAAAATGATGCAAGAAATTGAAATGGCAGTTGTTAATTGTAAACCTTTGAATAATAAATGTAATAGTGGAAATGATAACAAAAATTCATATCTTCTGAATTTAGCTTACCCACTCTTATTTAAAAGAAAATATATTATTAAAAAAATTAAAACGAATAAAAGGTTCAATAAAATAAAATTGTATAAAAAATGCATGAACATTTCTTCCAATTCTCCTCTCTTAAACGATTTTATAGAAAGCAATCCCATTGATTACAGATTGCATTCTACTTCTTACCTTCTCAATAAATGGAAAAAGGACATGTCTGTCGGTTCATCTGGAGGATATCCCGCTATGAGCAGTGTCGTGGGTAGTGGAAGTGGCAGCTGCTTGGGCAGTGCCAAGTTATCTGAACGTGTTGAATCCATGAACCAAATACAGAAAGACAATTCCACCGATGAGCAGCATTATGAAGAAATTAGACAGAAAAGCGACAATCCGATTGAATCACACTTCATGGGTGAAGGAGGCAATCGAACAGAACCTCATTGTGTGAGTCAGAGACAAACTAGGGCAAAAGCAAAAGAATCCTGCAAAAAAGAACAATTGAGTAGCAATAATCCACCACCAAAGCTTCCCCAATGTTATATTATAAATTCAGGGTGCTTGTCAATAGCAAGAGCTAGAGTGAAATTACCAAGTACATATGCAAAATTAGGGAATCCGTTAAGTGCATCTAAATTTTTTTTACCAGATGTGAATTACAGCTTCAATATGATTGAAGAGCTACAGCAATTCTTTATGAAACAAAGAAGATGTGACTATTTTAGCTTGCTGAATAATTTTATCAATTTAACCATTTCTGTTTCTAATTTATTATCATCAGAACAAGATATAGATGTACGAAATGAATTATTGAAAAGGTTTATATATTCTTTAAATAGCTGGATGATTATGCGTAGATGTGTAGTAGCAGCTTGTGAAAGTATTTTTGCCATGACAGGATTGTGCATTCCTCTTGAGTGCATATCCTCTCCGTCTACAAATATCAAAGGGAAAGAAATCTCCAGATCCAGTAACTTACAAATATTACATTTCAATTATGATGAATGTAAAATATTTTTTTCCAAAAAAAGAGCTCCTTATTTGCTTATGTTCGAAGTTGCAGATTTGGATGAAGATATTAGTCACATATCGGATAACATTTTTTACTCGACAAAGACGACAGGTGTGGTGCCACACACCCACCACAGGGGAGAGGATCCCCAGACACACGGGCAAGTAGATGCAGAGGTGAAGAAGGAAGACCCATCTAATCAAGTAGACCAAGGAGCATCCAACCTGAGAGACAGAATAGGGAAAGAAGAAATACACACCCTCCAGGGGAAGGGAAACCATTCAGAGAAGAATTTATGCGCGAAGAAGGATCGATTGGACGATGGAAAGAGCAGATCGTGGGACGATGAAGAGAGAGTTAGTGAGGAAGATTCAAAGAAGAAGAAAAAAAAAAAAAATACAGAAAATGGAGAAAATGGAGAAATTGGAAAAAATGGAGAAAATGGAGAAATTGGAAAAAATGGAGAAAATGGAGAAATTGGAAAAAATGGAGAAATTGGAAAAAATGGAGAAATTGGAAAAAATGGAGAAATTGGAAAAAATGGAGAAATTGGAAAAAATGTGCCAAATGGATCAAGTGGAGAATCCAAATCCGTGAAGCAGAAAAGGAAGACCAACTCGTATGTAGATCTGAACTCCTTAAAAATGGAAGACATTTACGTGTACAATTGTATAGTGAACGATTTGAGAAAAGAAAATTTAATTTCATTTCCATCCAGGGAAGATGACAATATTTCTATTATAAGAAAATGTATAGGTATGAATGCTGACGACTGTGATGAGGGAGAAATGAGCGAAGAAGAACCCAACGCAGGAGAAGCGAGCGAGGGAGAACCCAACCGAGGAGAAACTTCCAGTGGAGAAACTTCTGATGGAGAAACCCTCGATGAGGGGAACTGTGTTCATTTGGACGGACGAGGAAGAAGTGATTGTTCAGATGAAGGAAAATCTCATCAGGCACAAAATTCTAAGATGGAAAAGTTTGGAGATAAAAAACATGGACAAAACAAGAACTATTTGCAGGCATATCGATCCGTATCTATGCCAAATTACATTAATAGCTCTCTTGAGAAGTGCAACATGAGTTCTAATGACAATGACAGCAACGAAATAAAAACCTCAGTTGAAAGTATTAATAGTGGCATGGGACACATGATTATGATGGAACCCTATTCGACAGTTGACGTAGAGAAAAAAATGAAAGAAGCGGAAAGCACCACGCAAAAGTGTATCCAAGTGGATGATCAGGGAAAAGCAGAAAATGGAAATAACCCAATCAACCGGCACGATTGTGCAGTTGATATTGAAAGTGATGCTATGATTGGAAAGGAAGCTATGATTGGAAAGGAAGCTATGATTGGAAAGGATGCTATGATTGGAAAGGATGCTATGATTGGAAAGGATGCTATGATTGGAAGTGAGGCTAGAACCTGGATCGATCGTTCTGAAGGGCCTCCCCCGGGGAACGCGAGGAACTGCTACTACCATACATTGGAACAACCCATAAATGCATTAGACATAAACGAATATTTCAAACCGGAAAATTACATGAACGATGATTTTAAAAAGAAAAACTGTCGAATCATTAAGAGGTTACTATGGGGAGAGTTATTTGAGGAAAAAAAAAAAAAAATAAGAAAAAATTCTCCTTATGGGAAATTAAAGACTTGGGATTTGAAATGTGTAATAGTTAAAGGAGGAGATGATCTAAGACAAGAACTTTTGGCTTCTCAACTCATACGACAATTCAAAATTATATTTGAAAATGCTGGTTTACCTCTATGGTTACGTCCATATGAAATCTTAGTTACAGGTGCCAATTCTGGAATTATTGAATATGTTAATGATACCTGTTCAGTTGATTCACTTAAGAGGAAGTTTGGAACAGACAGCATTTCCACAATCTTCAATGTCGTCTTTGCTGATTACATATTCGAAGCCAAGAAGGTACGCCCGACGACCTTTGCATGTTGGCCATTGTACGCGGTTGTCGTTAACAATTGCCTCTAACAATTGCATCTAACAATTGCATCTAACAATTATCGCCAATAATTTCCCTCACTTACACACACATACACCCCATATTAACCCCATGCAGAATTTCATCGAGAGTCATGCCGCGTACTCACTAATCTCGTACCTCCTCCAGGTAAAGGATAGACACAATGGAAACATGTTATTAGATTCTGAAGGACATTTAATACACATAGATTACGGGTTCATGTTGACAAATTCTCCAGGAAATGTAAATTTTGAAACTTCGCCATTTAAGCTAACCCAAGAATACCTAGATATTATGGATGGTGAAAATTCAGAGAACTACGAGTATTTCAGAAGACTCATTGTTAGTGGATTTTTGGAAGCGCGAAAACATTCAGAGGAAATAATTCTCTTTGTCGAATTGATGATGCCAGGTTCGTACGTCCACCTTCCATCACTACCAAGATGTGCCCTAGCATCCTTTGCATTATTTGATTAGTGCATTTGAAAACATTTTTTTCTCTATGCGTGTGGGAACACCTCGTAGTATTCCCCCACACACACTTAGTATTTCGCTTTACCCATTTCTTGTTTTTTTTTTTTTTTTTTTTTTTTTTTTCTTTTTTCCTGTGATCTCCCTACCCTATGCAGCTTTAAAAATTCCCTGTTTTACTAACGGCGCTCAGTTTTGCATTGATTCCCTAAAAGAGCGTTTCATGACAAACCTTGCTGTAGATGTGGTAAAATAAAGAACCCCACACACACACCTACAAACATACACCCATTTATGATATTTTATTGCTGTTGTGCTATAAATACAGCTAACCATCTCCGTACGAATAATACACAATACGAGTATTTCATGCAAACAAAATGGTGTTTTTTTTTTTTTTTTTTTTTTTTTTTTTTGCGTTCCTTTTTAATTCCCTATGTTTTACACCACACTTCCCTCTTTTCAGTGCATCCGTCGAATCAATGGATTAATAGAATCTTCTATCAACAATTTTAGAAGTATCCAATATGACTATTTCCAAAGAATAACAAATGGAATAATGTAAATCTTGAACTAGAACAGAAGAGTCGCTTGATCAGCACAACTAGAATGATATATTCTCCTTTTTAACAGTGTGTCTATTAAAAGTTAGAGTGTAAAGCAAATGGTGCTTTTCTCTCCCCAAAACAAGGAAAAACAGCTAAATAAAATTCTTGTATTGTATCATTAATATAACACGGGGTCAAAAATAGATATATAATTATATAGTAGGAAAAAAAAAAAAAAAATCTATATCCATTCCCTCTTACACACTTTTTGATTCTCAGCAAATTCTGTTTTGCATCCGTATTCCATTCATCCTTTTTTGTGACAGTACGGAGGGGATGGAGTGGGGGGAACTTCGTGTGTTGTACATATACTTTACACACAAAGGTGCAGAGAAAACAGCTCAACAAACAAACTGCCAAAGACCACAAACACACGTACCATGTAAATTCTGTGCTCGTGGAAATCACACACTTTTCTTCCCTTTCCGTTTTAACCCATCGTGCAGTATATGTTTGTTTTTTTTAGTTTTTCTTTTTTCTTTTTTTTTTTTTTTTATTGCAACTATGTAAAAAAAAAAAAAAAAAAAAAAAAAAAAAAAAAAAACGGTTTCATTTGATCTTCATCTTATACTTGTTTTTTGTTAATTAAAATTTTTTAACTCTTTTTTCTTATTTCTCAATGAAATGAAAATATTTTACATTTATGTGACGACTCAATACATAGGAGTTTGTGAAGGGGAAAAAAAAAAAAAAAAAAAAAAAAAAGGATCCACTCATTTTATAACCAAAAGGAAAAGGAGGAATACTATTTTTTAACTAAAAATTTCTTCAAACACGTTCATGCATTGTAAGTTTTTAAGTGTCATAAGATGTGATGAGATTGAAAAAAAAAAAAAAAAAAAAAAAAAAGGTGCTTAGGGTTAAGGTGCTGAGTTGCGGAGTGTTGAGGAATATATATATATATATATATATATACACGTGCACAGAACTATGATTTTACTCATGACTGAGAAAAAAAAAAAAAAAAAAAAAAAGCAAAAAGGAAGAAAGAAAGGAAGGAAGAAAACAGGAACATAGTATTCCCTTCGCCCCCATATATATTGACAGAACCAAAAAAAATCATTAGATGATATATTTCGTACTTATTAATCTAGATCAAGTGAAGCTTTCATTTCAATCCAATTTTAAGCAAATATATTTGCAACTCGTCTTGTAACATATGCATGGAATATTTCCATGTACATATATATAACAAGTGAAAGAAAACAATTCCTACTCTCAAATTTTACCATTTTACCTCGATCGTAAGTGTGTTGATGACTTCTTTTTTTTTTTTTTTTTTTTTTTTTTTTTTTTACCCTTTTTTTTTTTTTTTTTTTTTTTTTTTTTTTTCTTTATCATGCCGGAACACGAAGAATCAAGGAAAAGCAAAACAAATGATGATGGAAAAATAGATGAATTTTATATACAAAAGGAAATTGATAAATTAAATATAGACAAGTTGATTCAACCAGAACAAAATAATGCACTCAAGAGAGTTATAAAAACAGACAGAAAGATAATCATACATTTGGACAATAAAATAAGCAAATTACAAAAATCATGTCAGTATGGAAAACAAGTATCCAAAATTATCAACTTCAAAGCAGAGGGTCTCAGCACTATTTCACTTAAAGAAAAACTCAAATTAATTTTGGAAACATTATCTCAGCAGTTTCCCGAGGGGGATACATCAGGAAATGAAGTTGGAGAAGTGGAAGAGGTTGGAGAAGTGGAAGAGGTTGGAGAAGTGGAAGAGGTTGGAGAAGTGGAAGAGGTTGGAGAAGTGGAAGAGGTTGGAGAAGTGGAAGAGGTTGGAGAAGTGGAAGAGGTTGGAGAAGTGGGAGAGGTTGGAGAAGTGGGAGAGGTTGGAGAATTGGGAGAGGTTGGAGACGTGGGAGAGGTTGGAGACGTGGGTTTGATCGACAGTGGGGAGGGTGGCCAAATGAATGCAGGGAAACGAGCAGAGGAAAAAAGGAAACGCTTAAGTTTCACGAAACTGTCAAAGTACTTCAGCATAGAGACACTTCCACTCTGTCCTATTAACTATGAAACCATACCGATGAATCTATTTCTGACAAAAGAGTGCACATTTAGAATACAGAGAAAGGAACAAAAAGCTTACAGTAGAAGTAAGCAAACCACCAACAGCCCATATAGGAAGCTAAAAGATTTCGAGTGCAACAATGAGCCTGAAATTAAATTGGAAACATATGAACAATCAATGAAATTAAAAGATAAATTAAAACAAATTGAAAAAATAAAAAAAAATGTTCATTTTTTAAATTTTATTATTGATTGTGATCCGGTAAATGGATATAATGAAACAACTTTTCGTTTATTTTTAATAACTTTGTTAGTTTCTAAAGGTCACGTAGAATTTTATAAAGATGTAAATAAAGTGTTATGTATAAAAACCAGTGAAATGTTTAGACACTCTGAAGAGGATTACAATAACAGCCATTCATCACTACATCCTGAAACGAAATTTGCACAAAAAAAAAACCAGGCCTTACTTACTGCATGGTCATACCACAAGTGGGAGAAATTGACAAATCAGATGAAACACTCGAATGGCATCAACCCAGGATAATCATCGAAATAAATTCAATATCTCAATTAGTTTAACTTTCAAATTCACGTACTTTTACAGTTCATAAGTGTTAAATGCTTTCGTGGGTTATCCCAGTTAAAAAAAACACAATTTGCAACATGTACAGGAAGAATTTAAAATCACTTTGGGAGGGGAAACCTAATTAAGTTTAAATGATTCGAATTGATGCGTACTGCGTTTTTTTTTTTTTTGTCGCCGTTAAATTTTTACATGCCTTGTGCTTGTATTTGCACATGTATTTATATTTATATTTATATTTATATTTATGTTTATGTTTATGTTTATGTTTATATTTATGTTTATGTTTATGTTTATGTTTATGTTTATATTTTAATCTTTTTTTTTCTTTTTTTTTTTTTTATACCCTGTTTCATGTGTCCTCCCAAAATAAACATTTTGCAGGACGAAAACTTTTTCCAAACATTTTTCCGAACCGTTTTTTAATCTCCAACTCTCTTATCCCTATATGACAGGCTTTACACATGCACCATTTGCCATTGCATTTTATGTCTCATTTTGCGCATGCAGCAAAAAAAAAAATAAATAAATAAATAAATAAAATAAAATAAATAAAAAAAAATAAAATAAATAAATAAATAAAAAAAAATAAAATAAAATAAATAAATAAAAAAAAATAAAATAAATAAATAAATAAAAAAGGTGGGTAGACACATATATGTAGGTAGATAGACAGGGGGAAGGGTAAATAGGAAGAAATCTACAATGTGAAACGGTAAGCATGGCTAATTCATCCATGCAGCTAGAAGTTAAAAAAAAAAAAAAAAAAATACACACACACAGCACAGGTGCAAACATAAACAAGGGCAAACATAAGCAAATGAAAACAAAAACAAACACAATTACAGGGACAGTTTCAACACCAAGGAGGAAACACAACTTAATTTCCCTGCTCGTACAAAGTTTACTTAAATGTCAAGTTTGTGAAACTTACACACGCGCACCTTATCTCTCTCGAATCTTCTCATTCCATCCTTCATATTTGAAATGAGTGTAAAAAGCAAAAGGGAAGAAAATTTAGATTACATTAAGCAAAATATTGGGTATGACTTAGCCAAGTCATTACTATGGACTATAAAAACAGACACAGGAGGTGACAAATATAAAAAGGAAAAGGTGTAACGAGATGGAGGGGGATCTAACAAGGAATGTATAGCTTCCTAACATTCTCTTCTTTTTCTTTTTTCTTTTTTTTTTTTCTCCTACTTCTTTCTCTGTTTTAAATTAGTTGAATCTGGAGAGAGGCGTAAAAAAAAAAAAAAAAAAAAAAAAAATCATTCTTTCTTGTTGTGACAGTATTTCAAAATGATTAGTTAATTTCCCCCTCCTCCCATTAACACTATTATTATATATTTTTCCATTTGTCTAAATTTCGCTTTGCCACCACCACTAGCAGATCCCCTGGGAGCGATAAGAACACATCTAGCTAACATAACCTCCTTCAATGAAGAAAAGAAAAAGAAGAAAAAAATTTTAATAAAAAAACTAAACTCGTATAACATCAAAATACATGATGAAATAAATAAAAATTTTGCAAAAAAGAGCTTAACAGATTTATACTCATTTGTTGATAAGAGGAATGAAGATTATGACCTGTCTGAGGATTTTACAGAATTGGCAAATTTAATTAAAAGCGTTTTTGATGTACAAAATGTTTATTTTGGGAAGATCTACGAAACAGAATATAAAAAAAAAAAAAAAAAAAAAATTCTGAAATTTATTTGTGCCACTGAAAATTGCCATTTAAAAAATGAAATCATTTATGATAAACAACAAATTTCAAACATGTTTACACAAATTCACTCCCCCAAAAAAAGAGCAAATTTTATTTCTTCAAAAATATTTCCATTTGAAAATAATTTTCTCTTTCCTCATCTTATATCTAATCATTATAATTATGAACAGTCAGGTGAAAATCTCTTCACTTGGCTCAACCCATATAATCAGGAAGATAGCTATTTGCAAAGAATAAAAAACACCATTTTCTCGTCAGTGCAAAGTAAAAGGGGAAAAGGTTCTAATGGGAAGAGTGCCAATGGGGAGGAGCACAAGAAAGGAGAGGCTGTTGAAACGGATGAGGGGAGTGGAACGGATGAAACCGATATGAGAAAACATAATGACGAACCCAACGACAAGAAAGATGATCATTCGGATGTAGATTTGACAGAAAGTGGTAGTAATAACGAGGGCGAAGAGGAGGGGAGGCACTGTGAAAATTCAGAGGATTCGAAGGTAGAATCGGAGTCAGCTGTGGGGAACAAAGAATCTGAATCAGGTGTGAGGCAGGTAGAATCTGAATCAGCTGGGTGCAAAGAAGAAACAGAATCAGCTGTGGGGAACGAAAAAGAGTTTCAAAATGAACTGCTTGACACTCTAAACATGAACCTATCATACAACTGTATTTACATTTATGAAATAATGGAGGAAGACAATTCCTTTCTATATTCCACCATGAAGCCAGGAGATTTCTTACTAATTCCTATAGTGTATCACACATACTACAATTTGCATTTCCTCAATCAAATGTATTGCTTTAATAGAAACACTCATCTCAAATCTATTCAAGAGACTGATGCAACACATGAGGTTATTTCTCCATGGGGTAAGTCCACCCAAGCAATCAGAGCCACCTAGAAAAAAATGCACACACACAGAGATAAGCGGATGAATGAGCAAAGACAAGGAGAGACCATCTGCTACGAACATGCATGGTGGACGACTCATGTTACTAAAACAAAAAAAAAAAAAAAAAAAAAAAAAAAAATACGTTCATATTAATTACTTAAAAATCAACCCCTCCCTACAGTACTCAATTTTTTTTTTTTTTCTCTTTTTCTGCACCTTTTATAAGAATATAACAAAAAGGATGGAATGCAACCCTCAGGAGAGATGAACATAAAAGGAGGGAAAAAAAAGAAAAAAACGTATGAACCGTCAGGGGAAAAAAAAAGTGAGAAGATGAATCTAGATAGGAAAAAGATCGAAAAGGTGGAAATGTGTATGTGTCTAGATAATCGTGGAAGCGTAAATAAAATAGACTCACGTCAAATAAATAATCTCATAAATTTTAGCTATTTTTTAATTACACGAATAGTGAAAGGAGAGAGGAAATCTATGGAACAGCAGGTGTGGATATAAAAATATCCTTCCCCAAGCGTTCTAGTTGCATGTAGCAGTGTGTCAGTTCATGTCTTTAGACATACATGAAAGATATGCATGTATATATATATATATATATATATGTACATATATGTATATATATACATACAAGTCCACATGCTTGAGTATTCTTTTTTTGCACTCCTCCCCACGCATGCATAGGTGAATTACATGATAAACTGCCAACATGGAGAAGAAAAAAGATGCATTGATGAGCTGCATAGTAAAATGGAAACCCCCAATTTTGAGCATGTCATAAATAAATTTCAAAAAACGTTAACAGATCACCATTTTTACAAAAAGTCTGAAAATTTAATGAAATACATGTGTCTGCTTCAGTGGATGAAAAAAAAAATTTACAAGCATCAGAAGAAAGTTCTCCAAATTAGTAAGTCCAAAAAAATTGGGAGGAAATTATGCCCAATTTTATATGCATGAAGGAGAAAGGCACATATATCATTATAACATTTTCGCACACTTTTTTTTTTTTTTTTTTTTTTTTTTTTTTTCTCCCCATTTTCCACTCCATTTTTCAGAAAAAATAAAGATAGAGTTCAACCAAAATTGCCTCATTACCCTTTTCAGTTGCTTCATTTTATTGGGTTATGATTACTCACTCTTTACATCGTTAAATGATACTTTTGAAAAATGCGAATGCGAGTGGAGGGAACTAATTCTGTGTGTCGATGAATATTTCATTGACAACCTGATGTCTTCCAACCCTCTTCTCTCCTTTGAGGGTTAGTTTTGCACTTTTTGTGTCAAGTGACACATCGAATATATGCACACTTCAATGTAAAAAACAAAGACAAGCACTTCACTCCTTTCAGCCCTTCAACGCTTACCAATTTTCACGCTTACCAATTTTCACGCTTGCCAATTTTCACGCTTGCCAATTTTCACGCTTGCCAATTTTCACGCTTACCAATTTTCACGCTTGCCAATTTTCACGCTTACCAATTTTCACGCTTGCCAATTTTCACGCTTGCCAATTTTCACGCTTGCCAATTTTCACGCTTGCCAATTTTCACGCTTACCAATTTTCACGTTTGCCACACTTTCATCACCCACCCACCCCTAACTCTCTTATTAAAGAAAAAGGAATAGATAAATTGCAGGAGATCATCTGTCTGCTGGATAAAGTATCCTCTTTAACAAGTAAAAAATATCCGCTTCATATGGAAAACATAACTACGTTTGGCCTAACCCTCTTGGACCACTTCAATCAGGTACTGGAAATGGAAAAAATAAATAAGCAAAACAAAATTGCAAATTAAAGTAGGAAAATAAAATGCAGACAAGGCGCAATGCTGTCTGATATGTAGGTGTACCTAAATGCTTGGTGAAAATGAGCCCCAGTTCGGCTGAAGGTGCACGCAAATATATGTATATGCATGTATATGTATGTATGCATATGTATATATATGCATACCACCCCCTCCTCCCAGGTAACAAGGAACATTTTAAACGAAGTTCTTAAAATAAAGGAAGGAGAACCTGCCACTGCTTCAAAATAGCTGTAAGACCAAAATGGGGAAAGGATCTAATTCTCAACTTTTGCAGTGGCTTCGTTGCCCTTTAAATCGTGCTTTTACTTTTTTTTTACTTAATTCATTTTTTTTTTTTTTGGTGCTAAACACTTTTAAGTAACGTAAATTGCAACCCATTCGTGCAAACACCCATTTTGTTTTTAACACACTTCCAAATGGCTAACAATAAGTGATGTTTATTTTGTTTTCATAATCCATTCCTTTGCATTTGTTAATGCAAACGAGATGACAAATTAGACAAAAATTAAGAAAAAAAAAAAAAAAAAAGAAAAAGTATGAACAGTCAGGTAAAATTAAAGTTTGAGACATGCATGAGGATGTGGACACTTTTTTTTTTTTTTTTTTTTTCGTTCCGTATAGTTCACAATTTTTTTTCCAATTATAGAAAAAAAAAAAAAAAAAAAAAAAAAAAAAGGAAATGAAATAATAGTAATAGTAGTAATAGCTGCAGTAGCAGCAATGACAACTGTGGCAGGCGGTAACAGCAATTGGCAGCTTAATTTAGGGGAATCGAAAAAAATCACATTAATTATTAGCGAGACATATTTAAGTGAATGGTCATCATTCATGTAAAATAAAGAAAAATGGAAGTTAGCTGCACATGTTATTACGCACAACTGAATTTGACAAAACGTGGAGGAGATATATATAATATGTGAAAACCTCACAATAATTTGATTAAAAATAGAAATGTAGCGAAATATACCCCTTTTCCAAATTTGTGACGGGTGCAATTTTTATTTTAGGATCACTCAATGTGCAACCAGCTTCTTCATCACATTCGCTTTTTTTTTTTTTTTTCCTTCTTTTTATACATCTACAGAGCACTTGATTCAATTTATTTCTTCTATTACATACACTCCCAGATATCATCTGCTCCCCTAAACGAATGAGACACACATCAAGTATGTAGCCCTGAACATTAACATGACAAAAATAAATTATGTATGGAAAAGGGCACAAAAACACATATGTCGAAAATGAATTTATATCAAAAGTGCATAGAATGATGTCTGTGATACAAGCATCACAATTAACGGGCTGGGAAGACGATCAAAAAAGGGAAAAATAAATGAAGCAAAATAAATGAAGCAAAATAAATGAAGCAAAATAAATGAAGCAAAATAAATGAAGCAAAATAAATGAAGCAAAATAAATGAAGTAAAATAAATGAAGTAAAATAAATGAAGCAAAATACATGAAACAAAAGGAAGAAAATGTAAGAAATGAAAAAAAACTAGTTGCAAAAACCACTGAATGTTGAACAACCCATGGGTAAAGATCTATAAACTGTTCATTCTCTCCCCCCCCCCTTCCCCGGCTTGGTCTACATCTACACGTAAAACGACCCTTTTTGTATTAAACTTGAAAAATAAAAATGAAGAAAAAAAAAAAAAAAGAAGCTTTAATTTCAAGGTCTGTTTAACCAACGACTGGGTGAAAAAAGAAATACAATGGGCAAGTGACACAAAATGAAATACAATATATATATGGTGCATAATTAAAGCGTGCGCTGCTTTTAACTATTTATATTTTATAAATTCTTAACAAATTGAAAGTCCAAATATTGGCCATCTGCGAGACATTCGTGAGTGTAACCTTGACAGACGTAATCAAGCTGTGCTTGGAACATTAACTCAAAAAAAATATACATATATATATATATATATATATACATATATATATGTATAAATAGATAGGTACGTACATAAATAGGTAAAATAAATATGCAACATAAACTGCAAAATAAATTGCAAAATAAATTGCAAAATAAAGACACGCACATAAAGACGTAAAACAATCGTGCAATATATAAAGTGTCACTTTCCTCATTAGGACCATTCGGAAAAAACATGGACGCCCGCCATCCAATTGAGCACTAGGGGTCATCAAAAACTTGAATTTCTCAATCCTTGCCGTTTTTATACTCATCTTTTTTTTTAAAACCGATACTTCAAGAAATTTAACACCGTATACGTCTCGGGTGAATGAGACGAAAATTTGTTGTACGACCTCTCTCATATGAATTACTGCCTATTTTTCTCTGTATACCATTTTTTTTTTTTTTTTTCCTATCATTCTGTTTTTGTGTAACGTGATGAAATTTTATATCCACTTTCTATACTTACTGGAAGAATGCTGAGTGGAAAAAAGAAAAAAAAAAAAAATCAACAATGTTGCTTATTACCACCACTTTGCTAAGCCTATATATATACACATTTGTCTTCTGTTTCCACCTGGCCGGCATATATGGCTTTTCTTCAGTTTAGGTTCACATTTTGCTGTTTCGCGTTATTACCATTATGATGAAATTTAAAAAGAGGAATAAACTTTTCATACGTTTTAGGTTTCAAATTTGCATATGGTTTTCCGTGGTTATACAACCATGTGTCATAGTCCATGTAAATTTTAATTAGTAACTCTTCAATTAATTTTTTGGCTAGCACATAATGATCATATTTTTGACAAGATACACATAAATGCAATGATTCATTTGCCTCTTTTTTTTCTTCTCCTTCTAAATAACCGGAACCTCTACCCCTTAATCTCAATTTACAATCTGTATCTATGCATATCTTTTTCATATTAGTTCCTTTTAGTCCTATAATTCGTTTAGCTATATCGAACCCGTTAAAAGGATCTATTTGCACTTCATATTTGGCTGTATACTTTTTAATAACTAAAAAATTGTTTGCATAAAGCATCTCATTTGATAGGTAGCAATTGTTTTTCATGAGGTTAAAATTTCTTCCATTGATTGGTGATAATTTATCTACAAATTTTATCCCTTCTTTGAATGCCGTTTTCTGCTTCTCTCCACCGTAGATCATCAAGTTGTTCCTTAAGGTGCTGTTGTTGTTCACTTCGTTACTAATTCTGCATCTATTTGATTGTGCATTCACAAGAATGTTTCCACAGCTAGTAGAACCGCCGTTTACTCCACTGTTAGAATTCTTAATATTACCACCGCTGCTTCCTCTGGTCGCTTGTTGTAAAATATACGCTTGATCCATGCCTTTTCCATTGTCATATGTGAAACTGTTATTTTGCATTTTTGTGTCAAATTTCATTTTATCATGCATCTTTAATTTCTGCATAAAATTATAACTACCTCCTCCCTCACTATTCATTTTATTTTGGGGTACTAAATTATTATTTTCCATAATGCAAGAACCGCTGTTCGCATAATTTGAAAAAGTAGCATTTCTGAATCGCAAATTTTGGTTGTTTAAATTATGTGTATCCATTGATGCAACATCTGACACACATCTCATGGATGAACCTTTTCCATGGAAATTATAATCTGGAACATTTATTCTATTTATTGTATTCCCTGTGTTTAGTGTGATGAAATTATTCACATTCGTCATCAACCCAGCAGTAAGATATCTACTATTACCGTTAGACATACCATTAAACTCTTTAACATTGGTAATGTTATTTTCATTTCCACCATCATATTTATTTCCTTTCAATTCATTACAATTTCTGATAACCTGTTCCTGGGAAGTCAGAAGACACGATGAGTATGGATACAAATGATGCTTACTTTTATTTTCTCTTTCTTTGTCTATTATGCTATAGTACTTAAGAAACTGTTCGTGTTCGAGTTGAAACTTGTTATGATCACTACTCTCGTTCAGGTTACTATCAGAATAGCTCATGTTGTGCGCATCGTTTTGTGGACAAATTTGCGGACAGTTTTGCGGACAGTTTTGAGGACAGTTTTGCGAACAGTTTTGAGGACAGTTTTGCGAACAGTTTTGAGGACAGTTTTCCAAATCGTCATAATAATTTTTCTCCCTAAAGGCATAATATCTTCCGCAAAAGTTAGTGCATTCAAAAGGTCGTTCTAGATAATCATTCGATATTTTCGGAACGCTAAAGATTTTTCCATTGTTATCTATATCATTTTTCATAGATACACTTTTTACCATACTCATCTTTGCATGATCATTATCATCGTCCACATATAAAATTCTGTTCATGTAATTATCTGCAATACTCATACAGCTATCATTACCATTAAAATTTTCGTTTCTGAATCCATTCTTTTCATTCTTTAGGTTCTCGTCGTCTTCTTTAATGTCTCTGTAATTGTCATTTTCCTCCATGTTTGGAAGACCAGAGTCATCACTTCTAAAAAAGTAATTAGTCCCGTTAAGTGGGTTCAATGTGTTCGACTCACTTGTTGAGTTTCGCACATTCTTCTCGTTTCCACCGATGTGTGCATTAGACCCCTTCGATGTATTAACGTTACATGTTCCTCGGACTTTTTCTCTGTCCTTGTAAGATTTCGTGTGGTCTTCCTTCTCCTTCCAATTGCCATTAGAAATGAAGTTCATCATTTTATCCTCCATGTGGGTTTGCATCTGTGCTTCGTTGCCCTTGCTCACACCGCTCAAACTTTGCACGATTTTTGCGGAATCCAGCGAAGTTGATTTATTAAACGCACCACTCAAGACAGTTTCGTCTCGTTTTCCCGACAACACTCTATTTCTTCGCACTCCAATAATACTGTAATTATTACCACCATCACCATCATCCATTTTGTTTTCTTTAACATTGCTTCTGACATGAACAGATGTAATATTTCCCTCGTGGTCATTACCCAAATCAGAAGAGCTACAATGATCTCTGTAAACCTTCAAGTATTTATGCATCTCATCGGTTTGCTTAGTGCCATCTCTTTCTCTACTGAATTCTTTTCCAACTAAATCACTTGGATGGTCATAATCTACCCCATTTACCAACCCATCTTCCTGCTTTTCATCATTTCTCACTTTCGATACACACAATTTTTCATCAAATGTAGAAAAAGAGGCGATATCCTCTTTCTTCTCCAATATAATTGGATTCCTTCCATTGTTGGTGCAATATCCTCCTGCACGACTTAACGGAAGAATGCTTTCATTCTGAATGGATGTAGAAGACTTTTTCACGGATTCATTTCCATACCAAACCAGAATGTGATCTCTTCCACTGTGATCGTGCTGAACTGCAGAATTTGTTTTAATCGAATTTGTTTTAATCACGTACTGCTTTCCGATCTCTTCATCACAATTTTTGGTTTCACATAAATGAAAATTTTCATCATCTTCTTGACATTCCTGATGCTTCTGATTTTCTCGCTTCTCATCAGAGCATCTGTTCGATATACTGTTGACGATAGCGACATTGCCCACATCACGTGGCGTAAAAATATTCTCCTTGGCATTCTCAGAATGGTCCATGCCAATTCCAATACCTTCATTCTTAGAAGTATAGCTAAGGTTACAAATTTCTGAGTTCTTGGTTTTGTTCATAAAATTATCATGTTCCCCCGCTGTCGACAAAATGTTCATGTTTAACTTGCTGTTCTTATATGATATACTACTTTCTGCACCATTAACCAAATTGTACATGTTTGGACAGTATGATAACGAGTCAAAATAATTCATACACATATTTATGCCATCATAATGAGGATTAACATTACTTCCAGCATGTGTTGTAAGAACAACATTATAACTTTCACTAAGCGATTTGAAGATGTTGTTTACACTAGTTTCACATGCTGAATCATTTATATGACAACTCACTTCATAACTATTATTTAAACTATTAATCATGTTCGAAACAAATGGTAATTTTTTACCATTAGCACTATTACAGTTCATAATATTCTTTTCACAGATACTTGTATGAACAGAAGATGCATCTTCATTCTTATTAACTAATGCATATACTTCCTTTGAACATGTATCATCTACTAACCCGTCTTCCACTCCTTCTCCTTTATCTTTTTTTTCATTTTTGATTGAATAATATAAATCTATATAATTCTTATGATCATTTTGGTAGGTATTTTCACAAAAATTTCGCACACACGTCATGAAAAAAGAATCAATATTATTATTTTCACTTGCTACACTTGTGCTATGATAGTTAGCATCAAATTCCGTTTTCCCCTTACTTGTTGTTGTTGTTCTTCTTCTTCTTCTTCTTCCATTTGACATGTTGTCTATCCCGTTCATGTATAGATATGAGTCATTGTAAATTGTGTTCATTACATCATCTTCTCTTCCATAATCTGGTGCCTTATCTATCATATTATCATGCTTATCAATCATATCGCTATCTGCAATTGAAAAATATCCACCATCATTCCCGATCCATCTACTTGGTAAACATGAACTGTCCAAATGTAAATCCTCATTGATTAAGAATAAATTAAAATTGTCTTCCATAATGCCATCACATGCATCATAGATAATCTTATTATTCTCTGCGTCCCTTCCGTTTTGTGAATCTTCTTTAAAAACCTCCTTTTCTTCCTCCTTTTCTTTCTCCTTTTCTTCCTCTTTTTCCTCCTCCTTTTCTACCTTGGGTTTCATTTCTGCTCCATATTTTCTAGCCTGATTGCTTTCGAGGGCACTGAAACTCACATTCGTCGTTTCACTATTGCTGTAATGTATGTTGCATTCGCCTTCGTTCTTTTCTTCACCTCGATCTTCACATATTCCTTTGTCCCAGTCTTTGTCACCGACCTTGTCATGTTCATCCACCTCATTCCAGTGCACCTGACTAATCTCGTTCTGGCCAGTTTGATGAAAAAAATTCGCATACTCCCCATCAAACTTCAAGCATGCGACCTTGTCTAATTCTTCTTTCCCAAAAGTAAAATCCTGATTGTCGTAGCACTCTTTATTAGTTGCACTTTCCATAATACGTAAGTCGCTACACATGGGGGTAATTACACTGAGTGAATCTTCCTTACTAGTATTCATTATATCATTCATTAATCCAGAAGCATGCCTTTTGTTTAAAATAACCAAGGAATTGTTTTCACTAAATTGCATCATGTCATTCGTGAACATTAAACTGTTGCTAATGTTTGCTTGATCAATTCCACTTTCGTCACACATGTTTCTGTTGATCCCATGAACTTGGATATCCCATTCTGCATATTCCTCATCATACGTTGTGTTATACGATCCACCATTAGCAGATTTTATTGAGGTTCCACACGTATCTATTACATTATTCACATGCTTACTTACACTAGCATGTACACTTGAGTTTATATTCCATGGACATGTTTTCTTATGTATTGTGCAATTCGAGTACCATATTTCATTCTGTTCAAAATTGTTATCAAAAGAATGGTCTCCTATCAGTTTGTCATATGATGATTCTCCATTAAGCTTCGTTTGGGAAGTTCCTTCTGGTATATTCTTCAAATGGTAATTTAACAAAATTTCATCCCCTTCATCATATATACTAATTTCGTTTTTTTCAATTCCCAAATTTGTTCCATTCGTAGTAAATGTAAAGCTGTTAATATTGTCACATTTTTCATTTTTATTTGCATCTGTATGATTTCTTTGTTCATAACCACATACGGATAATATATTCCTATCCCTTCCGATTGATATGTTACAATGATTCGAAACACACTTATTTTTTTTTTCATCCATTGTTAAATGGGCAACGTTTGCTTCGTCGTTGAAATTAACTAATTGTATCATGCCCTTGCAATTACTATTACTGCTTTGTCCTTTCTGGACATTTTGGATATTTCCTACACTTCGCATGTTGGGGATGCCACTTGACACATCGTTGTTATTCCCACCGAGATGATCATTGCTCTTGTTACAAACCAATGTTGAGAGAAACTTATCGTTGGCAGTATAATTTCTTTCGATTCTATCCTCTTGCACCAGATGCTGAATACTTTGGAGAGATTTTTCCTTCGTTATTTTTTCTTCATCATTTGTTTTTCCCCAACTTATATATTTCAAATTTATATAATTTTGATCAGGGCTTGCAAGGTCATCACCATAGCCACTATCTGCACGAATGGTATTTTCTACACCACTATTACAAATATCTTTGTAACAATCTAAAGAATCTCGTATGGACATATTGTCACTTTTGAGAAAATGGAAATTCCCCTCTGAATTTGAAAAGTGTTCAGAATCCATGGTGTAATTTTTATTAATCTCGTTAAGCACGTACAATGGGTTCGTAGACTCTTCTTGATTATCCTGTAGCAATAAGTGCGGAAATTCTACTAATAAATTATCGTTCAAATAATTACCATCATCAGCATCATCCTTGCAGCACATTTCACTGTCCACATATGAAACGAGAGATGAAATATTTGTCTTCATCTCTTTTTTTTCATTCTTTTGACTATTCTTACTGCATAAATTTGTTTCTTCAAAATTGTAATTTCCATTATTTTCCATGTCATTCACTGCTGCACCGTCAGTTTCTTTTTGGTTGGCCAATGTTTGCACCCCGTTTGGGTCATCATAATGAATGCACGAGTTAAATCTGCTCAAATCTGTTGATGACGAAAAAGTGTTATCAGACATTTGGTCCTTATCGTAATCATGTAAATTATTGTCTTCGTTGTTTTCATAATTTTCATAATTTCCATCTGAACGCGAATTGATAGCTATTATATGATTCTTCTTCATGTAACTCATCTTTGATGCAACTTGACTATCCTCTATATCGTACATTTTATATTTCTCCTCCTCTTGGACTATTTGTTTTTTCAAATTATTTCCCTTTTCTTCAATATGTTTATTAAAAAATATTATGGTTCCCTTATTTTCCTTAGGCATATTATAATAGGAAATATTTTCTTCATATAAATTTGTATCATCACGTCCAATTTCTACTTTATCACATCTGTGCACGTCATTTAGTCGGTTCATATTTGTTCCATTATCTGCATTGTTATACTGATATAGGGAATTATTACTATGATTGATGTTGCTATATCTCTCGTAATCTTCGTAATCTTGGTTGTCAAATTTGTTGCTGCATATACCTTCACATTTGTTATCATTTGGATTATCATTTTTCATTACATTGGATTTATTATAATTAGTTGTTTTTTCCTTAGAATATGCATAATTTACATTGTCTCGTTTCATCCCTTTTGTGTCTGAATTATTCACGTAATTTGATTCATCCGTCGTTACATAATATTGAGCTTTGTTGTTTTCACTACTTAGTTTAAGGCAATTTTCATCACTCCCTTTGTTATATCTACTGTTCTTGCAATATGAAATAGATTCTGAAATAGATTCAGGGTTATACATTCTTCCACTATCATTAGACTGTTTTCTTCCGTCAGATACGTTACTGCTTTTGCTTATATTATCTCTATCCATGTTATCATCTTTAATTTTGTCACTGTTACTACCACCTTCAGTATTGGCAATTCCAACCTCTTCATAACTTCTTTCAATACAAGAAGAATAACTAGGAGGAGATAATCCTACACCCTTCTCATCACTTAATACACTATCAGCATCAATTGCATCCCCTAAACTGCATGACATGCATGTGTTCACATTCTTGCTTTCTGAACAACATAGCTTATCCTTGTTGTCTACATTAATATTCATGTGGATTTTGTTCTGTGTATTAACACCTTCATTGTTGTGTAGACTTATATTATCGCTATGCATATTGGTTAAGTAAACTGAGTACAAGTTCCCTTTCTCTGGACCTTGCAACATTTGCTTCTTGTCCATGTTACTATATTTGTTAACTTGTTATTTCTCTGTATTGCTATTTCTCTTCTTTTCCACTTTGCCACTTTGTTACTTTTTTTAAAAAAAGCATAAATTGTAGAAAAAAAATGAGACACTTAATGTTTCTCAGAGGTGCACAAATTCATGCATAACGGAGGAAAGGGGGAAAGGGGGGGGGGGAGAGATATACACATTTCATATTAAACAAAGAAAAAAAAATGAATAAGTAAGCATATATATATAAATATGCACATGATTAGGTGAATATACATGGGGTGCAGTAAACCCTTATAAGTAAATGAAAACCGTTTATGTATAACACAAGTGCTCATAAAATTTCCATGAATTATGTTTTGATGTTTTTTTAATTTAAAAATTGTTGATTTTTTAATTTAAAAATTTCTGGTTTTTTAATTTAAAAGTTGCTGGTTTTTTAATTTAAAAGTACGCTCCTTTTTAACTTAAAAATGTGTTCCTTTTTAGTTATGTTATTCCCTCTTTTCTCCTATTTTTTCCCCCTTTTATCTTTATAATTTTAAGATTATACAAGCCTTCAAGTCTGAACTAATACTGAATTCTCTACCTTGTTTTAATTATCCTCGTTTGGAAACAAAAAAAAAAAAAAAAGAAAGAAAAAAAACTTGGTTTATTTTATTTTATTTTACGATATATACACTACAGTTCTGGAGGAAAAATAATAAAAAAAAAAAAAAAAAAATCTTTAAATCTTGTGATTTTTAATTATAACAAAATAAATTTTTTTTTTTAATTCCGTAAAACATGGTAATATATATTAATATACTTTTTACGGTTAAAAGAAGAAATGAATGTATTTCATTTTTTTAATTTGGGTGAACACTTAGACAGGCGATGATGCATATGTTCGAATACACGATATATAAACTCACAATGATCGTGCAAGTGTGTGTATATTTAAACCCATTTGTCTATACACACAAAGACACAACATTTCTTGCTTAAAATGTTGCTGAATTTTTAAAATTATTAAAAGAAATTCAAATATCACTTAAAAATAGCATTTCTAATGTATTCATTTGTGTTATTGCTTGTTGTCATTCAATGACTAACAATTGCTAATTTCAGGTTAATGTATTTTATGATTTTTTTTTTTTTTTTTAAATGAAAAGTGTAACTGTGTAAAAAAAAAAAAAAAAAAAAAAAAAAAAAAAAAAAAAAAGTTTAGCACAGTATAATACAATACAATGGTATCACACAAGTTGAAACTATTACAGTAACATGTTTGAGATTGTTTTTAAAACTAATGTATTAAATAATGTTCTACGATATACAAAATAAAAAAGATTTATAAATCAATATTACACTTATCATCATCAAGAATACATATGAGGTGTACACGTGTGATACAACAGTGTTGTATGTATGTGTATAATATTGTATTCATAAAGAATATATAGATCTGCGTAAATACACGCACTGCAGGAGTTTGAAAATGTATTTTTTCAAGGATATGTAATGCTAGAATGAGAATGTTTTGAAAATACTTATACAATTTAGTGTGGTAAATTACGCCACCGTGTTGCTACATCATCACACAATTGTTGATTTACCCTCTTAGTCATACACTAGAATGCATTCTAGAGTGAAATAATTTTCAGAATATCATATTTTTCACACACTGATTCAAAAGAATTACTTGACATACAAATATACGTGCATATATATATATATATATATCATTTAAACTTATCATTGTTAAGTACTTTATGTACTTTTTGTAAATTAATTTAAATAAATTTCTTATTTAAAAAAAAAAAAAAAAAAAAAAGGAAGGGGGAATGGACTGTAAAAATGAAATAATAATAAAACGGTAAATGAAAAAGCTATGAAATGACAATAAAATATGGTATTTAAATTAGTATAACAAGAATTAATGAGTCTCCTTCGCATATCTTACATAAAACAGATTATGCAAAAATTGAAATTTAATTGCAAGAGAGCTTTTTTATAAACAAAAAAAAAAAAAAAAAAGAAGAAAAAGAAGAAGAAAAAGAAGAAGAAAAAGAAAAGTGTTTTTTCTGTTTTTCTAGTATTTTTTCCTTTTTCTTATATAAACAATTGACAAAAATGGGATGTAATTCTTTTTTATGTTATGTCCTTGTATGCAAACGTGTGAAACACTCAACACGTAAATCAAACTGCTCATGTACACTGCTCTTAATACGACAAGTGTATAAAATTTGTATATGCTCAAATCTTCCTACATTCATAGGTATTTTATTATACACACATTTGTGTACAAATTAGGGGAAGGGGGTGGAGAAAGGAAAAAAAAAAAAATTACACATGTGATATTTATGTATCCTTTTTTTTTTTTCTCCTCTCAGACTCATTAAAGAAATAAATATATTCAGGAAAAAAAGAAACTGATTTAAAAAATCGACTTAAAAAATGAGAATAAAAATGTCAATAAAAATGAGGGGCATGAAAGAAAAATACAATATTCTTCAAAGATAAATTCTTCTGTGGGACCACCCCCATATTAACATATTCTTTACTTTTTTTTTTTTTTTTTTTTTTTTTTTTGGGGCTCAATATCTTCATAAATTATATAAAAGTAACAACTAAAAATTAATAAATTCACATTTTATAATCAATACATTTTCTTAAAAGATTAAAAAAGAAAAATAGTTCTTATGAAAATAAGTATTCACATATGCATATGTATATTAAATATACACACATTCATATTATACATAAACGTATGCATGTACGATGCATGAAAGATATTATAAATTCATTTTCGCCTTTGTGTGTTTTTGTTTTTTAAACAATACGAAATTTTCATTTCTAAGAAAATGAAAATAACAATGCAATGAAATGGGAAAAAAAAAAAAAAAAAAAAAAAAAAGTTAAGCCAAAAAGAAACGAAGAAAAAAAGATAAAAAAGGAAGAAGCTTACGAAGAGGAGCAATAACGAATGATGAATGCGTAGAAAGTAAAAAAAAAAAAAAAAGGAAATACAATTTTCTGCTTCATATAAATGTGTTCTTAGTGAAACACTTCATATTCATTTAAGTCTATATATTTGTGTAAAATCGTATTTTTTTTAAACTGTATATATACTTACATATACATTTACTTATATTACGTGTGAGCGTATTTATGTACGCATATATACATATATGTGTGTATATATATATATATATGTGCACAAAAATAATGCATGTTTTTATAACTACTCGCTTCATTTAAAAGAGAAAGAAGAATGAGGAAGTTCAAGTGGTTTTTTCCATTCACAAATATTAGTTAATTGGTGAAGAAAAAAATGTAATATAATCTAATATTTTTTTTTTTTTTTTTTTTTTTAAATTCTTTTTACCAAACATGTTTTTCTTTTTACATTTCTTTCGAACTTCTAATGTGTAATGTTGCATATGAATGATGGAAGAAGTAACAAAATAGTAAAGGAAACAAACAAGTAAGAAAAATATGCTAAAATGGTATGTATGTGTGTAGTTACACACCTATGGTATGCACATGAAGCATTTGTGACACTCCAATTCCATCAGTGATAAGATCACTCACAAATTAAATATACTTGTTTTCACATTTCCAAAAATATTGACATGCTATGTGCAAAAAAAAAAAAAAAAAAAAAAAAAAAAAAAATCATATAATCCTTTGTTCTTGCATATATGAATGTGCCATATACATTCCTGAGCGCACATTTTTTTTTTTTTTTCACCTGCACAGCAAGGTGCAAAATGTGAGGTATATATAGTTACTATTTTAAAACTGCAAGAAAGCTATAAAGAAGGCACATTCGCTGAGAATATCTTTAAATAAAGAAAAGTTTAAAATTCGCAAAGTGATTTAAAAATAGGAAATATATATAAATGTCTTCGCATAAGTGGAAACTTCGAAGCATTATGATTAAAAAGTTTTGCACAAGAAAGGAAAAAAAAACACAACAAATAATTTATAACAATTAATACAGAGTAATTATTTTATAACAATTAATGAATAATAAGTAATGCATAATAAGTAATGCATAATAAGTAATCATAATAAGTAATCATAATAAGTAATCATAATAAGTAATCATAATAAGTAATCATAATAAGTAATCATAATAAGTAATCATAATAAGTAATCATAATAAGTAATCATAATAAGTAATGCATAATATTCAATGCATAATAAAAAATACATACACATTATATCCATGTTAAGCATATGCATTTAAATTCAAAAACAAATGTGTGCAAATCGCATGAATTAAGCAACACAATTTAACTTAAATTTTTTAGAACAAAGTATCTGAACATGTACACACTTTTTTTTTTTTTTGTACATGCGCAATTATGGAAAAGCCACAAAAAATATAAATAGATAAATAAAAGTAAAAATAAAATAACCGCATGGAGAAAGTGTTCCTTTTTTTTTTTTTTTTTTACGTAATTTACACCTGTTATTTATTTTATTTTATTTTTTTTTTTTTTTTTGATAACAAGAGTATGACACTTTTATTTTATTTTTATTTTTTTCTTATTTTTTGCTACATGCTATATATAACAGTAAATAATTTTAATTCATAAGATATATTTATATATAATATACTATGCACAAAATGAAATAGAGAAAGCTTATCTTTAAGAATGCGAGAAATAAAAGGATTATTCATCCCATTTCACCATATATATTTTAATATGTAGTTACATATATGTATATTTTTAACATATATGTGAATGTATAATGTGACATTAACCAGTTTTGAAATTTTTGATCCACCCCCAAACGAAGTCTTATTCTTTATATAAAAGGAAGGAAAAGGATAAATGGTGCTACCCTTTTAAAATATATACCCAAACAGTACCTCCTTTTTCTCAGTGATAACATTATTTCTTATCGCAATTATTTTTTTTTTAAAAAATTCTTAAAAATTGGAAGTTTCATAAGGTATAAAACAGCCATTTCTTATAATTTCTTTACTTTACAAGAAATGAAAATATGTATGCTTTTATACATGCAAATTAATGCATTCGTAACGTCAAAAAGGATATATGTATTTTTTTTTTTTTTTTTTTTTTCATGTAAACTTTGCGAAAAGGTCATATACAATGTGTAGTTATAAATGTAACCACACAGATTCATGAATAATCAACGTCTTCTTCTCCTTGCTTTTTACAACATACCATTACAAGTGCACCTAAAAATGGGAGGTATCAGTCAACAAACCTCAAAAGTAGCATGACTTTGCTTATAAATGATGTTTTTTTTTTTTTTTTTTTTTTTTTTTTAATTTCTATTTTCGAAAAGTTGTGAAATTATAATTTGTGTGATGGCAATTTTGTCCAAGTGAAAAATATAATTCCTTAATTTTTGGTGTTTTCACAAGTAATGTTATATTATCTGCACTCACTTTTATCAGTTCGTAACATTTTTGTGCAACTAGAGTGAGTTTGCTTTGATAAACCATTCGGGAGATTAGGGAATATGAATCAATTCGACATTACACGTCAGGTAAAAATCGTTCCTTTGGATTTGAACATGTGTGAATATATTCATGCTTGTATATATATATATATATATATATATATATATATATATATATCCGCGTTAGCTTATGTAGATAGAACGCACTACCCAAATAACTACATAATGTTGTTCACGAAAAAAATCGAACAACGATCTATAGCATATTTTTCCTAGTTTCCTATTTTTTTACTATACATGCTAAAATGTATAGTAAAAAAAAGGAGGAAAAAATCGATGTATTTGCACTTTTTATTTTGCCTCAATGTGTAACATTCCTGTACGCGCACACTCTGATGATACATATAGGTATAATTTGTTGGTGCTACTGAAAAGAAAAGAAACAGAATTTTAATTGGTAGAATTTCCAAGGGGATAGATGTATATATTATGAACTCCTTTGAAAGGATGAAACGAGGAAGCATAATCCATATACAAATATGTGTTAATGTTATATGCATATCTATACATATATGACAATATAAAAATGAAATGTGCCTTGTTTCAGAGAAAGTACCTTCACTTTTTTTCTCTTTTTTTTTTTTTTTTTTTTTTTTACTTCACGATTTTAAATCTGTTTTTAGTCATCAATTAAAAAAAATTAAGACTTTGATTAAAGTCATGATCTTATCCTTTGATACTTGTGTAGGCAGATATTTTGAAGAGGAATATTAATAAAAAGTCTTTTTTTTTTTTTTCTTCTTTTTTTTTGTTCACTTGGATTCATTTTCTCGTTTCTATTTTTTGTTCCCCTTTTTTTATAATTTCCAAAAAACATTTCTTTTAAAATCAGCCGAATCTGCGAATAAATCACGTCATCCCGTTTATGCAAAAAAAAAAAAAAAAAAAAAAAAAAGTATATAATAAGAACACCCCAAATATGCGATTTCGAAGGTACGATTATTCATCTAATAATTTAATTTTATATTATTTATTTTGCTTTTTTTTTTTTTTTTTTTTTTTTTTTTTGAGCAAATGTAATACACAAGTCGAAATGGAAATGGGATACATTTTGAATCGTTCTTAAAAGATAGAAATGATACCTGGTATTTTTTTTTTTTTTTTTTTTTTTTTGCAAAAATGGGCAAAGAAATAATTGCTATTGGTTGTTTAGGAAATATTTTTAAATCGGGTATAAATTTCATAAAATATATACATATATGTATATATATAATATATACCAGGATTAGATATATGTAATAAAGCATATTATGTGCCTACGCATATATTTATATGCAACACAAAAAATACTAGCAGAGGTATAATGAATTTTACAATTAATTTGAACACGAAAGAAATGAGAAATGAAAGATAACACCCCAGGTAATGCAGAAGAGGAGAAGAAAAAAAATGAGAAGAACCATTCGTCAGAAGGTGAATCTAGTGATTCCAGTTTTGGTCCATCCCCCATAGAAGTAAGAAACAATCGGTATGAAGACGTTTCAGAAGATGCTTCTGAAGATGCAATCGAAAATAACAATGGGGACGCCCATCATATCGAGGAGAATAGCAACTGTGATCCCAGTGTCGATAGCTATGACGAGAGGAGGAAGGCAAAGTACGCGAATAACAATACTGAAGGTGGAAAGGACATCCAAAGGGAAGAAAAAAAACAGGGTGCTCCAAGTAAGAGAAGAATAGAAAAAGTGAGAAAAATCAAGAAAAAAAAAAAAATAAACAATGATATATATTTAAATAACATTCCAACAAACAGACATTACCAAGTGAGTTACATGCATACAGATATTGTTACTCAAGTTGTTGTAAGCAATAAGAAGAAATACATAGTGACAGGAAGTGCAAACGGAGTAATCAAATTTTGGTATAAAAATGTAGGATCCATCGAATTTGTAAAACATTTCAAAATTCATTCGAATGAAATAATATGCTTATTCATTTCTGAAGATGAGGAAGTTTTGGGAAGTTTATCAAAAGACAAAACATATAAACAATTTGATGTTAGCAGCTTTGACATGAACATAATAATAAAATTAGATTTTTCACCCCAAACAGGAGAATTTGTTTATTCATCTCTGTTTGCAACATCTGTAAAAGTGGCTATATCGTCTAGCGAGAAATCTTGTATACACATTTACAAACCCTTAGAAAGTGACATATGCTTGCAAGTAATAAATTTAAATTCGAACATTATTGAAATTATAAAGTATAATAAAACATATGATCTTTGTGTACTCAGTGATAATAGTGGGCTCCTTGACATAGTAGATGTAGAAACTTTTCATTTTCCCAAATGTGAAGATCATATGTATAAGAATAAAGACAACCTTACTTGGGAAGATAAAAACAGGGACGAAGATAGTTTTACATACAGTATGCGAAACAGTATAGAAAAAAAACGGATTGGTTTTTCTTTCAAAAGTGAAACAGATTTATATGAATTATGCAAATATAAAACGTATGCCTTATGTGTTAACATTAGTTTGGATGGAGAATTTATGGCTATTTTATCAGAAAATTATTTTGTACGAATATATAAATTTAGAACTATGAAATTATATAGAGTTTATGATGAAAGTACAGAGATGTATTTAACAGCCCAAAATGATCCTCTAAAAAAAGAGCTACATATAGATAGTCTAGATTTTGGAAAAAGACTTTTTATCGAAAAGGAAATAAAAAAACATATCAAAAATCAAAATATAAAATTAAATATGATTGTATTTGATGAATCAAATCAGTATATCATATATTCAACATTCATTGGTATAAAGGTTGTCAATTTTATCACAAATCAGTTATGTTACATAATTGGAAAAAATGAAATGAATTTACGTTATTTATCCCTTGGCTTGTATCAAAAAATTATACCAATTAACAAAATTAGGACAAATATTAACGAATCGTTATATATTAATGATAAAAATATTTCCGATTGTGCTTTATTCTGTACCGTATATAAAAAAAATCGATTTTATGTATTCACAAAAAAAGATATGAGTGAACAAGAATTAGATGACAGAGATATTTATAATGAACAACCAAATAAAAATGACTTAAATTCTTTCATATCATCACCTTTAAAAAATTTAGAGAATAATACAAAAACGTATAAAAGTGCAATTATTTACACAACTATGGGAGAAATACATATTACTCTTTTTTACAAGGAATGTAAAAAAACGGTGCAAAATTTCTCTCTTCATTCAATAAATGGATATTATAATAATTGTATATTTCATCGTGTTATCAAAAATTTCATGATTCAAACTGGTGACCCATTGGGCGATGGAACAGGTGGAGAAAGTGTTTGGGGAAATCAATTTGAAGATGAATTTTTTGATCATCTCAATCATTCCAAACCATTTATGGTATCTATGGCAAATTGTGGACCAAATACAAATGGTTCCCAGTTTTTCATAACCACAGTTCCTTGTCCTTGGCTTGATTTTAAGCACACAGTTTTTGGGAAAGTAATTCAGGGGACAAAAGTAGTTTTGGATATAGAAAAGGTGCGAACTGACAAAAGGGACAAACCCTTGGAGGACATCAAAATTTTGAATATCAAAATTTGTCATTAGCTTTTTTTTTTTTTTTTTTTTTGAAGCCCCAAGAATTGCACGAGAGTTAGAAGTTGCCTTACATGCATCTCCATCATTTGTAAACATATATATGTATATATATATATATATATATATATATATATATATTTTTTTTTTTTTTTTTTTTTTTTTGCGTAAGCTCATTTTGGTGAGTTTCTAACTCTAGCACAAAATGTTCTATAAGTTTGGGCCAACACCCGTAAAGAAATTTATGCTTCTATTCTATTCAACAAATTTATTTTCACATTTGTTTATGTTAAAAAGACTTCCGCGCCGACTTGAAGTATTCGTCTATTCCGTAATTACACTTCATAAAAAAAAAAAAAAAAAAAAACGACGATTTTAATATCCTTGTTTTTATTTTATAAATTGTTGTAAATTTAAATCCAAGAGAAAAAATGATACATTCCTCAAACTTTTAGAAGCATAAAAATTTGCCAAATCAAGTATATGGAAAAAGAAAAAAAAAAACACTTTAGATAAATTAATATGTGTTCGTGACAAGGAAAAAATTTTTAATTATGAGAAAAGCTCAAGATAACAAAACAAGAGGGAAGAAGGAGGGGATCATTTAAAATGTGTATCCATGTGTGCACGTACATGTATATGTGCAAGTACATATATACATTTGTGCAATGTAACAAATTTAGCAACTGGACAAAATTAAAAATGTAGCGAATGCATTGCTTATGTAGTTAAAGCAGCTAACGTGAAACTGGGTAATATAGCAATATGACGTTCGAAAAAAAAAAAAAAAAAAAAAAAAAAAAAAAAAAAAAGGTGCATTTATCGAGAGAACAATGCAGAATAGCCATATGCATATAAAACTTTTTCATCCGTTGGACAAGGATGGAAAGGGGAGATATATATATCCACACCTATCAACGTGTGCACATGCATATACACAAAAAAAAAAAAAACCCTATGTGTGGATAATGTAGACACGCACCTGCTTAATATAACAGCCATTCATCTATGCAAAACGAATTCTGTTTATTCGAAATTGTTATTTAATAAATAGGGATGCATTGAAGAATTTCTCCCACATATAGGCCCACCCCCACTGTGTACCAACAGGAAAATAAAGTAAAATACATGTTTTTTAGAATGAAAATGATTAGAAATGTATATAAAAGTGTGTAATTTTTTCATCCAAAGGACATCTATGCAAGTATTATATACACATGTATGAATTATTCCATATTTAAATTAAAAAATAAATTCATTAAAAATTAAAATATAATAATTTTTTTTTTTTTTCTTTTTTTCTTCTTTTTCCCTTTTTTCTTGTCCAATGAATGATGAAAACACTTTCCTCCACTGAATGAGAAAATCTCTTTTCTTATCTTTTGTAGATATAAGGGGGGTGCATGGATTTGTCAACTGATATATAATTTGCCTCCCTCGAAGGAACATTAAATGGTGAATGTGTGTGCTGATGTACTGGTAATATAATAGGATTAGCTACTTTGGGAAGAACGACAGAGTTAAGTAAATGTGGGGTACTAGTACCTATAAATCGATGTTTCAAAGATTTGATTAAAGCATCCCTTTGTTCTTTGAAAATCCGAACTCTGTTAGTAATGTCGTTGAAGGTTTGTTGTAATCGAACTTTATGTCCTGGTAGCCATCTAGTGTTATTAAATTTTTCCACGTCATCAAGGGCATTGGTGGATAATGTGCATAATGTCTCAATCGTGTCAAATCCAGCATTGACAAAATGAACTGATATTTCTACTGGTATTTTTTGTTGCTTAAAAAATTCCACTACTAGTATTCTTTCTTGTTCCAAATCGGGGTCTACAAAAAAAGAAACAAAAATAAAAGTAAAAATAAATACACAACACATAATGCGATAAAAAAATGAATTTAATTGTAAATTTTTAAGAACACTTATATGCTATCAAATTATTTATTTCGTGTCAATGAGCATTCATCATGTATGTTGAAATATTTATAAAAAAAAAAAAAAAAAAAAAAACCTCCATTCCATATGGCCTCAAAGCCATGTAAATGTTGGGGATAATGCTTGCACAAAAAATCTACAATAAAGTGTATTACATTACTCGGTTTTCTTTCATCAATTTCCTGTAAAGAATGCAAACGTGTGTATATGTTCTTTTTTTCCCTTAGTCCTTTTCTTATCACTCAATAAGTTTAACAAATTTTCTCTAATGAGTTGTGGAGTTTCATTTTTAAGGAAGCAACAAAGCCTTGTTGGACAATGTTAGTAATACTCCTCTCCACACTCCATCCCTCTTTTTACTTGCGCTATTCTGGCCAATAATTGGTGAACATTTGAATTTTTGCTAAGTAGATTTCTTTTATTGGATTTAGTAGAACTGCAGTTACTGTCCGCGATTGATAGTAAGTCATCTTCTATTTTTGACTTCTTATCAGATTTATTCTCAGCATAAGAATGCGTTTCGCTAAAAATTTTGGACATTTTTCAAGCCTTTGCATGTGTATATATATAAAGTTGTATGAACGTACAAACGCTAACTTTTTCTTCCTATGAAGCATTTTTTTGCTTGCATAATGTGAAGTACTTTTATATATGAGCAATACGTATATATATATATATATATATATATATATTTTAAATGTATTAGGGAAACACACACACACGTGAAAAGTAAACAAAATAAAAAAAAAAACAAAAAAAAAAAAGGAAAAGGAAGAACGAAATGTGGTGTATAATTTTGACTTATTTCCTAGTCCTTCCACAGTACGTTTATTCCAATCTCTTTAAAAGGATAGGGTAAAAAAAAAAATGAAAACAAAAATAAAACATAAAAAAAAAAAAATTCAACAGAAATTCTATTTTTGTGATGTTGATTTTAAGGGGTAAGAACTATTTTAAAAAAAATGTGCAACTTATGTGTAATATATACAGTTCAAATTTACATGTGTGTAAAAATTTAAATAAGTGTGTTAATGTAGACCTACACAAGAAGAATGCTATGTCATAAAGCTTTGAAATTTATAGACAGTTAATGATTTTTAAATAACTGTCTACCACTTTGAAACATAAAGTTATTTATTATATTAACAGTTCAGGTAAATTCTTAATTTATGCGTACAAAAAGAAAATACATTTTACTTTTTTTTTATGAACTGTTAATATAAAAAAAAAAAAAAAAAAAAAAAAAATTATAACTCACAAATGGTTAGTGTTAGCTTTCCATATTAATGCAATGAAGACCGAGACCTCATTTGTACAACAGACTGACATATATTAAATTAAATACATTCATTATTAAATGTGTATAATACCTCAATAATTGCCAGTTGTTGTTGTTATTGTTATTTTTTTTTTCTGTTTTTGGAATAAAATTACCATAACAAAATTGTAGGAAAGCCCTTTTTTTTTATTCTTTTTTTAAGTTAAAGCTACGCATAACAAAAATGCATTATATTGTGTTTGTTCCCTTTCTGAATGGATATATAAAAAGAAGAATCAAGGGTAACAAAAATTCTTTTACAGGGATAAAATTTTGAAACCTCTTCATTTTTATCCACCCCCCCAAACTTTTTCCCTCTATGACATGATATATGGATATTCAGACACCTTTTTTTTTTTTCTTTTTTTGAGGGTTGGGGGTATAGGGGAAAACATATGCTGCTTTAAATTAAAAAGCATATAAAATGTTGCAAAAAAGATGGAGTGAATCTTTTACTTGCTCAGTAAATTTTTCATATACTTAGAAAAGTGGATTCTTAATTTCCCCCTATTTTACAAGTTTCAAGAGTGAAAATGCTTACATAATTAATATAAAGGCATAGCCAACAATGCTGAATATATTTATTACTTGTCAAAGATAATAATAACACTATTAAGTTTTTATATAACTTTGAAGCAGTTTTTCTCCCCATTTTTTTTATTTCAAGCCAACTGTGTGGAATGTGTTGTTACTATAAAGAGATGGAAAAAAAAAAAAAAAAAAAATAGCTAAACTTTTTTTTTTTTTTTGTTACTTCTTTGGAATTCTTCACATACTCATATTAACCAAAGTACCTCATTCGTTAACCTAAATAGATTGTAAAAATCTGTATGCAACTATGACATTAAGCATATAAAACCAAAATTTATATTTCAGCCTATATTATATACTAATAATAGATTCTCCAATTATATAATGAATGTGTATTAACAAGGACAAAAAAAATAAAAAATAATATGCTAAATATTGTGCTACGTAAAAAAAAAAAAAAAAAAAAAAAAAAAAAAAATCTGTGCAACTAGCTTTAACATATAGAAACGCTAGAATAAGCACTTTCGGTTTTTTAACTTTATTTGAAGAGCCTTTTTCTACGATGTAAAAGCAAAAAATATAATCCTTGCATAGGGGTTCACATGTACGAATTCATTGGATCGTTAGCAATAAATTTTCTCTAAAATGCTTTTTTTTAAAAAAAAATGAAGAAAAACGAATTTAAACATATATACACTTCTCCATAAGCATGTGCATCCCAAGATTGCGCAAAAACAAAGAGGATAAAATCTACAAATATATATATATATATATATATATATTATATGCCGCATACAATCGAGCTCTAATAAAACATGTATATTGGAGTGCTATCTGACGAAACTGACAACAAATTTGATTTGATAAATGATTCCAAATTTGGTGGTGACCCCGTATGGTTACAGGGCAAGAGACCGAGAAACTTCAATCTGAAATGTCCAACATGTAAAAGCAATTTAACATTTTTATTTCAGTTGTCAACATCGTATAATGAATACATAAGAACATTATACATGTTTTGCTGCATGAACAGTGGTAAGTGCAACGTGAATAAGAAAAATTGGGTGTGCATTAAGGGGAAAAAAAAATTATTTGAAAACTTAGAAAATAACAAAATGAGAGAACAATCCTCAAATAATAATTGGGATGTACCAGAAATATGCCAGAATGAAAATACTAATGAAAATGATCCTCAATCATTTACATTTTTAAATTGTTGCAGTAAAATAAATGAAAGACAACCCATTTTTGACTTCTCAAATGATAATATGAAAAAAGAAGACTTTGTAACACAAAATGTGAATTGTTACGAAGAAAAATTAATTGATTGGAATTCTTTATTTTCTAAAAGCACAGAAAAACAAAATTGGAATAACTCATTCTTTAGTAATTCCATTAATAAAACCTTAAATTGTGTAAATGAAAAACATAAAAATTACTGTCATCCCGCGATTAGTAATAGTATCCAAAGATCTAACAAGTCAATAGTACAGAATCAAACGAGTGATAATAACAGAGAAAGAGAACTACCTAAGCCTTGTCAAATGAACCAGACAAATGAAAATATTGTCGGAGGTACTAGTTATAAGTTACCTAGTTTTTATATTTCCCTAATTGAAGATGATGATGATGATGATGATAATGCTGCTAATGATTATGGAAAAGATTACCTATACGAAAAAGCCAAAAAGATGCAAGAAACATATGAAGAATGTAATAAGCAAAATATGAAAGATAATGTAGACTTGGACTTAGGAAATGATAATGATTTAGATGATATTGGTGATGTGGAATTCTTTGAAAATGATTTTAATGGGTGCGTAAAATTTTATTCATATTTAAGTAAAAACTATAATCAAATATTAAGGTATTCTTATAATGGTAAATTTTTATATATGTATAAATCCACAAAAAATTACATAAAGGAAAGAACATTGACATGTGCACACTGTAGAAATAAATTACTTTTTGAAATGCAATTTTTTTCTACTTTTGTCTATCAAATAGAGAAAAAACTTGAAGAAAAAAAAATATCTCTTTTGGACAATTTCTTAAATAATTTTAACGTTGGGAATGCAATTATATTTACTTGTGAAAAAGACTGTGTTACCATTGATGATATGTATTCATATGAGCACGTAGAATTGGAAATATTTTAGTTGTAGGAGCATGAATATCGACTTGTTACTTTGGTAGCAAACATTGAATGTATTTTTTTTTTATTCTCATTTTTTAATTATGTTTAAAATTTTTTTTTTTTTTTTTTGTCATTTTAAAAGTGCCTTTTGTGAAATGTGTTTTATACATGATACGCACACATAAATGTAATCCATATGCTGAAGCTGGGAAAAACTATATTTACACAAATAGTAAATCGTTCTTTTTAAGAAAATTTACGTAAAGATTGTCAAAATTGCAAATGTAGAGAAAAAAAAAAAAAAAAAAAAACTTGTAATTTTTTACACGTTGCGCAGCAATTTTTATGCCATTTTGTGTATCACGTTGGCTATTCACTTTTCCGTTTGTGCTAACCTTTTTACTTAACCGTTTTTTTAACACACCTTTTTTAAAAATTGAAATTTTTTGTCACAAACATTGCCCATGGAAATTTGAGCCTCAAACTCCTATTAAATATTTTTTCTATTGGTATTTCAAATCTTTTGCAAAAGGCAACGGTGATTCTTGGATCCATATAATTTATTTTAGATGTTCCCAAAGCAATTGTCTTATTATCATCCCGTATTTTCATTTGATTTTTTAATAACTCCACTTTTTTGATAAGAGCAATTAATTTCTTTTTACATGGTTCTTCCTTCATGTTTTCCTTTACTTTGTTAGGTCTTAGAGATCCATCTAAGGTAACAACCTTAGAAACAAATGTAAAGCTTTGTTCGTTGGTTCCTTTTTTCAGATATTGTAAATACTTTTTATACTCCTTTATATCCTCTGTATAAACTTCTATTTGCTTTTTTATTTTAAACATAGCTGTATCGTGTTGTTTTGGAATACTTCTTTGATGGTTACACAAAATAGCAACTTCTCTATTCGCATTATTGAAGAAGTTAATCAGTTCATTTACATTTGACACATCCACTTCTATGGGTGAATTTTTGTCATTGTCGTTTTTTCTCCCTAAAGGGCTGCTATCAAGATTTGCACTGTTGTTTGTAAGCACTGTGCCATTATTTTCCTCTTCCTCACAATTTCTACTTTTTCCATTTTGTGTTGAGTCACTTAAGTCACTAAGTACACTGGTTAACGAAATTATGTTATCTGACTTCCTCTTTTTATTTTTGGGTAAATCACCATAATATGAAAGTAACGGATCCGTTGGTTTACTTTTAATTTCTTTTATTCTTTTTAATTGCTGGTCTAAAGTAATTGAAGCGTTATATGTACGAAAAACTTTTGCTGACAATGTAGGCATAATTTCTTTTAAATATTCATTTAATTTGGAGCAATTAATTTGATCGAACACTCCTTCATCTTTGTTTTTATTTTTGCAAAATATGATCATATTGATATATGCTTGTTTATCTAATTTTACAGTATTAAAATAACGAATACTATCTTTTCCTAAAAAATCGAGAGTTATATAACAATGCTCTTCAGATATATCTTCTAAATTTTTCGGTAGTGGTAATTTGTTACTTTTATTATCACTTTCTCTTTCTCCTTTTATGTTTTCTCCCTTTATATTTTCATTTTTAATAGGTACCAAATGGGAAAAGCTAACGTGTTCAACTCGTAAACTACAACATCCTACAGTATCTGCTTCTTCATCTATGTCTTTTTCTCCCCCTACTCTTAAAGCCAAGAAATCTATTAAATAAACTGCTGTTCCTAGTTGTTTCTCAAGGATGTTTTTATTTTTCATTTTATTCATATAATCTTCTCTAATCTTATGAACGCAGGATTTTAATTTTCTTGCATTTTCATACTTAAGAAAATCTTTATATCCTTTAAATTTTGATTGAGCTGATAGAAATGTGTATTTTAGTTGATCATTTATGCTGTCTTTATAAAAAGCTAACCACGTTACTTTATTATCATGGTATGTGTCTGCCCAATTATGTCCACACATATCATCGTAAAGTCGTGGAACGGGTGCATCTTTACTTACATTAATTACTACATCTTCTGGAAATATTCTTTTTTTCAATAAACCTTGTTTTGGGTGTTCTCCTCTTCCTCTAAATAAACCAGGTGGTTCTGCTTTGTTGCTGGAAATTTTTTCACGAATCCAATCAACCAATGCGTATGTATATGGTAATTCTTTTTCTGCCCTTATTTTTTTTTCTTCTTCTTTTTCTTCTTTTGTCTTATTTAATTTTTCTTCTCTTAATTTAATCAAATGATCTTTGATTTGCATAAAATCAAGAAATTTAAAATTGGATATATCTCCTTTTTTTAACTTGTTTTCATTTTCTTGTCTTATTATATTATCTTTCTCTAATGTGCATATGAAAGTTCTAAAAAAGTTTAATATGAACTTTTCTTTCGTGCAGTAATCACTACCTATTACACTACACCAATATGTAGCTAATTCCTCTGCCTTTTCATTTAATTCTATTTTTATACTTTTATAAAAAATAGGAATGTTATGTTGTACATATGGGGGAGGAAAAATTAGACCTCTATGTTCTAAGTAATGCCACTGTGCATCAGTTTGATCATCTATTTTTTCCCACCATCTGTTTATTGGTTCAAAATTTTCCTCAGATTTTTTAACTATCTTTTTAGGCTTTTTATCTATTTCTTTTTTTACTTTATTTTCTCTCTGTTTTTCTACTTTAGGAGATCTGGATTTTTCATCTGCCTCTTTCTTTTCCTTTACATTTGATTTCCTTTTTTTTACTGCATCATTTTTCTTATCGGTCTTGTTATTGCTAGTATTTGCATCTTCTTTAACTTCATCACCCCCATGAGTACTTACCTTGCGTCTTTTTATCACTTTGCATTCATTCAATGGCGAATCTTTTTTTCCTTTCGTATTGTTTTCTGATTTCACTTTTCGAACAGTAGAACCTGTCTCTTTCGAAACTGTTTTACCACCACTCTTCAACACCTTTTGTGTGTTTATATCCTTCTTCTGGCCTTCATTTGTTTGCTTCGAGTCATTTAATTTAATATAGCAATTTTTTTTCTTAATATTTTCAATTAATATGTCATCATCTGATGTACTGTTATCACAGATATCACAGTTTTCGTTTGTTTCCATCACGCATGAGAAAAAATTAATGAAATACAAAAAATAAAAAAAAAAAAAAACGGAGTCTAGCTGTGCTCCCTCCTTCCAGTATATACATGTATATATGTATATTAGACTAAATTTCAAGGAATTGCTTTTATAAATATGTTTGGGTACACCAACAGATAATTTAAGGAACTCTTCATGATTAAAATTATTTCACCCTCGCCACAATCCAAAAAATTTCGTGAAGAGGAAAATAATTTGTGTGTTGCGATGGCAATAAAATAAGCTATGTGTGTTTCTATGTATACTTGAGATTCCTCTTTGAATGTATGGAAAATCCTTAAAATTAGTTCATGACAAAGAAGAAATTCTTTCACGTTTTATAAAATATAACAGGTGAATATTGTGACGGTGGTGCCGATTAATGCTACAAGTTCTGATTATCATAAATGTGGTGATTCCACTGCTGTTGCTGCTTTCTTTTTTTTTTTTTTTTTTTTTTTCCCCTCTATTGTTCGTCTTTTCCCGTTTCAATATAAACATGTTAAGCATAAAGAAAATATTCAAGTAAAAAGGAAAAATGTATTTTTCCTCTGCCGGTTAGTATGTTAATTTCACAGAACAAAAAAAAATTATACCAAAAAAAAAACTCACCTGGATTTTTTGCGAATTTATTTAGAATGCTTGCTGCACATGTATATTTACGTGAAAACAAAGTGAATTGCAAAAATGCAACAATTGAATCACAATATGGACCGCAAAATAAATCATAAAGTAAATTTATTGTATTTCATAAAAAAATGAGAACACATTTAACAAGTTAAATGGTTCACTCTTTGCATCCATCGAAAATAAAATAAAATTTTAATTGAACAATTTTGTTTTGCTAGCACTCAAGGAATAAAAAAGTAAGCAAATAAAAATAAAAAAATATACATACACACTTAAAGAGAAGTAAAAATGAGCAATTTAATTAAAAGCAATATTAACTTATCTGAATGATGAAACACGTGTATCCTTTAAAATTAATTTTTCATTTTTTAATGACTCAATACAATGAGAACGCCTTTCTTCTTATAATGTCTTTTTAAAATGTTCTTCAAATGACATCATTTGTTTCATTCAGTTTTCTTTTGTCAGCAATCATATGTTAAATTTAGTCACAGTTAAATAATAAGATAATGCAAAAAAAAACAAAAAAAAAATCGTAAATCACTTCATTCTAAAAGAAAATGTGAAACGAGAATTTTGTAAAATTTGGGTTCTCAAAAAAGTGGTAATAATGAAATGTTTCAAATGTTCCAGGTATTTTTAATCCCTTACTGTCCTTTTTTTATTTTTATTATACTTGTTTGAAAATATAAATACCAGGTATGTATATACATATATATATATATATATATATTTAAATAGTTTTACTGAGATAATTACCTTTTTCCATTTTGTGCTGCATTTGTCAATTTGTACCTCTTTAAGTTATTTCCTTTTGTTTTCTTTATTCATTTTGGCCATCGCACTTACCTATGCATTTACGCATTATTTATTACACTTTTTCTTTCTTTTGTGCACTTATAAAAAGCGTAAAAATTAATGTAAAGAAAATGTGTGCTATGAGCGTAGCAACATCAAAAAAACCATACACCATTTTAAATATGAAACCGTGTACGGATAGAAGCAAAATTACTATTTTAAATTACAACTTTTGCAATGCTTTTCTTTATATGAATTAAAGTGTAATGTTCATTACTAATTTATCCTCTTCTTAACTCTTTTTTATTTTTTGTAGTAAATATTCGTAGGAGGTAAAAAACATTGAATGGAAAAACGCGTCCTTATTGTATCATCCAAAATTCTTCCTATATAAACACTTATAAATTAATAAAGTTTGTTTTTTTAGTCACGTACTTACGCTTTTAAGTGGATTCAGTTTTATACTCAAAATATGTTTAAAATTTTGTTTTAAAAAAACAGTCCAAACATTAAATATGAATTTTTAATGCTTCTAGCACCAGAGAACTTTAAAGAGTAGCAAATTCTTATATATGTCTATATGTAAAGTAACACACATTATTACATTTAGGATTTATCTTCCATTTTTGTAGGTCCCACATTATTCCATACAAGAACGCTACAGTGTTAATTTTATAATCCAAACAATTTTTATTTTTTGAGCTAATATCCCTAAATGCATATAGTATGTTTCTTTTTATGTACTCATTCATGGAGATTTTTATAAGGTCATACTAAATTAATACAGTACCAAATTGGATAATTCTATGAATTTCTTTTGAAAAGAAAAAAAAAAAAAAAAAATTCCCATTAAAATAGTGTCGCAAATATACAAAATTATATATTTATATATCTTATCTTTTCTTGAGTTCTTTCATTATCCACAAGAAATTGCACTTTTATCAAAAATAATTTGTTCAATATTAACATAAATGAAAGCATAGAAAAGTTTCATTAAGGTACACAATAAGAAAATAACTTATATAATATTCATTTTGATGTTAAAAGTAATACTCTTGTATGTAGCGTAAAAATGAAATGAGTAAAGATATATATAAAAAGGTTTAATATGAAATTTAGCTTACAACAATGATGTTAATTTTTTTTTTATTTAAAAATATTATCTGTATATGAACAAATATTTAAAACAATTAAGATGATGTCAGGATGGCCGAGTGGTCTAAGGCGCAGCGTTTAGGCCGCTGTCCGAAAGGGCGTGGGTTCGAACCCCACTTCTGACATTTTTATGAAGTTTTACTTATAAGTATTTAAAATTAAAGTAGCAATTATAATAAAATACATATTTCTATTTATATTTTTTTTTATGTTTTCTGATGTTTGTTATTGTATATTTTTTCTTTAAATATCTTATCCATAATAACAAATCTACCTCATAAAAATATATGATGATATGCTTATACATTTCTTAATATTGAATTAAGTTACACCTCACTCAAGGTTTTACTTTGAGTTTTCTTTAAAGGCACAATTTACAAAGAAAATTTATTTAATGTTGAAATTATTTTCACTTTTACGAAAATTCTTATTAGTAAATATGTAGATGACGGTTCCCCCTAATGGACTCTTAAGTTGTAGGATATTTCCACAAATTTTTCAAAAATAAACTATAAAAACATTACATAAACATTTCTACAATCACAGTACACGACTTTTAAAAAATTATGAAATATTTTACGCGCATATCCTTTATAATACTTCTTTTTAACAAAAATATTGTGAATAGCATGAGGAGGTATATTCTTGAGCACATAAAAGGTCTTTCACAAGGGTAATTAAAAATTAAAGCAACAAGTAAAAATTTAAGTCTTGTAAAACATGATGCTAATGTTAATCTAACTTTAAACTTATTTGTATTCAAGATTCTTTAAATAATATGTGTCCCTTAAATGGGTAAACTAATTTTATTTGAACAAATACTAAACGACGGCACAAATCTTATGGTGAACAAATTCAGTAAAGAATAATACTGAAAATAGACCGCTGCTTGTATTGTGGCTATATAAATATGCATTCTTTAGTTGCTCCAAAATTGTGAAATATTTAGAAATAGAATAATGTACATTTAAAATGTAATTATCTAGCTAAAAGTTCATGCTCAAAACGTTGCCTACGTCATACAATACACCTTTTCATTATAACCTTTTTGGGGATAAAACCAAATGTGATGGGATTTATGATAATATGTTTACCAAAAAACATTATTACAGCAGTGCATAATGTAGCATTGCATCATTTAGTACATGTTTACAAAAGGTATTTTGTGTTAAATGAATAACCCATTTTTAATCATGCTTCATGAAATAAATGAACAAAATACATTTCAAGTTTTTTTTTTTTTGTTTTTTTTGTACTCATTATATTATTCAAATTTTAAAATAATGCTTATTTCCTCCGAAAAAAATATATACAAACTAAAACACTTCTGGTACAAACGTGCCTTAGATATTTACTTACCACTGTTTTTATTCATGTCTATGCAAGAGGCAGCTCTAATAATAATATATTGAAAAAAAATTATAGTGCTACAATTCAAACATAAAATTTAAATTTCACTATACAAGTTTAACAGATTTATCTTATTTTTCTCAGTGCAAAACGAAATGGATATTTCGTTATAGTTTGAAGCCTGTGAATCATATCACCGAAGAATTGTAGATGATAGAAAAACTGAAATGCTGTGAATTATAAAATTTTTTAATTATGCTAAAATTATTAATAATGTGAAAAACATGATTAACAGTTATCTTTTATATATTGTTAATAATTATACAGCGAGTTCATTGAACACAATTGTCTCATTTTTGTATTAAAATGTTTTTGTTCTTCTCCTTAAAAGCGTGCCCTAAATACATGTATACAATAACACCACTTAATTTACTTGCACTTTTTTAAAGTGAAAATATGTACTAATTTGTTTTTTCTACTATCCTAGCACTGTTTCAGACATTTATGAATCAGTAGTAACTATATATTATGTTTTTCTTTACTTTCAAATAATACTATAGAATGTAATCTCTATTACGCAATTGGTACACTAGCAGAAGAGGAGTCATTCATAGGAATAGTAGTAACTGTATGATCACTTTGATTATTTCTTTTTCATGTTTGAAAACACATATAAACATATAATTTTATATTACTTCTTCAAATGATCTCGAAAAATCATCATCGATTTAATTTAAATGTAAAATTGTGCTTTTATGCAGGGACATAGCTCATTGCTGAAAAGGAACCGAGCATTAGTGAGGGACATCTTGTCTACTGTGCACAACATTTTTATTTTTTGTCTTAGTGCTTTTTTTGTTTTGCCTTTTAAAATAATTAAAAGGCACTTGGAATATGAATGTTATAGGAACTAACAATGTGTAGCAAAATTTCATGATTTAATGCAAATAATTCATCACGAATAAATTTATGTTTCAATGTTATTATAAAATCCACATACTATTTGCGTAATTATGGATAAGAAAACAAAATGTCTAAAATACACCTTT